TCTTTACGTCCATTACGATTTATATAAAGGAGTACGTATAATCACCCGTTTAATTCATACGATGAGATCCTTTAACAAACAAAAAAATTCATACGATGAGATGTACATACGTAGAAGAGTTACCATTGTCTTTTAGTGCTTCGATAAAAGTTCAAAATTAACAATTCGTCCGCCGGGGGTTGAACGGAGACTTAACGTCAAAACTCAAATGATTGAGTTCCATCCATCTAGTGCCCATTCTCTAATTACGTAGTTTTTCTTCTTCTTTCCTAAGTATAGGATGTGTGGGTTTGATTATAATCTTTCTGTTTACTTATGTAGTGAGTTTTATGAAAAACTACATTAGTTATTTTCACCTAAACCCACCATCTAACCTTTTCCTCGCATGCATAGAATTTTTTCTATTACTTTAACAAAAGTCCTCAACGTTTGAATTTAATTTTGGATATTTCACCAACTCAAGTAATTAATGTGGTACATATATAAGAGTAAACAAATTGTGCAGACCAAGTCGATTTCATCTGCCTGCCTAGTCTGTGGCATTAACTCCAAGGAAGCAAGTATTTTTCGTAATTGAGTTTGTTATACATTATTTATTATTAGAAAAATATGATGACTACAAATTAAAACAGTTATGATCACGTTATATATGAATTTTAAAAATGGTCCTCAAACTCTAGTGAACAGAATAATGAATATTATGAAGCTTGGCACACAGTAAGTAACAATCGATTCCATTAAATTATAATCTGACCATTATAAAACAGTTTATTAGTACATTTTCTATTGGAAATCTAATTTTTCTGAAAGTGTCTTTGATGAATAAATCATTAAGAATTAAATTATCATATACTTATAACTTTTTACTGCAAAATACTGGATTAGTTAATGATTTGAACAAAATGTCAAAAAAAAAGAGGTATGATATCCATACTTTGTTGGTATTACATCATCATCATTCATGTAACAAGAGAGAAGCCTTCGTCTTGCCTTTTTACTCTACTAAATTTGATTTCTACTTTTGCTATAATTTGTTGGTACTGTATGTCTACGAGATAAATGAAAATACTTATTATGATTGGATATCATACTTTTTGAAGCACACACACCAAGAACACAAAGACTCGAACTTTTGTTTCTTCACACTCACGTTTGCTTCTAACTCTCTCTCTCTCTCTCTCTCTCTCTCTCTCTCTCTCTCTCTCTCTCGTCTCTTTTTCTCTGAAGCCAACTTTGGGTATGCAACTGGCTGATATAAAATGGTTTCGTTGGTTACTTGGTATCTAAACATACGATCGATTTTAAAAGACTTGAAGATAACAAATAGCCCAATTGTGTGAATTCATCCTGCAAACTATAAACGCGTTCTCACCGGAATGGAGAAATGCATGAACTAGGGTGAAAGTAAAGTGAAGGAGAAACGATATATATACTTGAAAGAAGAAGAAATGATGGCCCATCAACTGAATGAATGGTACAGAAGGAAATTAATTTAGAGTAAGTGGACACTATAAATTAAGTCGTCGTCATATTATTATTATATATAGGAGAAAAGAGAACCAACAATTTATTTATATTCATTTAAACCCACATATAGGTTTGTTAATAATCAGACGAGATAGAGTGTGACCCAAGGAAATAGGTTTCCTTGAATCGACATGGTAAATTGAGAAAGCTCTAGTACAGCTTCTTCACACACGAGTACTTAATTATTATAAATGATAAATAATAATAGATATTCGTAAATAATAATAGCTTTTACTTATATTTTAAGGAAATTGTTCTTAGACGAGTAGAGATATGATGTGACCGAGGAAATAGATTCCTCTACATCGAAACTGTTTTAAGATTTATTACAGCAGCAACAAGATTATTTGTTTTATTGTAGATAATATAATATTCGGATGGTGCGCAATTAATGTTGATTGTATCGTATGTAACTAGGCGACGACGTTGAAAGTGAAGTCATGGTCTTTCCATTCGCCATTCTCCAAATACCTCTCATAGAATATTACTTTCCCATTGGGTGTCATCTGTAATGATGTTGTACTTGTTGTTCCTGAGCGTGGGACGACGCCTGTTGTCGGAGGCTAAACAAATATATAAGTTTAGAAAGGAGATTATTAATGCATGTGAGAATATATATATATATATATTAAAAAAACAAAAAAAAAAGAAAAAAAAACGGTAGCACAATTACAGGTGGAACACCAAGACGCTCATGTGTACCCATCATGTCCTCAAAAAATGGATTGTCTCCGTCTCTATCAGTCATGAGCCTTTCCGCTATGTCCTTAAGTTGTGGTAGTTGTCTATCTTCATGGGTACCAAAAATGGCAGTCAAATTTGTTGCCATACCTTGATACTGCACAAGAGAGAAGACCAAATTAAGAAAAGAAAAGAAAAAAAAAAGAGTTGTTTGATTTTGTTTAAAATAAAAAATACATTTCGCTATTACAAAAATCAATTACCGTGGGAGAAGGTGAATCCAGTCCGTCTAGAGAAAGGATATGAAGGCCAACAGAAACATCTTGTGGTTGGACATATGAATATATATTTCTTTTTCCGATGTAAACCATTGACTCAGAAACTGTGTCTGCCACAATTAGGTGAAAAACATGTATAATCTGCCTCTGCTTTTTAGCAACTTCACGTGCAAAATCATGTGGACTCTGTGCGCCCTAGAGTAAATTAACCAATATATATAGATCCCAATAGCTTACATGAAAAGGAAAAACCACAAGACACATATATACAAATATATCAAACCTTTAAGAAGGCAATAGGAAGCAACTCGCTGCCGGTGGTAACAGTGTTAGTAGGCTTTGGATCCACAAGAAAAGCAACTCGGCCTCGGCTAGAAACACCACACCATGTCCCACCGTTCTGTGCAAGCCGACCTCCCAATATCTTGCTTCCTTCATCCCAAGCCGCCGGTTTCACCACCCTTTTAATCACTCGAATTTACACAACAAAAAACATTTATTAACAATGGCTTGATGCACAAACTTAAGGCCTGAAAGGGCTAGTAAATTCGAACTTGCCATTGTTCCCAGTTCTTCAGGTTTTGAAACAGCGTAAGTTTGCCTGCGTATCCCCACTCGAATGCGACTGTCCCCATTTTTTTTAATTTTATTTTTAAGGCTATTAAATCTCTCTTCTGAGTTCTGGTGATTGTAGTGTGATTCGAGGTGTGAACCTCTCTCTTTTATAGTCCAAGTTTTTACTCTGCTTTTTCCTTTGCTACTTCCTCAACTGCCCCACGCGCTTAAGAGATCATTTCTTAACCAATTTGGGTTTAGCTTTTTTGCTGTTTCGTATCATTATCATACTCAATGAATATTCTCCTTGATTCAGTAACGATGAGCCATGTGCATGTGGGAATACTTTAGAAAATACTTGTACTATTCTAAAAATGTACAAAAGTGGTTTCTAGTGGCACACAAGTTTTGGTAATCAAACTTCTTCCCCACACGCTTAAGAGACGATTTTTGGTCTAGCCTTTGGTGTTTCATCATGTCATTGTCACACTCTACGAACATTCTCCTCATTTAGTAATGGTGATTCATATGCATGTGGAACACTTAAGAAAACATTTCTACTCTTTTTTTTTGTTTTCATCAAAATCTAACAAAAAGTGGTTTCTAGTGTCACGCAAGTTTCAAATCCGACTATTCTTTGGTCTTAGCTTTGGTGATTTGTGTAGTAACCGTAGCGAAAATGGTTTAATTCATTACAGACATAAACACGTGGAGTTTATCATGAATTTCGCGTGTGGCATATTTGACAGTAATTTTCATGGTAGCTTGACGAATGGCTTGAAATGGCTCGATCAGGGTTTCCACCAAGACTATATAAGTATATAACCTATCCCAAGTGTCTGCATTCTGCAAACTATGGCTCAGGGTTCTTACCGGATTTGGAAAAAAAAAGAAAAAAAAATATGCATCAAGACCAAACTAGTGTGAAAGCGAAACTAGGGAAAGATAACTCAAACCCCATCAAATGAACTAAATAGATAAAAAAATACAGTGAACATAGGAACATTTGAGAAAATTGTTCTTAGACGACTAGATATAATCTGACCAAGGAAATAGGTTTCCCTGAATAGAAAATGTTTAAGATATATTACAGCACCAACTAGATTATTTGACTGTTATTGTCGATAATATAATATTCGGATGCTGCGCAATGTTGATTGTACTTGTTGTTCCATAACGTAGAACGTTTCGTGTCTGAATCTAACAAAAAAAAAAAAAAAAAAAAAAGAAAGAAAGGAGATTAATGCATGTGGGATTCGAAGCTCTCAGTTTCATAGTCCACTTTTTTACACTGCTTTTTCCTTTACTTCCTCAACTGCCCCACGCGCTTAAGAGATGATTTCTTAACCAATTTTGGTTTAGATTTTTGCTGTTTCGTGTCATTATCATATAGTCTATGACTCTATGAATATTCTCCTCAATTCAGTAACGATGAGCCATATGCATGTGGAAATACTTTAGAAAATACTTGTACTATTCTAAAAATGTACAAAAGTGGTTTATAGTGGCACACAAGTTTTAAGACTCGAGAATCCAACGATTCTTTGATCTTAGCTTCATCTCTGTGAGAGTTGTGAGCCTCTCTGTTTTCTAGATCGCATTCACACGCTTAAGAGACGATTTTTGGTCTAGCCCTTTGGTGTTTCCTGTCATTGTCACACTCTATTAATCAATATTCTCCTGGTTTTAGTAATGGTGATACATATGCATGTGGAAGAATATATTTTCTACTTTTTTTTTTTATATCAAAATATAACAGAAAGTGGTTTCTAGTGTCACGCAAGTTTCAAATCCGACTATTCTTTGGTCTTAGCTTTGGTGGTTTTGAATCTAAAAAAAAAACAAAATGGGAATAAGTGATCAAGTTGAATCTACTGTGTGTGTTTATTTAAATTTTTGGGAAATATGTTCATTATTATCTAATCTTGGTAAATATAACACAATATTTCCACAACACGTCTCGGTGAGCCAAAAGCAGTTTCACAAAATAACAGATGGAGTAAGCTTCAATGATGCAAACGATTCAGCTAAATGCAAAGCCTTCTCTGCTTGAGAAGCATCCGTCCCCTGAAACCAAAACATGTTGAAAAACGTGTCACACAAGCCTTTCTACGTCCTAAGATCAGATAAGAGCGGACCAGATCGAGATCCCCCTCTCTCTATCCAATAAAGACTTAAAAGAAGAAAGAACATGACCATGATCATACCCGTCCTGAAGCGGGACCACCTTTGGCTATCCCGCATTCCCCTTTGAGAGGACCCGAGAGAACCGTACACCATTCAGCGACATCTAACTGCTTAAACCGATCCGGAACTCCTGCACAGAAAACCGCCTTCTTTGTGGTTTCATCTGTGCTCAACATCATTACCGGCATTTCCTGATACACACAAACAAACCCTTACTTCAACAACAAGTTTCTTTTTAGCTTCTGTGGAGCAAACATGGATATACATATTACCTTCTTTCCCATAATTTCTGAAACGGCTTCTCTCAGCGCTGCTGAATCAAGACCCACGTCAAGCTGGGCAATGCAAAAGCTCTTGTCATCTTCTTCTGCTGAAACAGCTGCCTCTGTTGCTGCTTTGACTGCATTCAGACGGTTTTGCTCTGCTTTTTCCTTTTGAGCTTTTCTCGTTTTGGTCTGAAGCAGAGCAATTTTGGCTATGAGATCTGCCTTGTTTCCTGCTGGGATAACCTCGGTAACAGCTCGTCTTTTCAAAGACGTAACCTTCTCATCCAGTCCAGCTCCCTCTGCTTTGGATGCATCCTCTACTTCTTTCTCGAGCAACGACGCAAGATTGATCGCATTTAAAGCAGCTTCACCAGTGAAAGCCGTTATCCTGCGAATACCTTTGGCCACTCCCTCCTCTGATACTATAGCAAACGCTTTGGCTTCACGAGTGTTTCTTATGTGGGTTCCTCCACAGAACTCAGAGGAAATCGATGACCATTCATCGCTTTCAGGATCAGACAAGAGATCCTCCACTTGTCTTCCAATTGCCACCACTCTTACAGGATCATAGGAGGCCTACAAAAAAGGAAAGAGAGAAGAAAACAAAATGATTTTAACATTTCGTAGAAGTATAGCTAGCAATAGAATTTGATTTAACAGCGCTTACTTCTCCTAATGCTTCTCTTAGACCCTTGATACGTTTGGCTTCAGAAAGCGGTGCTTTCGTGGAAAATACATCAAGTTCGTCCTTGATCCTTTTATTCACTATACAATCGATCTTTCTCAAATCTTCAGGGTTAACCGGTTCGCCGTTGGAAAAATCAAACCGCAGTTTTTCAGGAAGAACGATTGATCCCTTCTGTTTAATATGATCCCCAAGCACTTTCTGAATTTCATGAGAATGACACGACTCACTTTTTACAACCATTTTTTAAAAAAAACTAACTTTTAAGGTCTTGATAACCCTAGAAATTATAGCAAAAACATATTTACATTCCTTCAGGGCAAAATTCAACATATGCGTACAAGTATGATTGTTAGCGATGAGTTTGCGTCTCTCGTAATCAACCTAAACGCATTATTAGACAAGATAAAAAAGAAAACGATTTTAGATTGTATAACAAGTAAAAGCCAAATGAGACAAAAACTACCACACTGTATATAAGGCAAAACGCTTACCTTGCAGGTCACTTTATCCCCCACCGTTACTTTTCCAGTTTTACTAGAGAGACTACCACTATGAAGAACAAAGCCCTTAACTGTTTTCACATTGCATACTTTGAATGTACCAAATGAGCCTTCCATAAGTCCTGTGTCAAAAATCTGACCACCTTGCTCGGCATAGAAACTTGTAGATGCTAATACCAGACCAACTTCATCGTCACCGGCAAAACTTTCCACTAAAGCAGAGCCATTGTAGATAGCTTTTACTTCAGTCTCGTGATCCTGCACCAAATTACGGCTATTTCAACACTACAAGTCCTAGCTTCTTTCTTTCGAATTAGATGTACCGTTTTCAAAACGTCTGGATAAATAAGACAACCCTGGAACCAAATGTATTTGAAAGAATCATCTGTTGCTGAAACGCCAGTTTTGACCAATGTTGATGTAGCATCAACACTCATAACAATGGCAATACCAGATTGCTGCAAAAAAAAAATGACATTAGCAGATCAGTAAATATTTTCAAATCTGTTTCATGGTCTAATGTCAGTGTAGCAGCAAAAATTTTTTTTAAAAAAGTAAATAGATAAAGAAACGCTGCAACACATTTTTTTGGGCAATCTTCGATTTTTCTTTTGCCTCTTGATCAGCTTTGTTGAAACCCTCAACGTCAACCACCAATCCTATCTCGTCAGCCATCAACTGAAACACGAGAATGAAATTTAACAAAGAACGAATATAATTTGATAGAACCACGAATGAACAAAATACCTGAGTCAAATCTAATGGGAAACCATATGTAGACCACAAGTTAAAAGCTTTCTGCAACAACAAAAATAGTATGTTGAGATGGCAATGAGTGTTCCAATTACTGCAACATTCAAAATGAAGATAAATAATAATGAAATAAACAGCAGAAACTCTTTTAAGATGCATACCTCTCCATTCAGTGTATTCCCCTGAACTGCCTTAGCATCTTTCCGAAACTGCTCAATTCCCTGCAGTGGAAATTTGAAATTTGAATATAAGGCTTCCTTGTAACAGAAGCTAGGGTTTTTTTTTCTTTCAAAGAGCTTGATGGAATTTACAAAATCCAGTTCCCACCTTTTCCAAGGTTTTGCAAAAGCTTGCTTCCTCTTCTTTAATGATCTCTGTGATCTTCTTTTCATGTTCCTTCAACTCCGTAAAGACATCGCCCATAACACGAATAACTGAGCTCACAAGTCTATAAGTTAAGCAAAGGATGATCGTGATCAGTGGACAGAGACAAAGCTAAGGTGCATACAGAAACGCATGTTGCATTTAATTACACAAATGCCAGACAATAATGTTGAAACAAGACGTAACACAAGAATCTAATGTGCTTTCTTACCCGTTGAAAAACCCTTCCTCGGCTTTTAAAATCTCTGTTCCATAGCGAACTGCTCGACGAAGAATACTCCTTAGAACATGCTGACGACCCTCATTACCTACAATGTATAGACTCAGACAAATGATATGCTAAAGTTTGAATAGAAGTAAGAGATAAGAAAAAAATGAGAGACAAGAGAATGTGGCAATACCAGGACGAGATCCATCCGCAATAGCAATTGATAAAGTTCTAATATGATCAGCGACCACTCTATATGCTGTGTCAACTCTGTCAACATCGTCTTGACCAACTTTTCCAGAGTATGGCCTAGCTCCAGTGGCCTAAAAACGTTTTCAAGGATAATAAAAACTGACACAAAGAATGTAACCCTCCCAAAGAAGAAGAGATTATCATAGAATTTGTAAGACTCGTAATCCAGTGGATAATAGATCGACCAGAATGATCCCTAGGAGTAGTAACACAGCACCAGCTCAATCTACAAACAGAATGTCATGCAACAGACAACAGAAAGGTTTCACAAAGTACCTTTTGGATGTCATCAAAAATAGGCAAGAAGACATCTGTATCATAGTTGCTCATTTTATTCTGGAGAACAGAAGTCAATCTCTCGAAACCCATTCCGGTATCAACATGCTTAGAAGGCAGAGGTTTTAGTGGGCCATCTTTGGTTTCTCTGTTGAACTGTTTTGAAAACACACGTAACAGGCCAGTTAGAGGAAAAAATAGATAATAAGTCAAGCTAAAGAAGCAAGAACAATGTACTTAACAAGGTAACAAAGAGCTGCAGTCACATGATCTATAAAATCACTGAAACAACATCCTTCCATACTCTGCATCTACCAATGTATATTAAAAAAAGTAACAGAGAGAGCTTGTACCTGAATAAAGACAAGATTCCATATTTCTAAACAAGTTGGATCGTCCTTGTTAACTAAGGATGCAGCATCACGGTTACCAACACGATCATAATGAATTTCAGAACAAGGTCCACAGGGACCAGTGTCTCCCATTTCCCAAAAGTTGTCCTGCAAATTCATCAATTTGAATATCCCTTAGATTTACATCTTCCAAAGAGTTTATTCTCTGAAAATCATAACATCGGCTTTGAAGGTTAGTATTTGAAACATACTTTGCAACCAAAGGGAAGCACACGTCCAGGTGGAAGATATTTAAGCCATATATCTCTAGCCTCATTGTCCGGTCGAATGCCAGATTTCTCATCACCCTCAAAATAGGTAGCGTAAATTCGATCACTTGGTAGGCCATAGACCTGAGGAGTAGAAACAGAGAGGCCTAATCATAAGTTCTCAAAAATGAAAAGAGAAGAACTTTGACAAAATGAGACTTTTACAGAGTAAAGAAAGACAAATTTTTTTAAAAAAGGGAACCTTGGTTAAAAGCTCCCAAGCCCATTCAATGGCTTCCTTCTTGAAATAATCTCCAAAAGACCAGTTGCCGAGCATCTCAAAGAAGGTGTGATGGTAAGTATCTTTACCCACATCGTCAAGATCGTTATGTTTTCCACCAGCACGTATACACTTCTGCGTGTTGCATGCACGCTTTAGCTTGCTCAGCTCCGATTTTGGATCAGCCGTCCCCAAAAATATTGGCTTAAACTGGTTCATTCCTTTCGAAACCAAAAAAAAAAAAAAACAGATATTCCCATAAAGTTTCAATTTTGACAATTTATGACTCACCAAAAAATTAAAACTCCTATCAAATTCGACTCCACAACTTAGCTAGCATCCGTTGTGAGATGAGCTCAAAATCTCACGCAAAAGCAAAATCAAACAGATAAAAAAAAGGGGAATCAAACTTGGATAAACGAAATTTCGTACCAGCATTAGCGAATAGAAGAGTAGGATCATTGTCAGGAACAACGGGGCTTGATGACCAGTTCTTGTGGGATTTCCTGATGAAGAAGTCGATAAAAGTTTCCCTGACTCTCTTCGCTGGCCACTCCGTTATCATCTTCGATTCTCCGAGCATGACTGTCGACGAAGGCAAAGCCTAAAAACAGCAAGAAACTCGCGCGTCTGCGTCTTTCGTCTGATTTTTCCCCTTTTTGTACTCGAAGAAGAAGACCCTGCACGCGACAGACTAATTGGATTCATGGGCCTATACTCTATTCAATAATGGCCCACTTAGGTTGAAAACAAATTTCTTCAGCCCAATTACAAATTAATTCAGTTCTACGTTACACTTTCCGCACGTGGGAGTTCACACAGGTGGAGTTTTTAATTTAATTTCAGTTTTTTAAAAAAAACGTAAGAAAACACAAAACCAAACGCCTGTCTAGAGGAGAAAAAGAAAGGGGGAAGAGAGAGAGAGAGAGAGAAGGAGAGAGAAAATGGGTGAGGTAGCAGATACAATGACGAAGAAGAAGAAGAAAGGGAGGCCATCTCTGCTAGACCTTCAGAAGCGAGCTATCAAACAGCAACAATTACAGCAGCAGCACAGAAGCCACGATGAGCCCGTCGATGACCATAGATCCGGTTCCAAAAACCCTAATTCCCTCAATCCCCAGCCCAACTCCGGCAGCCGATCCAAGCGCCGGAACCCTAATCCTAACGGAGTTTCTTCCGATTCACCCTGGATCAAGGACGACGAAGACGGGGAAGAGGAAGACGACGACGAGCGGCGCGAGAAGAAGCACAGGCTCCTGCACGGATTAAACTCCCACTCCCATCGACATTCTCCTAATTCCCAATCGGGCGGCTCCGATCTGAACCTCGACGAGCCCAGCGAGACTCCCGAGGCGTCCGTCAATAGACGGAAGATCGGCGGCGGCGCTCACGGATCTGGATATACGGTAGGATCTTGAATTCCCTGTGGATCGAATTAGAGTTTTAAGTATTGATTTAATTCGAAAGAAAGGGAAGAAACTTTTTTTTTTGAGTTATCTGAGAAATTAGGTTTAATAAGTATTGTTGGGATTTCGCGCGTTTGTTTTTGTGTTCGTCTTCCGCTTGAATTTAGAGAGATGAGTGAGTGGATGAGTTTGACTGAGTCATTTTTTTTCCTCTTCCCCTTAATTTTAATTGGTGGGAATTCATAATTCAGCTTTTCTGTAATTTATTTTCCTTTTTTTTGTCTTGAGCAAGAAAATTCTTGGGTGTTTATTCTCCGCTTGAATTATGCAGAATATATGTGATTTTCCCTATGAATATTATATTTTATTCTTTGATCTCTCTGGGTAGATATTTAAACTCGTAGTTCACCTGAATTTAAAGATGCCCCTGCACTGAAAACCATCATGTCTGAGACAAGTTCTAGTTTGTCTTTTCCGTAACATCATCAGTTTGTAATTCAGAAGACTTGTACTACTGTGTCCTCTTCGGTTCTTAGCTTAAAACATCATGAACACATCTACTTGCTTTACTATGATTTACGAAAGCGCTCGCCTTTATAATGGATTCTTGGAATTGATGTTGATAATCTGCAGGGAGAAAAGGCTTCGAAAGCGACAGACATTCTTCAAGGTACATACATATTAAAAAATCCCTTCTTTTATTTTAATTTCCTTTATTTAATTCTTGAAAAGGCAATTAACTGAAAATTCGTACGAGGATAAAAAAAAAAAAACGAGATTTTTCTGCTGATTAAATTAAAATTTTGCTTGTCATTTACATGTGGACAGGGTCTCCCGTGGAGTCTGGCCCCACTACACCTTTGCCAGACAAAAAGTTGTTGGTGTTCATCCTCGATAGACTTCAAAAGTATGTTCCATTTCTGAGATACTCTCTCATTTTATTGTTGTTTTGGTTCAAGTGATTTTAACTGGGTCATGGTTTTTTTGATCGATGTTGTTTTCACAAACTCTTGTAGGAAGGATACTTATGGCGTCTATTCAGATCCAGTTGATCCTGAGGAGGTGACTGTCTGTCTCTTTTGTTGATGTTAAAGCTCGTTAATGTTGCAACAATTCAGTTTGTCTTATCTGTGTTCGATATGTGTTACAGCTCCCTGATTATCATGAGATTATCACGAATCCAATGGATTTTAGCACAGTGCGGAAGAAATTAGACTCTGGCGCATACGGCAGTTTAGAACAATTTGAGGTAAATCTTGTACTCTGAGTCCATTGTACTCCTCGATAGTTTTGATGTGTTCGAGTTAGTGCCACATTTTCTTGGTCCTATGCTAAAGCTTCTCTGGTAGCTACAGAAAGTTCATCTCAATACATGTAGTGTAGGGCGCAGACCTAAGGCTGTTTCAAAAGTTGTGTTTAACTCGAAGTATCTGTTGACTTGTTTAGACTCGAAGTTGTCTCACAGTTTGAATATGTGTTGGAACAGCTTTTCTTTCCCTATCTGATAAGTCTGGCTTCTCGCCCTCTTCTTTTTGCAGGGAGATGTGTTTTTAATATGTACAAATGCAATGGAATACAATTCAGCAGACACTGTATATTATCGACAGGTGCGTCCTTTAGCTTTGATTTTTTTATTTATGTATAAAAGTTCTTCTTTTGATATAATTCGTTCCATGTTTCTGAAAATAGTGTCATTGTTGGCTTGTAGGCACGGGCTATACAAGAGTTGGCGAAAAAGGACTTTGAGAATTTAAGGCAAGACAGTGATGATGAAGAACCACAAAACCAACAGCAACAGCAGCAGCAGCCAAAAGTTGCGAGAAGAGGCCGACCGCCAAAGAAACAGCCTGAACAATCTTCGATTGTCCGTACTGCTTCTGAAATTTCAGCTGACGCGCTCGTTCCTGGAGGAGATAGCTCTAATAAGTTTTCTGGTGCTTACAATCTAAGAAAGACTCCTCCTTCCTACAAATTCCGTCAAGCCGAAACATCGGTTAGGGTCAATCATAACAGCGAAACCCAAAGTGGCTGGTCCATAGATTGGGAGAACGAGTTTCCACGTAAAAAGAATCTTAACCTTTGCCGTACCTTCTTACAAACTTCCTTTTTTTTATTGCTAATATGAAACATCTTCTTGGTTTCTCTGCAGCTTCGGTTGTGAAGGCGGTTAACAAGTATGGGATGAAACATTTCAATGTCGATGATAACAGACGCGATACCTACAACCACCTCTCGACTTCTACCCAGGAGCCGTCTGTTTTGATGACCCTTGAAGACGAGTTAAAACAGTTGATTCCAGTACGTTATTGCCAATTCTATTATATCCTTTTGTATGGAGAAACAAGTGTCACTGATCATTGTTTTTCCTTACTCATCAGGTTGGGCTGAACACCGAGTACGGTTACGCAAGAAGTCTAGCACGATACGCTGCGAACCTCGGTCCTGTCGCCTGGAAAATTGCATCAAGGAGAATCGAAACCGTGTTGCCCTCTGGAATCAAATTTGGTCTAGGTTGGGTTGGAGAGAACCCAGCAGGAGCTGAAGAGGATGATTCCCAAAAACAAGCCGTGTTAATGCCTTCGTTGGGAAAACAGAAGTGTTCTAATGACTTGGCCTCTGATGATCATTCAAACAGAATCCTGTCTCCAACCGCTTCAGTCTCGAGCGCTTTCATAGGAAACAGACACACTTCTTCTCAGGGCATCGAGGAAACCGCACCCGCTCGTGTCTTGAATCCAGAAACCGACTACCCATCATCCTCCTCTCGCCAGTCGTCACTACCGCTGATCAAACCTGAGAGCAGCAACGGTCTTACCCGCGGTTTCAGTGGATTCAGCCACAGTCCAAGTCCGATGCTCGGCATTACGAGACAGCAACAATCAAACTTAACCAACGAGGCCATGCCGGGCTCGCAACAACAAGGGTCGTTATTTCCCTACAACAAACAGGAGTTCCACCGGTTTCCACCGGACCTTAACGCTAGGCTTGTCTCACCAAACTCTCCAGGCTCTAATCCGCAGACTGGTTCGTCCTCGTCGCAGCATCCAGATCTGGCATTACAGCTATGAAGATGAATGGATCTTGGGAAGAGTTAAGGAGGAGGAGAAGAAGAGGCATTTTCCATTGGCTATCTCAGCCGTATATTTTCTGGTATGAAAATCACTTGTGGAAAGTCATGGCTTATTTGTTGTGACATGAAGATATATGGGACGAGTCTCTCTCTATTGTACAGATTGTTGCAACATCGATATTTTTTTAGGGGTATAAAGAGAAAAAAAGAAATCAAACCACAGGAGTCTCGCAAGCTGTAGAATGTAGTTTATATTCTTAACTTTTCATAATATTTCATAAATGTTTTCGTAATGTTTTCAGTTTTTACAACCTTGGCAATAAAAGAAGATGAAACCAAAGTTCTTCGGCACTTTACTTTTGGACGTGTTATTAGTTTCTGTCTCGTAAGGCTTTTGACGGCTTCGATTTTTAAGTTCCTCGGTAATGGGAGTGGGAGTAAGGCTTTCTGATCTTTTGTAAACTAAAACACTAAAAATTGTTAAATTTAGATACGAATGCAATTGATTAGTGGTACATTTGTAATAACAGTATAGAAGATCATTTAACAAATGTTAATCAGGAATATCGTAAAAGAAATTCACTAAATTTAGATACGAAGGCAAATTGATCAACTTTTTTCTAGTGTATCACTGAGATACTGACCATCAACGTTTCAATTAAAGAATTACATTAGAAACCGAGAATATACATTTCACACCAAAAAATTATATTTTTATTTATGTATCTATATTTTCAAATTTGTAGTGTGTATAAAACTCATCAAATGGTATTATTGACTTGATGTTTATAAGTGAATAAAAATTAAAACCCCGTCGACTGAAAAGGAGTGGATAGAGTTGTTTGTTCGTCAGCCTTCTAATTGAATTTTCAAATTCGTGAACTCAGCTCACGAGACTTACATGAACGTGTTTGTTTGGTGGGTCTCGACGTCTCGTGATATTTATTTTCGTCTGAAACCATTGGTTTATATATATCCACTTCACCTATTATTAATTAATCATATAAAATTGCTGTCGGAAATGTAAACTCAATCATTTCTTGTAATAATGAATAGTTGTAGTTTTTATCGGAAATGACCTATCTATTTATTTTAATTCCATTTTCTTAGCTTGACAAAATTAGAATGTTAGTATCAGTTATCCAACAATATTTGGAATATTCGTACGTCACAGATTCTTCACGGGACAGCTCAGAGCTCTACCGTGTTTAGATAACATCGAGTAAATGTATGAGTTATACGGTGCAAGTACACACACTCAAGTTTTTGGGTGAATATTGATGTAATAACCCTAAGAAATTAAATTTATAAGGGTGAATCTACTTTAACCACCCCAATGTATGGGTAACTTGTCATTGGATGTCAATTGTACTTTATTGTCTTCCTGCATCAATTTCAAGTACATTGCTTTCTACACATAATCTGTTTGTTGTTCCTCCACTTACAGTAATTGAAAAAACACGTCTTCATAAAAAAACTGTCCTTAGGAAGATTTGGTATCTTGAAATTAGTCAAAGACACAAAGAAATTAGTTTTCTTTTATTCTTTACCATCCAACAATTTGTTTTTAAAAAAAACGGAGAAAATTAATTATGATTGAATCATCGAAACCGAAAATTACTTTATTCTCATTAATCACAAGAATCTAATGGCTTTAAGTAGTAGCATAATAAAACACTACTAGTACCGATAGGTCATAGGTTTATAGGATTAATAGCATTACTAGCATTAATAGCATTACTATATACAGTATAATTACTCCGTAGAGTTAATACGTGGTTGGTAAAGTTAGCCATGCAAAAAATTGGAGCGAAGAAGATTTTAGTTAGTTTCATATTTTGTTCCAAACCATGAACATGCGTTAAATGTTATGTAAATGGTAACCAAATCTTGATATCATAAAATATAGTAATAAAAAATTTAAAAAAAAAAATCAAAACAAAGAGCTAGCTAATAAAAGCCTTTTAACAAAAAAAAAAAGAGCTAGCGATAATGCAAACATATGATATGAAAAGATTGGTGAAATTTTGGCAAACTTATCAGCTATAATAATTGGAATAATAATAAAGTAGCCATTATTACATGATAGAAACGGTACATAATTTCTAAAACGGTAAATAAAGTCAAATGTTGGGATGAGAGGACAGTGTGACCACTAAACTAAAGAAAACCCCAGTGGGAACCACCGATGATGTAATAACACGAAAGGTCAATCTTTATCATCTCGACCGTCCATTTGTTGAGATCTAAACCGCACATCCACTGTCGGCCTCGTGGGTTTCTCTCACACACTGTACTGTTTTTCATTTAAGTAACGGGACAAGTCGAGGGTATTACGGGAATTTCCATTACCGAAGCGTTATCTATCATCTGTGATGAGAGGGTATGATGGTAAATAAGTGCACGGAGGTGGACCTGACCGTTTAAATGCCAGAGAAGAGAGGTCGGAGAAGTGAGGCTGATGATGAAGAGATTATACAATTTTTTGGGGGAAATTATTTCGAGTTTTTTGAAAAGAAGATAAAAAGAGAAAAAAAGAATATATAATTTTCCTTACTAAAAAATTCGGTCCTACTTGGAAAACAACAAAACGAAACTCGTCGTCTTCTACCACTTAAATTTAGTAGCTCCAACAAAAAATAATAAATAATTAAAAAAAAAAGATTTTTTTCGTATATCACACAATTAAAAAAGAGTTTATACAGAAGTAATATTTTCCGTGATTGTCTCTCCCGTTTTCTGGATTTTTTTTGTTAAATTTCCTTTTAACCTTTTTTCTTGTTTCAAGATCCTTGTCATTTTCTGTCGTGATTAGATGGAATTTGTATAATTTTAGTAACTCTTCCGTTTTTCTTTAAATAATAGTAGTACATATTTATTAAAAAAAATAAAATCTATCTCTTTCTCTCTCTTGCTGCAATCTATCGCCGATTCGGATCTTCCCTGGTGTAGGAGGTTTCAATAATTTCCTTTTACTCCTTCCAAAAGTTTTGTTCTTTAGTTTTCTGGAATTATCCAAAGTAAGAAACAGAGAAACCAATCTCTTTAAACCAAATCCTAGGTTTTTCCTTTTCGTAATTTGTCTGTCTGGTGTGGGGATTTCTGGAGCTTGGTTTCTCAAACCAGCTCCGTTTCTAAAATCCCTCTTCTCCTCTACCATTGTCTTAAATCTTGAAAGAAGAAGAAAAAAAAAGATGACTTGCTTCTCTTGTTTGAATCCTCGAACTAAGGACACAAGGGTCGACATTGATACCGCTCGATGCAACTCTCGTTACCTAACCGATTCATCAGGTTCTTTTCAATCTCCAACCGAAAACTTTCATTGTTTTACCTAAAAGTTTTCGTTTTTTGTTTAATGAATGTATCGTCGTTATGATTTTGTGATTCCAGTTCACGGAAGTGATACATCAGGAACAGGGTCGATTTCGGGTATTCTAGGTGAGTGTGTTAAAAAAATCCCTTTTTTATATTCTTTTTCTTCAGACAATTTGAGTTAATTAATTTCTCGTCGGAGTTGGAACAGTAGACGGAAAGCTGACTAGCCCAAAACCCGGTGGTGGAGCTCGGAGTTTCACGTTCAAGGAGTTAGCCGGAGCCACAAGAAACTTCCGGGAAGTGAATTTGATCGGAGAAGGAGGTTTCGGTAGAGTTTACAAGGGACGTCTAGATTCAGGACAAGTCAGATCTCACTCTCTTACTCAAACCCTTTTAAAGAAAAACTCTGTTTTACTTTTATTAATGAAATTTTGATGACATTTTGAGTTGAACTGATGAAAACAGGTGGTGGCTATTAAGCAATTGAATCCAGATGGGCTTCAGGGAAATCGAGAGTTCATAGTAGAAGTTCTTATGCTTAGCTTATTCCATCACCCGAATCTCGTTACATTGATCGGTTACTGTACTTCTGGTGATCAGAGGCTTCTTGTCTATGAATACATGCCAATGGGAAGCTTAGAAGATCACCTCTTTGGTCAGTTACTTAAGTCTCCATTTATCATGTTTGGTTTGTAACAAGTGTTTCTTTCATATTTCAAATTCTTATTAACTCTGTTTTGTCTGATATTGTTTTTTTTTTTTTGTTTTTTAACAGATCTTGAGTCAAATCAAGAGCCTTTAAGCTGGAACACAAGAATGAAAATCGCGGTTGGTGCGGCTCGGGGAGTAGAGTATCTTCACTGCACAGCAAACCCGCCAGTGATTTACCGCGATTTGAAATCCGCAAACATTTTGTTAGACAAAGAGTTCCATCCCAAGCTCTCTGATTTCGGACTGGCGAAACTCGGTCCAGTGGGAGACCGGACTCATGTATCGACCCGTGTCATGGGAACTTACGGTTACTGTGCTCCTGAATACGCAATGAGCGGGAAACTAACCCTGAAATCGGATATCTACTGCTTCGGTGTAGTGCTGCTTGAGCTGATCACTGGGAGAAAAGCCATTGATTTGAGTCAAAAGCAAGGCGAGCAGAATCTTGTTACTTGGGTAAGTACTAAACCGGATTTTAGCCGGAATTTCAAGATTCCTTACTCCCTCGTTTAACTTGAGACACTTTCTTGTCTATGCAGTCACGTCCATACCTCAAGGATCAGAAGAAGTTTGGACATTTAGTGGATCCGTCTCTGCGAGGAAAATACCCAAGACGATGTCTAAACTATGCGATTGCGATCATCGCAATGTGTCTGAACGAAGAAGCTCATTATCGACCGTTTATAGGTGACATAGTGGTGGCACTTGAGTACTTAGCCGCACAGAGTCGGTCACATGAATCTCGAAACGTCTCATCCACATCACCGGAGGTCACCAGAACGCCGCGACGGGACTCGTAACAAGAAAAATCTTGAGCTTTTAAGAACTTCAGTTTGGTGTTCTGTAAAAATGGTTTTTTCTTTTCTTTGGTAAATGTTTTTTTTTTTTTAGTTTCTAATACTTGTTTTTTCCTATAATGTATATGAATATGACACTTATGTTAAACATTCGAGTTCTTTTATATGTATATCTACAAAGGAGTCTCAGAAAAGAAAAAGAAAACAAGCATCTTCAATTTCTCAGGAAGAAAGGATCTTTACATATGTTCTTCTCTCTGGTGCGTTTTTAAAAACAAAACCCAAAGCACCTTCTAGTAATCTTATAAAAAAAAAAGAAACCAAAAATAAAATTATGAACACTTGTTACAGAACACAAAGGTATATAATCTTTTATGTCATGTCCTAAAAACCTTTTACTTTTTGTTCTTTCCAACTCTGATTTGAGGTCAGTGCCATAAATTGTAACCTGTAGCTGAAGAACGTTCAGGGAAATGATGAGAAGAAACATGAAGCATAAGCTTAATGGTATGACTAGGTGTGGTTCTGCACACATCTACACACTCTTCTACGTCTTCATCACAAGTCAACAAAACCCATTCATTATCTTCATCTAAGTACTTTAGATCATACCTGCTCATATCCTCTATGCTAAACCGCTTCCCGATCTCCCAAAATAGATCCGTTAACCTGCGCGAGTTCCGCATCCGAAACCTGATCTTCTCTTCTCCATAGCTAACTTTAATCCTCAGAAAGTCATCATCTTGAGATGATGACAACATGTGTGTCCCCTGAGTGATGTTCTCTAAGCTGGAAAGAGTCAATACAGTCTCGTCAAGACTCGAACTCTGGAGATCGATTTCGCTGCTGTTCTTCTTCAGTGCACCTCCTACATCAGCCTGAGAAGGATCGGTTGTTGCGCCGCTGTTTAGTTGGGTTTCGCTGGAGCAACACTGGCTAGAGTTTGAACTGTGGCTGTATGGGGAAACAGGGGACTTTGCAGGCTGCATCGGTGGCGGAGGAGGAGGCGATGCCTTGGCTTGTTGTGATGGTTGTTCATGTGACTGTTGTGAGGCTAGATTGGGGAAATTTGCGTAGAAGGAGCCTATTTGAAGAGGTCCTGAAACGCCTTCAACGGAATCAATTACACGTTGGATCTTCTGCAGAGAATGTCCCACTTTCTTGATCTTTCTTGAAGGCCATCTCTGTATCCCATGTTGCCTGCATATTCTCTTCAACGTCGTTGGACATACTGAAATTTTCCCCAAGAGGCAAAAAAAATGAGAAAGTGCTGCTTAACCACAGATAATTAGAATCGAAAGAAAGATATAAAAAAGCTACTTACCACCGATATTCTTGGCTGCATCTTTCAGACTCCCGGCGAAATACTGTCGAAGAACATCTAAAGTGATGGTTTTATCTGCTTTTGTACGCTTCTTCTCGGCCATCCTACCGAAACCGCCGGTAGAGAAAGTGGTGCTCTCGTTGACATTAGAGTCTCTGCTGTAGTCAAAACCTCTTTTCAAGCCAAACCCATCATTTGGCTTCTCTCCTCCATCAAATACCAATCCAAGATTCTCAGGATTACTATTATTACTCCTCTGGATTTCGTCGAGAGAGAAGTTTCCCTGGAGTTGATGTAGTTCCGGTGTGTTCTCTATCTTTGGCGTTACTATCACTTCACTCTCTTCCTCTAGTTCCTTATCCGTAACAGTCCTTAAGCTTCTAGGCACATGAGCCATAATAGTCGAAAGAGCATTCAGCATTTTCCTCTGTTCCTCAAGATCATCGCAGTCTTTAGGTAAAAAAAACTCCAAGACGAAATCAGCAGAGCCCGTGTGGATGCAGCGCAGCCGAATCGCAACAGAGCCATGCAGACCGAACATATTCGCGTGGTGGGAGAGAGGGTACTCGGACTTTTTGTAGTTTGAGATATCAGAGGAAAAGCAAGGTCCATTGGTCAAGAAGGCTTGTCCTGCAACTCCTTGGCCTTTCAAGAGGTGATGCTCAGAGCAAGCTTCATGGAACTCGCGGACGGTTGGATCACCAACGTAGCAAGCATCATCAATGGTTGAGACGCAGTGGATGTAGTTCTCATCGTTGTGACGGCACCCGCTTTTGCTTTGCTGCAGACAAGAGACCCATGTCTGAGCTAAAGGTAGTTTATGCGTCTCACATGCACATCTCAGGAGGTTTCTGATTTCAGGTAATGCAGCTTTGTAGGATAAGTCACATCCCTGAAATAAAGAAGATAACAATCTGGTTAATACACCAAAACAAGAACTTTTTAAAAAACTTGTATAGTTTCTTTTGATTACTTCTATAGAAGGCGAAATCGGAACTTCAGTGCTCCTAAGATCAACAGCCTGCAAAAAAAAAGAAACACATACTCTTCCTGTCTCAGACAAAACCATTCCAATATCAAAAGCTGAAAGCTTTAGAGAAAAAGGACACAAACCTGAAGTGCTCTGCAGATGCTTTCAAGCTCAGGTCTCAGTTTAACCATCTCTGTGGTCATTACAACCTCAATAACACCCAAGCAAATCTTACTACCTTGTTCGAACACCGGGATCGCCAGCGTTCCACGGACATCGCAGTCCTGAGCGTGCTGGACTCTCGGATACTCTTCGCTTTTGAAAAACCTAACATCAGGAGTCCATTCAGGAAGCTTCCCCAAGAAAACCCTTCCAGGCAAACCAGCTAAGGCCTTGGAATCATCTTGCTCAGCAGAGAAGTGATAGTTCACTGAGATCTCTCTATAGTTTGCGAGTCGTTGACACAACGGATCGTGGCTGAAAGGTTGTTCCTTTGTGGTCAAAACCCGCTTACCGCCTCTGTTAACCGGAACCCATAACTGTATGAGCGAGCCTCTCTCTGTTGTGTAGTCTTTAATGTGTTCGACTGCTTGAACCAATCTCTCAGTGACCGACGAGCCACCACCTCCTGGTCCAATCCACCACCTTTTGTTCCATTGAAACTCATCAAGACTCGTTCTTTCAGCACAGTCCTGACCGTACAGCTGAGATTCTACTCCTGATGTGCAGATTGCTGATGTATCTTGAGGTGGAGACCACATGAAGGAAGATGGATCAAAGGGGCTAACGGAAGAAGCTGAAGGGGTTGTTAAGTTAAGAAACTCAGATCCATCTGTTGTCTCTAACCAGCAACCATCTAGTAGCAATCCATCCATGAACTCAGTGTCCATAACCGCGTTCTCAGTTTGAAGGAAACTATCTTCCATGGATATGTAATTTTCTTTGAGGTTAGCTATCTCCAGCAAATATCAATCCACCATCTGCAAAAATGAAGCATCCATATTTTCAAGGAAAGTTTCACAAACAAACAAAGAAGGTCGACATCGAGAATTTTTTTTGTTCGTCTTATTGTTTACATTTTCAGGAATTGATAGAACTCATGAGTAAATTCACCAACCGATAAAGTAGGAAATTCAAGGGCACAAAAGATTTTAAGAAACAGAGGGATCAAGCACAAATCTTGCATAAATCTAATTCATGATGACAGAATAAAGAATCCAATGTTCAAAAATAAAAAATAAAAACCCAACTTTTTGTTTGATTCCTTCACGCTGGTCAAACTAAATCCCAGATTCTTTATAGCTCAAGAGATACTGATTTATCCCCCAATGAAAGAAATGAAAAACGAACTTCATCCTAATCAGCTTCGTTCTTAACGATAACGAAAAAGCAAACTTTTGCAGCTTCAGAAGAGAAAGTAGAAGAAAGGAAAACTCACAAGAGAGAGATAGGGAGGGAGAGAGAGAGAGATTCTCGAGATTCCTTTCTCAAGTGTGTTTTAAGATTCCCTGTCTTGAGATTAGCTGTCTGAGATAGAAGGAACAGATGAGAGAAAGAAACCAAATCTCAAACACAAAAAGAACAAGAAAAGAAAGTTGTAAAAGATGTCTGATGGGTTATTATGTCTCTGATGAAGAAGAAGAAGTACCTTCTGCACACGGAATATGTAAACAAAAAAAAAGAATTTCTTTAAAAAAAGACTAGAATGAAAAATATGAATATTTGTGGATCGTTATCTCCTCTGTGCATCGGGACATAGCGAGACCTTACTGAGAAATTTGTTTTGTTTTGGTTACTTGTTTCATAACACATTTACAGAACATCACTCTCTCTATCTTTTCTCTCTCTGTTCCAGGCTGCTTGGGTTTTTGACCCGAAGGAGAGAGAGAGAAAAGAAGATTCCCCACTTTCTAGAGAGAGAATAGGGGAATAAACAAAAGAGCAATAAAATGTCTTGTGCAGTGAATTTCTATTTATGTAAAAAGTCAAAACTATTTTTGTTTAGCAAACGTCACGCAGAGAGAATCAGAGAATTTCACCAATAATCATATGATATTAAACAGAAAAAGTATTTTATTTGGAATATATTATGACGACCAAAAAAAGAGAATTTAAAACTATAATAGTGTGTAAAAGCATTTTATTTTCTTTAAATACAAGACTTTTTTTAATCCGCTGACTAAAGATAAAATACATTTTTTTAACAATATATTTAATTCAATCGGTGGTAGAATAAGATCCTACAAGTTTTTGAAAAAATCAAATATAATGGCTGTACGTATCTTTTTAAAAATATCATATCTGATTTCGCCAATTATTTCAAAAGTTTATATTTGGAGATATCATTCTTAACATTTTTATCGTGGTGATGACCAAAGCGAACCAATTTCTATTTTGCTATTTGAGGACAAGATAACAATTATTAATGTTTATACTTGTCCATCGAAATAGGTCATGTTGCTATATTTATTTTTATAATTAAAGAAAAACTAAGAATCTTGAAGGCCATTATTAAAGTGTTATTTAGGCTTATATGTAGAAATTGTAATAAAATTAAGTAAAAAGAATCAAGGGGGGTAGGTTCTTTTCCCTCAACTAGGTTAAAAATACAATTTTCTTATCAAATTGACAATATAAAATAGTTCAGTAAAACAAAAGTTTCTATTATAATATTGTGTCACCAATACCATTTTCGTCTCGTGAGTAGATGCCACTCCTGGAATTATGATATAAAATTATTAGCTTTTTGTTAGGCAAAACCATTGACAAGTATCTTTTGTATTCCATAGTTTTACGAGAGAGAGATTCGGGACTAGAGAGTTCTTATAAAAAAAAAAATACAGGATGTTTTTAATTGGTTGAGCTAAATCGACTGAACTATTCATCAATCCCCAAATATGTTATTTACAAAATATCATAACGTTAGTAACCACATGCAGCAAAAAATGAAATAAAAGCATGGCATATTGTAATGATCAAACATGACGAGACGATCTGATGTTCATCACAAAGAAAAAGCAGTAGAACTTTTATTTTGTCACTTTAACAAAAAATATTTTTTTTTGGGAATCAACATAAGATGTATTATTAGCCCAAAAAAAAGACGTAAAAGGAATACCTACGTATATACACCACCAATTATCAACAAAAGAAAGTACGTATATATATACACGTAAGTGTTTCTATCTAATAATACGTACAGTATAGTTATATAGCGTAAGCTAAAAAGGCAAAACAAGTGGGTGCATGACTTGGCTTTCCCTCCACTTGGGCTTTGTCTCACATACTCCCAAATTCTCAATTAGGTACACTCCACATAAATTACTCACTTCTAATTTCAATCAATTTTTTTTTTTTTTGTCAATGGTAACAAGTGTTTCACACTGTACATATTTTTATTTTGGTCCTACAACACAAGAGGTTGGATTTGGACATGAATATGTAAGTGTACTTAATTTTTAGTTATTTGATTACCGGATAATCAAAATTTAATTATTTTATCAAGTTGCATTAGGATAAAGCACGACATTTCGTCTCTATCGCATTAGAACAAAATAAATAGATAAGATCTAAATATCATCTTTTTCGTTTTTAATATGGTCAACTTATAGTTCTCTAATTGACTGGATTACATATATAGAATCCTGTAAACACAAAAGATATTTATATGAGAATGATAAGTTGCAAACATTAAAATGTTTTCGTTAGTCGTTACGTCACTGTTATTGGCGTCGGGAACTTCTTATAATTAAACAAAATGCAACACTCCTCCTCCCATACGTAATATATTCACTTCATCGTGAAGAAACCGGCCGAGACAAAGACAATCCTACAACTATCTTCCTCTCTTTTCTCTCTATGGAACAACGCTCTTTAGTCTTTTAATTCGAATCCTGAATCAGAATAATTTGTGGTTTCCGGTTAGAACTGTCACCGCAAATATATTTGTGATAGTTTTAGTGGATGCTTTTATTGGACTTAAAGATCAACAGAGAACTTGTGAAGCACCTCGTAAAAGTTATCATGATTTTTTATTTTAGGGTTGTCACCGCAAGAATATTTGTCATAGTTTGACTTAATGCTTTTGTGGCGAAGGCTATATTATACGTGAGATATATATTGCCAAAAAAACCATCGTTGTCCACCTTCGTTGGCGTTAATCTTCATCAATAATATTTTCTTGTCGTCGTGTTTTTCGCTTTGTTATACTCGCTATCCTAGTCGCAGAAACTTGTAGACGAACCAATGGTGCATACACATTTTTAGAAAGAATATAAATTACAATTTTCATTTCAATTATTATTATTTTATTGTTTTGCTAAAGGGTTCATTTCGGCTTTTATGTGGTTTGTTTTGTTAAACTTTTCATGGGATGAGAACAAAAATATATAAAATTAACGATGGATTACAAGATATATATATATATAATATTTTGATCTATATATGTGTAAGGTTATTATGCTTAATTATATGCTCAAAATCCTTCCGTTTAATAATATAATTTTTTTTTTGACAAAAAAGAAATACAAGATACTGTATATATTATTTTTATTTATATGCATAAATTCTGTTTACATATTATTTTTTAAACATTCTATTTACATATTATGAATTAAATAGAACTATGATATGGTATATAGTTTTGTGGTTTGGTTTAATACCATTATTGTGTCATCATTCGGATTCATCTTTGGTACAAGCTAGGTGACTGTGAACTGCTGAAGAAAAACTAGATACTTTAATGATTAAGCTTTAATAATGCATGACCACATTCGCCGGAAACAAATTATGGCCACATCCACATGATTCCCTGATTACTTCGTTTAAGCTGTTTGATTCCAACGGTTAAATTGGAATCTTGCACTGCTTTCAATCGTATATACAAGTTTATTGCATAAAACAGCCAATAATCAATCCGTTTCGAATTAAAAAAAAAATAGATCAGAAAGAAAATAATCCTACATTATATTATAAAATTGCAAGAAAATCAAACTTTTTGGGGTAACCAAAGAAAATCAAACTTTGCAAATATAAAAGAAGATTCTTATTACTGGATTTTAAATTATTATCCGGGGAATAGAATCTCTTTTTTCATAGGGGGGTGAAACATATAAATAAAATTTATTTAAATTTTCGGACATTAAACTAATACGAAAAAGAAAAATGCAGTGCGACGAATTATTATAAGGTTGGCCGAATCATTAACTCCCACGTCAAATAATTTAGAGAACTTTTGCACGTCTTTGGTTAGGTATAAAACCTTAATATACTTCTTCTTCTTTGGTACGGAGAAAATACAGTATTTTTTAGTTGAGTACGTTGGTTGGTAGACCTAAGGCAAAGGCCCACGAAATTACACTCTTGCATTATACACCTCAAAACTTAGATATTTACATAACTACATATTATCGTTTTGTGTATAGCATAAGTTCCGTCACATGCAATCAAAGTTAAGTCTCCGAGATTTCGTCATCAAGAGATTGACTTTTCCTAACATGGATCCGAGATCTTGTTAACGACAACTAAACACGTTAATTTTTTGTTGTTTCTTATGTTAAACTGCAAAGTTATGAATTTTAAACACATAAAATATTATGGACGGTGTGGACCATTAGCATGACAGTTCACAATACCATTTCACTGGATAATTAAACAGTCTCGTAACTTCGATTTAAGAATTTGGTACTCTGCAACTTAACGAATTGTTTATCTTATTCTTTTTTACCGTGAAACTCCTTTTTAACTTTAGAAAACTATAAATTGTAACACATTCATGTTATATGCACTAAATGGTGAATTACTGTCTAAGCTATATGCAGATGTTACACGAAATCTAGAGGATATTGTTTACTTCAGTGATGATTAACTGAGAAACTAAAATTATATATACTTCTATGTTCAAATAATACTTCAAGTCTTACATGTAAAATATATTTGGTGATTAAGATTATTAAGGTTTGTTGTAAAAAAAAAAAGATTATTAAGGTTTTATGTTGCTCCATGTGCCTAATTTCTTATTTGAGCTGAAGTTCTCATTAAGAAAAGAAATTAATGGCCGAGACAATAGATTAGTCCGACTGTATAAGCTAATTATAGTTTGGAACAAACCAGTGTATATATAAAATTAAAAATGTCTGCTCTCTAATTATTCGTTTCCATTTCCACTACCAGCGGAATAATCAAATACCCCACCCCCACTTACATAAAATTATAAATTATATAATGCGATCTTGCATCATAACAATGACCAATTAAAAGGTCTGATGTCATGACTATACCAATTTATCAATATGGACGAAAGGCTTAGAAACTTTTTTTTTTATCATGATCGTGGCTCTGACATTAGACCACAACTAAATTCCAACTATAAGCTCACGTCATTAGATGCAAATCTGGAATAATAAAATAGCGCACCAAATCGACAGCAAGACATAAAACAAATAAAATCCATTTAGAGTAGAACCAGTGGATTATTATATATCTTGTTTTAGCTATAAAACTCATAGCTTTTTTATTAATTTGCCTTGAAAAAATATTTCTTAATATTGCGAATAGAAGATTACAAACAGGAACTAGTAACCCTTCTTCCTTTAAGCGTTTAATTGTCACTGTTTTTATTTTAATCATCTATTACCAAAGAAATTAAAAAACCAAAAGCATAAGAGGAGAGCACATTGGGTTTAAGGGATTTACGCAAGTCTTTATAGCGATGACATCATTCAAAAGTTTGGCCTCACGTTAAGACGAGTCGCTAGTTTCTGTCCCAGAGATTTGTCTGCCTGAGACCAGTAAGAGATCCAAATGCTGCGGATTTCGTGCGTCACACGAGGCTCGGCAAGCGCTTCAACAAAACGCTTCACGAACCGCTCTTGCCTTTTACCGAATATATAAAAAAACGATTAGAGGTTATGAATTGCGAGCTTTTGGGATTTTACAATGAGGGTTCTTAGTTTAATAGTGTGTTTACCTGTCTGAATCCCAGGACCGGTATCTTTCCCCTGGCTGCTTGAAGTTGTTCTCCTTCCCAATTATGCACTGTAATATGAAAAAAAGAAAGTGAATAAACATTTGAAACTTTCAAACTAATGTTTAAGGCATGGAGAGTAATACGACCTTCTCACGATTTCCAGAGCAGACAATAGGAGTTGTAGGGTATTTTTCGGCATGGCGAACCGGATCCAACCTCGAAGGGAAGTAATTGACCTGGAAAAGCAAACTCAACCGCTTCATATAAAAACGATTGTGATTAGTGTTTGTGAAAGAGCTGATTACCTCCTCATCCCTGTGCATAAAGTTCATAAGACCTTCATGGTGATTGTTGTGGTGAGCGCATTTAGGGGCATTGACAGGTAGCTGCAGATAGTTTGGTCCAAGACGGTGCCTCTGACTATCGGCGTAGGAGAAGATCCGGGTCTGGAGCAGTTTATCGTCTGAGTAATGGATGCCAGGAACCACGAGAGCAGGGCAGAAAGCGATCTGCTCATTCTCGTTGAAGAAGTTGTCGATGTTCTTGTTCAAGACCAAGCGTCCAACAGGCTGCAGAGGCAAGAGATCTTCAGGCCAGATCTTGGTCACATCAAGCGGGTCGAAATCGAACTTGTCTTCATGGGCAGGATCCATCACTTGAACGAAGAGGTTCCACTCTGGATAGTTCCCGGCCGCGATGGAGTCGTAGAGATCCTTAGTGGCGTGGCTGTGGTTGGATCCTCCAACCGTGATGGCTTCCTCATCCAACAGGCATTTAACCCCACAAGTCGGTTTCCAGTGGAACTTGACATAGTGAGCTTTTCCAGCTTTGTTGATTAGCATGTAAGTGTTGACCCCAGCGCCTTCCATGTGCCTGTAGTCCTGAGGGATACCGAGATCGTCAAAGAGGAACGAGAACATGTGCAGACTCTCCGGGTGGTGGGAGAAGAAGTCCAGTATCCTCCAGTTCTCCTGAATGTGGGATTTGGGATTCGGTTTCAGCGCATGGACCATGTCAGGGAACTTCATCCCATCTCGGACGAAGAAGACAGGGAAGTTGTTCCCAACAAGATCAAAGTTCCCCTGAGTTTGCAAAAAAAAAACAGAGAAAGGAGGAGGAATCAGCAAAGAAAGGTTCCAATATTAGCAAGCACAACGATAGAGAGAGAGAAGAGAGTGAAAAGGTAACCTCTCTGGTGTAAAACTTGACAGCAAAGCCACGAGGATCTCTGAGAGTCTCGGGGCTGCCACGCTCGTGGATGACAGTTGAGAAACGAACAATAACAGGAGTCTGAACACCAGGTCCTCGGAGAAAATCGGCGCAAGTAAACTGTGTAATGTCATGAGTGACTTCAAAGAAACCCTTGGCACTTGCACCTCTAGCATGAACCACCCTCTCAGGAATCCGCTCCCTGTCGAAGTTGGCGATTTTCTCCAGCAGATGGTAGTCCTCCAAAAGAATCGGACCTTGACAACATATAACAAAACCATACCTTTAACATATCTAACCAGCCAACATAATAAACTTGTATCAGATTTTGCATATCACTGAAGGAAGAAAGGTGATCTACACAAGTCCATTTACAAACCAGTGGCATTCTCATCTACAATTGTTTATTTTGATTAGAGAGAGATACAAAGACAAAGATAAAGACGCACCTCTGGTTCCAACAGTCAAGGAAGAGTTGTTGTTCCAGACTGGAGCACCCGAGTTTGTAGTGAAGAAGCTCGAATCATGAGCGCTTGAAGGACGAGACTGCACCAAACAATAGATTAATATATAGAAGAAATGAATGTACAAACCAAATTCCATTAGATTGGCGAAATGTCTTTAAAAAGAGATGACACATAACAGAAACACAAAGTACATGATCTAATTAACCAAATTCCAAAACCAGGAAGCAATGCTAACATTTCGTAGCTGTTATTTTTTTTTTTTTTAGCTTCATTCAAAATCAAACGCAGTGGCTACATAATAACGAACAAAGGAACTCACAATCCTAGAGAAAACCTTAGAACATGATGATCTACAAGACTACAACGATATCGAAAGAGTTTAGACTCGTTAATTCTAGCATGTGCATATGGAAAAAATAAACAATCAAATCCTAAATCCAACTTTTCTCTTAACCTGAAACACATGCGAGTTTCTGGCAATTTAAAAAAACCAAACCTGATTACTGCATAAACAATATATAAATCGATTTAAAGACCCCACAAAAACCTCAAGTAAATCGAACAATATCACCGCAACGCTCCAATACAAATTTTTGGACCACTTTTTTTTCTCGATCAAGTTACGAGAGAAAGGGAACCGAGTAGCAAATTTCTGACCATTCTCACATGATATCGTCACGGCAATCGAAATCACACACACCAAAATCCATACGAAACGAGCTCAGATCCAGAATCAAACAAGGCAAAAAACTACAAAATTACGAAATAAGCCAAAGAGAACCGATTGATGTATACCCTGTAAGGATCCATGATGCAGACAATCTGATCCGAATTTTTTTTCTTGCGATTTAGGTGAGACTGTATTTTCCCTCTGTATCTCTACGTAACCGGCGTGTGTCCCTACTGCGTTTTATAGCGATCGGATAAAATATCTATTTTAGCCCACCGCGAGAAAATGAGATTAAAAATCTCGCAATTTTGGAACACAACCAAAAAAAGTCGTACTATGTTTTTTTTGGAATCACGTGATTATCCAAAATGGTATCTTTTAAGATAATCATCCAGCTAATTACGTGTGGATGATGATGGAGTATGATCTCGTCTTTGCTTTTGGCTGGATACTATACCATAAATAGACAAGACTATTTGTTTTCAATTACTATCTTACGTAATAAAATTATTACTGCTTCAAGAAACATTGATTTATTTGTGAAGAGATTTTACAAAGACAGTGTGACAGTAAAATGAAGGAAACATCGGGTTTAGAGGAGTACAAGCAAAGCATCATTATTATACAGAGACACGAAACAGTAACACAGGGAAACATATCTTTTTGAGGGATTTGAAGACCAAGCGATGATGGATCGATTGATAGTTTCACGATTTTTATACCTTTGGGAGGACGTGCAAATCTCTCTAGATGCTTGGCCTCACGTTGAGACGGCTTGCAAGTTTCTGTCCCAGAGATCGATCAGCCTGAAATAGAAAGAGATTAAGAATGTGTTAAAGCTTGCTGAAAACCAACAAAGGAAGCAGATATTTCACTGAGTTTGTTTTTTATTTGTTCTGACCTGAGACCAGTAAGAGATCCAGATGCTGCGGATCTCGTGAGTGAGACGCGGCTCCGACAGAATCTCAACCCATCTCTTAACAAACCGGTCTTGCCTGTGACGGAAAAAAAGTAATCATAAAGAGATTAGGAACTAAGCTTTGTCTAGTGAGTTTCTGTGAGAGCTTTGTAAGAGAGTTGAGAGAGTTCTTCTTTACCTGTCTGGTGCCCAGGATCTGTATCTTTCTCCAGGCTGCTTGAAGTTGTTCTCCTTCTTGATGACGCACTGCAACATTAGCAATTGAAGGTTTTTCAGCAGACAGTTCAGATAAGTTGAGCTAAAGTTTTGAGTATTTAAAAGGAGGCATGGCGTGAATCATACCTTTGTTCGGATTCCAGTGTAGGATTTGGTAGGGATAGGAACTTTCTCGGCGCAGCGGACGGGGTCAAACTTTGATGGGTAGTAATTGATCTGTACAAGCAAGCACCAGATCAGGATTTCGATATCAAGACAAGAAGATCAAAATGTGTAGCTCGAGTGTTTACTAAGACTCACCTCCTCATCTCTGTGCATGAAGTTCATAAAACCTTCATGGTGATTGTTGTGGTGAGCGCATTTGGGAGCATTGACCGGTAATTGCAGATAGTTCGGTCCAAGACGATGTCTCTGAGTGTCACCGTAGGCAAAGATCCTACACTGGAGCAGCTTGTCGTCTGAGTAGTAGATGCCAGGAACCACAAGACCAGGGTTGAAAGCGAGCTGCTCGGTCTCATTGAAGAAGTTGTCAATGGTCCTGTTCAGAACCAAGCGGCCAACAGGCTGCAGAGGCAAGATATCCTCAGGCCAGATCTTGGTCACATCAAGCGGGTCGAAATCAAACTTGTCCTCATCCGCAGGATCCATCGTCTGGATGAAAAGCTTCCACTCAGGGTAGTTACCGGACGCAATGGCGTCGTGGAGATCTTTGGTTGCGTGGCTGTGATTGGCTCCTCCAACCACCTTAGCCTCTTCATCAGTCAGATTCTTGATCCCACAAGTGGGTTTCCAGTGGAACTTGACGAAGAGAACTTTCCCGGATTTGGAAACGAGAGTGTAGGTGTGGACACCGAAACCTTCCATGTGCCTGTAATCTTGCGGAATACCAACATCGTCAAACATCCAGCACCATGTGAGCAAACTCTCTGGCAAGTGGGACATGTAGTCCAGTATCCTCCAGTACTCCTGGATGTTCGTTTTCGGGTTAGGTTTCAGGGCGTGGACGACATCCGGGAATTGAATCCCGTCACGGATGAAGAACACCGGAGTGTTGTTCCCAACAAGATCGAAGTTCCCCTGGAGTTTACAATATCAGCAGCAAGAAAACACTTCAGTATACTGATGATTCTAAAGAAGCTAGAGAAGATGAGAAAAAATCGTAAAGGTAATATTTTTATTGGTTTATTATACCTCTCTGGTGTAGAACTTAACGGCGAACCCACGAATGTCCCTCATGGTTTCAGGGCTGGCACGCTCGTGAACGACGGTGGAGAAACGGACGATGACCGGAGTTTGAACACCAGGTGCTCTGAGGAAATCAGCACAAGTGAGGTCTGAAATGTCATGTGTGACCTCAAAGAAGCCCTTGGCACTGATTCCTCTGGCGTGAACCACTCTCTCAGGGATCCTCTCCCTGGTGAAATTGGCAACTTTCTCGATCAGATGGTAATCCTCAAGAAGAACCGGACCTGCCCAGAAAAAAAAGTAACAAAATGTCATCACACTCCATTAACAAGATTCTAGCTCGTAGCTCGTGAAGTTGAGTGTTACAGTTATCGTCAGATTCGTCGAGTTCAGATAAGGATTATCAATAAGAAGAAGAGAGTACCTCTTTCTCCGATGGTGAGGGAGGAGATGTTGTTCGAGACTGGAGCACCACCGTTTGTGGTGTAAAATGGAGCGTTGTACGCGCTTGAAGGACGATACTGCAAGCACCATTATTAGATCGATTATCAGGATAATCCCAGTCAAATTATGGTCAGATCTAGAAAAAAATCGAATGGATCCGACAAGAATAGATCCGTGAAACCCCTAATTTTATGACGCGACCCGGACATAAACGAAACTTGGTTTATCGGGCCGGATCCGGCCCGACGGTTGACAAATAAAGGCTATAGTTTTGGCGGCAAAAAACAGTAACATGTCGGAGATGAAGAGGTTGTTAACGAAACATATATTCCGATTATTGCTTTGATTTAGATACTTTCGTATATTCAAGTATTCTTGATGGATCTGTGTAAACACTTTTAAGGGTTCGAATAAATAAATCGATACAATAATGTTCATTACACATACACAACACAGGTATGTTACAAAAAAAATATGTATATAATTATGGTGATTGGCTGATCAGAGTTGATCGACCAAACTGTGATTAACCGAATGTTTAAAAATGTTATATATCTAGTTTGATCGGATTATTTATACCTTGATTAATCAATTGTGTAGATTTGTTTAATCAGGTTCAGGTGTGTAGATCTGAGTAATCAAATGATTGATTACTTTATCTGATTTGGCTAAAATCACTTATATTAATTATACTTTCGGACGACTAATTAAACAAACGATTAAAAACTTTTTTTTCTAGAACACACATGTGTAACAGACAACAAAATGACTCTCGTGATCTGGAGGAAAAAAAACAACAAACCGAATGTGGGCGTTACTTTCGCATGCAATATAGATCAAAACGTTTGAAAGATAGCCAGCCAAAAAAATCAACATCACCAAACTTATATAACAAGCGATCATAGATTTAAAAATCAGTTTTGAACTAAAAAAAAAAGCATGTTAGCTCGAAGATCTAAGAGCATCAAACCAACTTATCTTTCATTTTTTTTTCATTAAAAACAGCGGAAAAAACGATGGTAATTAAACATGATCTGTTTTAAAATACACACAAAAGAAAAGGTAAGAAGAATACCTTGTAAGGATCCATGGTGATGAAGAAGCTTGACGATGATCCCCAACAATGATTTAAGGTTTGGGTTTAGTGAAGAGTGTTGAGATCCTGTGTGTATATATATATAGTGACTCGCTTGTGCTATGCACACTTGCCACAGCAATGGCGGCCCCAAGTGGAGGGGGTACTTTTGTCTTTCTAAGATCAACTTATCGGTACAGTAAAAATGGGCCATTGTGTTTACTTTTCCTACGGGATAACAATAATGCCCCGACTTTTTGTCTTGTTTTCAATATAGCCCCCACTTAGATATTTCTTTTTCCGTTCTTGGCTCTAATCCTCGTCTGAAGAAAAAATAATAATCATTCGGTGATGAATAATAATTTATGATCCCGACAAGTCAGTATTGCTTGTTTCGGATAAATAACAATATCTTTCAGCTACACTTATCGTGACAAAAAAAACAAATAATATTTAAGTTTTCCAAATATTAAAACTCAAAATCGTTTAATATAATTAATTTTTTTTTAATGAATTGTGGATAAACTTTCTGGAATCGCTTACTAAATTGTAGAAGACCTTATTCAATTTGAATTGTTATACTTTATCCGTTTTTTTATAAAAAAAAATTTTAAACAAATTTATTCATAATTAGATGATGTTTTCAAAAATTAATGTAAAAAATAATTATTTTATTTTATATATTATTTTCTATTGGTTGAATTGTTTTGGAATTGATGTTTTATTTTGGAAAAAGAAAAAATTAAATAACTTCTTACTCTTTGTGCAAAACCTTAAACATTATATATTAAAAAATGAATGGAGTATAAATTAACAAAAAATCACTTATACAATTTATGAAAGCTTTTCTAAATACATATAATAACTTTCTTAATTTATATACATTATAGGAAAGTCTTTCTAAATTTATTATCATTTTCTTCTTCATTTCTGCGACACTCAAATTCTAATTTCTGCTGATTTCTTTTTTTTTCATCATTGTTGTTGTTTTAGCTTGGATTTCTTGAGTTTTTCATCCAGTTATATCAGATCTATCTTCTACTATACGATTTTGAGCTTTTAATCATAAAAACATTTTTCCATAAAAAAAGTACAAAAATCTTAAAAATTCACAATCACAAATCACAATCAAAAGATTTAAATTTCAGATCAGTCTTGGTCATTGATACATTTGTTTATACACTGTTTTATTTTCTTTTTTTATTAGCTAATATTTTGTCTAACTAATGTTAATATAGTCAAGTCTTTAGTGGAAAATATTATGGAAAGAACTTTTTAAAATGTTAGTATATATTATGAACAAAAACTTATTAGATGTATCTAAGGGTATTTTCCTATTATAAAACCAATTTTTCATTAAAATGATATAAACATACGAACAAAACAAGTTTTAATACATATATAGTTATTTAAAAATAAAATATCAAATTGGTATATCTTTTCCGATTGAAGTTAGTGATTCTTTTTAAGATAAATAAAAAAACTAGATAAAACGAACAGAAACTCAGTTTCATTTCCAAACATGAGTAAGCAATTTTAATTTGGATCTGTTTCTTTTCCAGTTTGGATCCTACCATGATACCACATCTCAGTTTATCTATAGCACAGTCGCATAATCTTATCGCGTATTAAAGATGAAGCTCGTGTCAGACACATGTTGGATAATATTGTCGACTAGGTTTCTAGTAATATATTTTTTTCCCCCAAATTATAGGATGTTTCGATCGATCAACTTCTTTTTTCACAATGGACCAGGGCATTGCCTTGATCTCACTGTAAAGGAGATGGTCGAGTTCCACAGAAAACATATCGCTTTAATCACATTGGCTCTTTTCTTTTCTGAAACTTATAAGCCATGAAACTCTGAAACTTATAAGCCATGAAACAAGTCACCAAATCTCAAAAACATAAACATTTTTTTTTTCCACAGATGGTTTATGAAATCCAGGTGATTAATGAGCTCAACTGGTTTAGAAAATTCTACTCTTATCCGAATTTTTACGTAATGCATCTAACACGAATTAATAATTAATATTTATAAAACTATAACACGCATTATTATAGATGATCATATCTCGAAATCTACGGGTTGAATTTCAAAACTTATAAAAAAATACAAAAAGCTAAATGACATTATTGAGTGGGTATGGTGGGGAGTCTGTGTTAGCACGTTGCTTCGATGCCGAATCGATCCATGTTTTGATTGGGGAGCTTACACTTGGGTCCCTTTCGAGTTTCGAGTGAACAAGTTGCTCTTGTTACTTAGTTTGGTATTTATGACAACTAGCTGGAACTACTCCAGTACTATTCTCAGAAAATTGCAATCATTAGAAGACAATCTACTTCTCTCTCCGTTTAACTAATTATTTTCACAATATTTTGTTTTTGAGAAAGAAAGCTCAAACTTATAGACTGGTAGTTTATATATCTGGTTTGAACATGTGATTTTACTTTTATTGTTATAATTTAACTTCAATTCAGATATGTGTAATACTTTTTGTTGTCCTCATAATCGAGTGTGTTTTCTTCATCATAGATTGGTTAAAACTTAATTATCGTCTCATCGTTGTTGCCTGTTGGGTTCATTTTCAAATTTAATATTGTGTCTCATTAGATCTAATTTGCAAATCATATTTACATAGTTACAAATAATAGAATTCATACTATATATGTAGATAGTTACATATTATAGAATTCATACTTTATCAAATAATTAATCCTAAAAAGATCATGAGCCCACGACCAGGTTTAAAATTTACTAAATGAACCTAAAAAAAAATATCTGATAAAGTTGTAGAATCATCTTACTAAAGAAAATTCATCGTGTGGTCACAAGAAAAAGAAAGAAAAGTCGTGGTTTGGTGACAAACAAAAAAAGTTACAAACCTAGGAAAAAGTACTAGCCTAGTAAATTGTACGACGTATATAAATTATGCAGAGCTGTGTCAATAAGTTTCTGGTGACTTTTGTCATATAGTACATATAGTACGTACATGGGAACATCATTTACTTTGTCAATTGTGTTTGTAGTGAAAAATTACAAGTTTCTCAGCCTTGTGTAACCAACTTTCTTGTATTAACTATTAGAGATCTCGGGATTTTTGCTCTATTATAATCACTATTCTGAATGCAACAAATCATATTGAAAATATAAACATCTTATTTTTGTCATAGTATATAACACACAACATTCTAAAAACTAGCTAATATACTTAGATATTCATATACGAGGGTAACTGAAATCCACTTGTAAGTTGGCACGTAGCAATCTTACCCTTACGTTACTTTTTGGTGTACCCAACCCAACGAATGAAAATGCGATTTTGCAGATCACACGACAAGAAACGGGATGTCACATTATCCTTAATTTTTTTTTCTTGAATTTTTGTCAATGGAGTTGAAAATTCAATCCTACTCAGATGGGGACTTGACTAAAATTTTGTTCTACTATTATTGTCATGATTGCTTTCGTTTTACTTTAAACTTTCTTTTTTCTTGTTATTTTATTGTGATTTAAAAACACACGTACGATATGTAACTAGTAACAATGTTAGTATATTATTTACCATCATAATCTGGAAAAAATGGTGGCTGGTGGTGCCTGATGATTCTAGTCTTGAAACATTATACAAAAGTGAAAATGTTATATAAATTGGACAAAAATGTTGGTGGTGCATGATACTAAGAACCAGGTGGCCAGATCGTTAAACAAATGCATGGGCTCTGTTATATAAGCTTGTTAATGGAAAATGAGTGGTGCATTTGATCGTTAAACAAATGCATGGGCCTTGTCCCAAAATGAGTAAACGCTATACAAATGCCTCAGACTCGATACTCATGACTCTTTTGATAATTAATGGAACCGTTAGAAACAGAGAAGAAGAAGACAAATTGGAGTAATGGCAAAGCAAAATCCAGAGATTTATTGTTGGCTTTAAATTTTCTCAAGACCAGAGTGTTTTAAACGTGTAAACAAAAAAACATGAATTAAATTACAAAGAGACTTCAAAAGGGCAAAAAAATAGAAGATCTATTAGAATCGTTGGCACTACAAATAGCAAGAGTAAGAGTAAGAGGAGTTGGAAATTAGAAAGTCGAAAGGTATCTGAAGATGACACAGTTCTTGAAGTTCTTCTCTTTCTCATTTCACCCTTCAGATCCTATGTAGGAGCTTCCTCTCTCCAAGTAGGAGCATTTTCGGTTCGATCGAATGTATAACCGAGTGAGAACCGATCTTAGGAACCACTGGAAAGAAAAACTCAAGAGATGAGGCTCAAAAGAACTAAACTTTGGTTCAGTGGATTGCTTCAACAAGCCTCTGTGTACGGTGTAGCTACAGGTTATTGCATCTCAGCTTCTCTTCTCTCAATCATCAACAAATGGGCAATCATGAATTTTCCTTACCCTGGTGCTTTAACCGCTCTTCAGTACCTCACAAGTGCGGTGTCTTACTCTGTGGGTACTTCAACCTCATCGACCACGATCCTCTCAATCTCTTAACCATGTGGAGGTTTCTTCCCGCAGCGATCGTGTTCTACTTGTCGCTCTTCACCAACAGCGAGCTTCTCCTCCACTCTAACGTCGACACTTTCATCGTGTTCCGTTCAGCTGTTCCCGTCTTCGTCGCCGTTGGCGAGACCCTTTTCTTGAACCAGCCTTGGCCATCTCTCAAAACATGGATCTCTCTTGCTACCATCCTTGGAGGAAGCTTGCTCTATGTGCTCACTGATTACCAGTTTACAGTCACGGCTTATAACTTGGCTATTGCTTATCTCGTGAGCATGTCTATAGATCTTGTCTACATCAAGCACGTTGTTACGACCAACGGGTTAAACACTTGGGGTCTTGTGCTTTACAATAACCTCGAGGCTCTTCTCTTCTTCCCGCTTGAGCTGCTCGTAATGGGAGAGCTTCAGAGACTAAGGCAAGAGACCAGTGAGAAGCACGACTGGTACGGTTTCTCGGTGGTTTTGCCGGTTGGTTTATCTTGTTTATTCGGTTTGTGGCGCAGCGTCAAGCTGGATAAGCTCGAAGATCGTTGATTCACGAAGAATAACCGTTCGACGAGAACTCGATGATCGTTGATTCCGAAGAATGGCCGTTCAAACGAGGGTTCTTGATAATCGTTAAGAATACGATAACAAGGAGATGAACTGAAAAGTTCTAAGTTTATTTAATAATCAAAAGCTGCCTTACAATCGAGCCTATCAACTAACTTATATAGAATACGTAAACGAAAACTCGAATGTAGCTCAAAACAAAGCCGACAATAATTAGTAAAAGCCCAAATAAAATAGAAAGCCTAATAAGATATAAAACCCAACTATGATCACGGCATGATCGTGGAGACGTGATCATATGAAGATGTGCTGCATCAGGTCTCTCCGGGTAGGATAAGATTTGCCCTCGAATCTAAACCATGCTTGTTGACTGCAGAATTAATCTTCTTATAATTCATTACTCACAGTCGATTCTGAATCTAGATCATCCTAAACGCCAAGAAACTTGATAACCATATCAACACATGTAACGTGAAGTCTCGAGGAATTGAAAGACAATACAAGTGATAGTTAGATCGCTCCAAGAACACTACCATGCCAATTTTCCTTGAACGTAATCACGTGGAGATGTATTATGCCTTTAGCCAAACCAACATACAAAAGCTTACTTGGTTCACAAGCAACATTACCCCATCAAATAATTATCGTGTATGTGTATGTAGAAACCGCTTGTGTACTACGAAACACTCCATTTCTCCATTTAGAAACGTTCAATGATAACTTGAGAGCAACCTCACCCCAACACATATCTGCTATGAAAGAGTAGTTGACCCGTCGGTGTGGAGAACGCACAAATCTGAATCCCCATTTGGAAACTCCACAACGTAAGCCAAGTTGTAACGTAAGGATCGGTAAGAACCACACAATAATCAACTCATGAAGGACAAGAAGATGCAGCAAAGTGAATGGCAGTAGCAGAGAAACAGAATTTTTGCCAAGTGTTAGTGCCCCATTCACATATTGAGAAGCATGGCAGAACTTTTCTCGAATATAGAACCACACTGAATTTCGCAAACATGTGTTCGCACTCTCCCGAGATGGTGGATCATCGATCAAAGGCAATGGTGATTGTGGTCTCACGGGATCATGCACCAACACGATTCTTCGATAAGCAAAGACAAAGCTGTACTTATTACTTCTCACACATTGTATCACATGTAACGTAAACGTACCGTTATCCCCAATGTTAGGTTCAATTGGAAGCTCACATATGCCACCTTCTTGCTCAAAAAATATCAGTATCATCCCACTTGACGTTGATAAGCTTTTCACGATGCACAGAGAAACCATGACCGATAATTCACAATAGCAAGCAGCACCAATTGGTTTTTCACCATAGAAGTCAGAAACCAACTCATCACTGAACTCTTTTTTATCGTGAAGAAAACTACGATCATAATTTGGCGTCTCTCTTTTGATTAGTAGACGATGATTTTGAAGATAAAGAAAATTACCCATGTTCATAATCTGGCGGCTTTCAGCCAAGGCAAATGAAGCAAAATACTGTCGTTGCTTCTCTGGATCACCCATGTTCATATCGCCATCGTCCTTATGGATTTTGTCATATATGCGATTGTCATCGTTATAGATGTCAAAAACTGGTTCACCATATATCTCTTTGTCGAGATCTACTACATCCTTACGAAACAGACGATCGCTTTGGTCACGAGTTGGCGCGTCGTCCCTGATCTGCCGATAACGATCTTGTACTTCATCTCGGCAGAAGTGAAACACCTTATCTGCTGTGAAAAGACTGTCGTCTTCGAATGCAGGATGTTTTTCTATTTGATGCGAAACTGGTTTGGCCAATTGATGTATAGACTGAAATTCATTATCGTAGATATCCCAGACTGGATCTCCATTGTAGAGGGACTCTAAAGTAGTTAAATCATTACTAAACCGAAAATCCTTGCGACTCCACAATGGCCATAAAAACTGCATCTCCTCTCTCACAATCTGGCAGTGGCGTGAAATTGAAGCCTCCGACACATCAACAAGAATGATTACGTCGCAGAAAAGATCAACTACACATGCACACACATCGCGGCCTTCTTTGTGTGGCAGCCCAAAACACAAGGAAGCCTTATACCACATCACTATTGAACTGAATATAACTGTTTTCATCGAAAGACATGCACTGACTCTGAAAGAGAACCCCAATTCTGTGGTACGCACAGCTCTACGTCGTCCGTTGTAAGCTCCTAATGAGAACGCTTTCTGTAATGGATTGTAAGAACATAACACCACCTGTATCGGTGTAATCATGTGAAGAGGAAAAACACAAATGTTGAGAGTCCACGGTGGCCACAAGAACGTGAACTTTCCCTTACCAACATTGATTAGTGGTGGTGGTGCTGGCGGTATCTTAGAATCATGGACCAACATGATCTTTCGTATAGCACAAGTAAAGCTACTAACACTATTGTTTCGATTGTGTGTCACTTCTTTATCATATCGTATTATTGGCATATCATCAGAATTCCTTTGGTGCTTAGAAATTGCATCAGCATCCCACTTCACGTTGTTAAAACATGCAGGAGCAGACATGAGCACCTTATTGCCTTGTTTTACATGACTCGTAAACTCTTTTGAAGTGCAAACGAGATCGTTATAGATCTCTTCGTAAACATCTTCCTCATAGCAACAAAACGGATTAGCTCCACAATCACGATCTGGGGGCTCACCAAATTTCTCTTGAGCTCTTCTATGATGAAAAATAATTAATGGACCTTTGTCCCTAGAAGCATGCTTTGTAGTATATTTTGCAAAATCCACAAATGCATCATTATCTCCCTTCTCATGGATGTTCTCGATGATTTGGACATGTTCGTTAGGTGTGAGGCAAACGACCACATCGTCCACAACTTTCGCCATCTGAAAACCTACTTGGAAGTAATCCTGTTGAAGATTATCTTCACTATCGTTGATATCCCAAATTGGCTCTCCAGAATAGTCGAGCTCCATAAGAGAAAAATCATCATCAGAAACATCATAGATAGGTACGCTAGCAAAGTCTTTTACTTGATCAAACGAATCAAGTGACTCATCGGCAAAGATACTCCAATCAGTAAGACTTTTACTTCGTAAACCACCCTGATTTTCCTTGATCATATAATGTTCTTCGTATTGGCAGGGATGATATGATTGATCTTCCTCAAAAGAGTTATAGGTATCCGCTGATTCGTGATGGTGTATTCGTTGTGACTGAACATATTCAACCAATTTACGTAATGACCGATTGATAGAGGATTGACTCCTTTTCTGACTCTCCAGAAGATTGCAACGCAACTCAGCCCAATCATTCATTGGTCTGCAGCTGCTTCGATCTGATGTGACGGAATTGAGAAGACTCCTCTGTGACAAGATAAATCTTGCGTCAAAAGCTAACAAAAAAAATTTTCCGGACAGGAACGTGCTTGCTCTGATACCAAACTGGCGCAGCGTCAAGCTGGATAAGCTCGAAGATCGTTGATTCACAAAGAATAACCGTTTGACGAGAACTCGATGATCGTTGATTCCGAAGAATGGCCGTTCAAACAAGGGTTCTTGATAATCGTTAAGAATACGATAACAAGGAGATGAACTGAAAAGTTCTAAGTTTATTTAATAATCAAAAGCTGCCTTACAATCGAGCCTATCAACTAACTTATATAGAATACGTAAACGAAAACCCTAATGTAGCTCAAAACAAAGCCGACAATAATTAGTAAAAGCCCAAATAAAATAGAAAGCCTAATAAGATATAAAACCCAACTATGATCACGGCAGGATCATGGAGACGTGATCATATGAAGATGCGCTGCATCAGTTTGGCTATCTCGTTCTTTGGTTTCTCGTGTCGCCGGGGGATTTCAGCTACCGGGTTTACGGTTCTTGGCATTGTGAATAAACTGTTAACAGTTGTGATCAATTTGGTTATATGGGATAAACACTCAACTTTCGTTGGAACTTTGGGACTCTTGATCTGTATGTTTGGTGGAGTCATGTATCAACAGTCCAAGAGCAAGAAACCAAAAGCTTTACAAGAAGATGAATCGCAAAAGCAAGATGATGAACTAAAGAAACTGCATGAGAGCGAGGAAGCTTATAATAAACTATGATCATACACACGAAGCAATCTAGAATATATACAATACAAACAAGAAACTATAGCATTCTTTCGAACCAAGACCATATCAAATCGAAGCAAGAAGTTATTGTTGTGATTCTAGAAATCTAATGGTTGAAATTTGGTTGGTAGTATTAATATAGTCACATAAAGTGTTTCTTTGTATAATGTACTCAAAGATGCAGAATCAATGCCACTATTAGTAGTATGTAAAAGCGTATATATCTTGTTTCCATAAAAACTTATTCCATTATTTTAACTATAAACTTCAGAATTTAAAAATGTGTTTTTTTTTAAAAAAAAGGAAGTTAATATATCAATGAGAGTATTTGTTTTTTGGTCAAAGAATACATGTGTATTTTGTAAATGTCCTGTTTTGAAATACTTTTGTAATAAATAATAGTATTTAATTTGTTTTTTATATACAAATGTATATATATTATAATATGAAAATTTTAGGAGTATTTTACCCATAAAGAAAAAAATAAAACTGAAGAATTTGAAAATGTATATACAAGACCAAAACACAAATTAGAGAAAAAGTCAAGTTTTGGTACGAGGCATCTGGTCTTCATCCAAGGGTTGAAACTAAGTAGCCGTTAGTTTTAAAGTTCAAATATCTCTATTACATTTTTGTTTTTCATTTTGTTTTTTTCTCTTGGTTTTTTTTTCTTCCCCCTTATATTGAGAGGGATAGAGAGTGAGCGTGAGTAAAAGAGGGATCTTCAATACGTAGCGATCGGAGAGAAAGAGAGCGATTTCGGTTCTGGGTTTTACAGAGGTTTGCTAAAGGATCTCTCTTTCTCTCCTTTGTTTGATCAACGTGGATCCACGGGAAAGACTACTATTAGGGTTTACGAGATTCTCTGGGTTGGAAAGAGATTGTTGGTTTGATTTTGTGATCAGACGTTGACTTAATTTTGCGGTGGTTCTTCGAATTGACGGCGGAAGGTGAAATTTTTTTGGGCGTTTCGTCATTTGGGTATTTGGGTTTAAGTCTTGTTCTTGATTGGATCTTTCGAGATTAGTAACCCGAATCGGACGAATTTGATTGTCAAGATTCAAGACTGTTTTTTTTTCAATTTTATTTTAAAAACCCTACTTTTAAGTTGGGGATTTTTGGATTTTGAATTTGATTTCGTGAGATTTAATACTCCAATTAAAAAACCTCCGCAGATAACGAAGGAAAATGGGTAAATCAGATGAGAATAGCCTTGGACTAATTGGATCCATGAATCTTCAAGGTACTATCAAAAATCAAATCCTCGTGTGTTCATCGTTGATGTTTACTTTTTTTTTTCCGTTTCCCCAAAATTGATTAAAAGGAGATTTACATGGTGGTGCAGGCGGAGGAGGAAAGATCATGCCGTCGGCGAATACAGGACCGACACGGAGAGCACTAAGCAACATTAACAAGAACATCATGGAGGCGCCGTCTTACCCTTATGCTGTTAACAACAAGAGATCACTCTCTGAGTAAGTGTTCACTTTGTAATGAATCCTCAGATTCGAGATTGGTTCTTCTCCCTTTATTTAGATTCTTAGGGAACCCAAAAACCTGATTTGGTTTTTGCAGGAGGAATGCCATCTGTAACAAACCACCTCTGCATCGGCCAGTTACTAGGTAAGTTAGATCTTCACTCTTGTCTACTTTCCATGTCTCACATTGTCTGATTGATGAGTCAACTAACAAGTTTTTTTAACTACTCTCTGTTGGTTTAGGAAGTTCGCTGCTCAATTAGCTGATAATAAGCCACAAATTCAGGAAGAGGTACTCTATAGTAAACACTATTCAATGTGTGTTTCAGTTTGACCGGATTATTTCAATGTCATGTGTTTTTATTTCTCTTTAAACTCTTTAGGAAACTAGGAAACCAGATTCGGGTTCAAGTGTTGAAGCAGAGAAGGTCATCATCGATATGGATCATAGTGATAAGGAGGAAAGAGACGACTTTAATGAGCCGATGTTTGTACAACACACTGAAGCAATGATGGAGGAGATTGACCAGATGGTAAAATACATTATCTTTAGTATTATATGTTTTTCATGAAAGCTAGTTACTCACACTGCCTGTTTCTTCCAAAGGGGAAGGAGATTGAAATGGAAGATGCAGATAAAGAAGATGAGCGAGTGATCAATATTGACGCTTTCGATGAGAAGAATCCTTTAGCCGTGGTTGAATATATCGATGATATATACAACTTCTACAAGGAATCTGAGGTGAATTTGATACGTTGTTTAACACAAAACTTTGCTGCTCTTTTACCAATGGGCTTCTAGTTTGACTCTGTTAGTATGATGATTCTGCAGGAACATAGTTGCGTGCCTCCTAACTATATGGACAACCAGCAAGATCTTAATGAGAGGATGAGAGGAATCCTCATTGACTGGTTGATTGAGGTAGATAGAACGAGACCAAAAAGGGTTTTAATTTAATTGTTTTCCAATGTGCATGATAGTAACATTTACTTGAATTTTTTTGAGCAGGTGCACTACAAGTTTGAACTGATGGAGGAAACCCTTTATCTCACAATCAATGTCATCGATAGATTCCTTGCGGCTCATCAAATCGTGAGGAAAAAGCTTCAGCTAGTTGGTGTCACTGCTTTGTTGCTAGCTTGTAAATACGAGGAAGTCTCGGTTCCAGTAGTAGATGATCTCATCTTGATCTCTGACAAAGCATACACTAGAAGAGAAGTACTAGATATGGTGAATATCATTTTTCTCTTGATAGTTAATCTTAGATATGGTGGGTGAAGTCCAGTTTCAGTTGACGTTTTTTCTCTTTGGACTTCTGTTTGCAGGAGAAGCTAATGGCCAACACCTTGCAATTCAATTTCTCTTTGCCTACTCCGTATGTGTTCATGAGACGGTTTCTCAAAGCTGCCCAATCTGATAAAAAGGTTTTTTTTTTTATGTCTCCTTTATAGAAAAGCTTGAATCTTTCTTTAAAGAAACCATCTGGCTTTTATATCTAAAGTTGTGTGATATGCAATTGTGGTTTCAGCTTGAGGTTTTATCGTTTTTCATCGTCGAGCTTTGCCTCGTGGAGTACGAGATGCTGGAGTTTCCTCCGTCTAAGCTAGCAGCCTCGGCAATCTACACTGCTCTGTGTACACTTCATGGATTTGAAGAATGGAGCAAAACATGTGAGTTTCACACAGGCTACAAGGAAGAAGAGCTACGGTAAGAATCACAAGCCATGAAGATATATTCTGAGTTTCGTTTGAAAACCGATGAGAGATAATCAAATTCTGATTGCTGATCAATCGGCTTTTGTATTTTTGTTGTTCCAGGGCATGCGCAAGAAAGATGGTTGCTTTCCATCACAAGGCAGGGACAGGGAAGCTAACAGGAGTTCACAGGAAGTACAACACATCAAAGTTCTCTTATGCTGCTAGAACTGAACCAGCTGGCTTTCTGCTTTAATGGAGGAAAAAAAAACTTTAATAAAAATGATGTATTACTCCATTTTTTACTCTAAAATGTAGTAATATGATAATGGAGTTGGATTTCAAATTTTCTTTTTCTTTGAACGATAATACAAATTGTTTATCATCCATGAAGGTGGGGAAATACAGCAAGAATACAAAGTTTGATGATTCGTAAACTGATTGTTCACTGTATAACTTCAAATTTCCAATGAACAATATATAAAATTTACAAATTAACCCATTACATTCTTAACAAAGAGAAATTATTATATACTTGCATCACAATTCCACAGGTCTGACAGATCTCCATCTATTTCTTATGTTCACTATCCTGTTCCATCAATTTAGCCGAGCTTAGTCTTAGTACGACCATTTGGGAAATCATGTGTTTAGCTTTATACATCTACAGCCAGAAATGGAGAATCCGCAAATTCATATCATAAGAAAAACTTGTCAATGTTTTAACATCTTAGTAACCCAAAATACAGAACTAATAGTGCAACTGGACACATCTCTCTTTCTCTCTTGTTTGCCTCCTTTTTAGAGAAGAACATTGGTTTTACAGTGAACCCTAAAGCAATAGATAACAGAAGCAAGAGAGGCCGGCTTTGTCTCAGAATCGAAGCTAAACATGTTGAGCGTTTTATTCAATCATCTCCTCACAGGTGGTACCGCTCCCCTTCCTCCAGTTCCACGCCCAGTAGCCGGAGCCTTTACAATAATATCACAGAGATTCAAAGATCCAACCATTAGTACGAATATGAATGTCAAGGATTTCATCAAACTTCCTAGCAATGCTGTATTGAGCGCAAAAATCATGGAAAAAGTAGCTTGCAGAGAGAGAGAGAGAGAGAGAACTTACTTTCCCTCGCATTGCAGCTCTACCTCTGCCAACACCCAGTGATGAGCTCTTTCCCTGCATCGATTAAGCAAGTAAGGAATTATGTATACTGAGGATGTACATAAGAGACTCTAACATCATTCTGCATCCATGGTTCAGAAGCATATACCTTGATTCTAGCATCTAAACGCTTGAACATTGGAGCATGCTTGAGAATGTCTGGTATGACCATGAACCTGTCAAGATTCCTCCAGAGGTCAATTACTAATCATCTACGTTTACAAGAATGATCGCATGAATTACGTAAAATAGAAAACGAGAATAAGCCAAAAAGAAGTGTTTATAGCACCTGACTTTGCTGCCTCGTATGAAGACATGCTCAAGCTGTGATACCTTACCATCCTGTGATACAACAACATTTGGAAAACCCACAACAAAAGTTCAGTGACTAACAAGAGAATCCATTAAGCTGTATTTGAAATACACATATTCCGCAAGATTTCTTGTAAGAATCAACACTTTTTAAGAGCGAATACAATATTTTGAACTGGTGACTCATAGGAGTTCTTTTCCAAACTTCAGATAATTCGTCTTTTGATCATTGTGATCACAAAGAGCAACCTCTCCGCTTTGAATGCCAATGATAGATTCACAAATGCCCCACAGACCAATACTATTTTTTAACCAATCTGATCAATACTATACTCGCAAGATTTAAAATGCATCTCATGCTTCACGAGCAGTTGCTACAGGGATTCACCATCCTAGGGATTTATACAGCCAGAATTTCAACGATTCTTAATCCCGCACGGAGAATTAAACGAGTTTTCTAAATCCAGATGAGAAAAATCGAGCTACAAAAAAACTAGTCAGAAAATTTTCAGGCTCGCCAAATCTAGGGTTTTCACAGCACTTTACATTGACAATGGAAAAGAAACGAATCCTATGGTTATAGAAACTATCTCAAAATCAATAGATTTTAGGTAGACTGTAGATTACCTTGGCGGTATAGGTAATGTCCTCGAGCTGGCAGTTCCAGTTATCCTCACACTCGATCATGCTTCCTCTGTAGAGCTCGCCGCTCTTTAGCTCCACCGTCACGATATGACCAGACGCCTCGTGAAGAAGCTTCACCGGTATTCCAAGACTTCGGCTCATCTCTCTCTCTCACTGCAAAACCCTAATTAAAACCTTCCCCTTTACTCTGCAACCTAGAAACAAAAAAAATGGCGGAAGGAAGGAGATCGATTCAGATGCCTCGAGACTTTTAGCTGTTTTAAAGATTTTCTGAACTAATATTGGGCTTTTTATATCGAGCCCATTTTAATCATTTAGGCCTAATTTAAGAAATTGCTTTCTACTCCCTATATTTTCAACATTAATGTATTCTCTAATTCTTACTTTTTGTACAGACGAAGGTCAATTTCACTCACAGAGCCGATCGGCAAGGAAGCTCCGTTGCAAAACTCGCTGGGAGATTTTTGAATATTACTTAGGGTATTCATCGGAGAAGAAGGTCCGGCTGCTATGGCGGAAGAAAAGGAGATCAAAGGAGAGAAAAAGTACAAGTATAGCATAATTGTTCCCACCTACAACGAGCGCCTCAATATCGCTCTTATAGTCTACCTCATTTTCAAGCATCTCCGGTACATAAACTCACTTGTTTCCCCCATTCTTTCACGTTTGTTGTTTATCTCAGAATCGGTTTTGTGGTGAATTTTCTGGTGTTACTGTTTGTCATATTGAGTTTTCTATTTATCGAATTCTGGATCCCGTTTCACCGAATGGCTAAATTCAAATCTGATCGCCGATTAGTGCTTCGTTTTTTTCTGGTTTTCCTCCCGAATGATCAGAGTTTATGCATCTCGGAAAAGTTCCGATCATGGTTTTTACAAATTGCAGATCGAAATTCGTGATTGTTGTTTGTGTGCATGAGCTAGTAACACAGTGTAACGATCCCTCAAACAGTATAGAAGTAACTTCATGTTGGTTATAGAAAAAAGTGTAGTGATCGGAGAATGATCAGAAGCTAGATGTCAGATCGATTTTGGTTGAGCCTGCATATAAAAAATTAGTAGAATTGCAATTGTTAAGTAGACTCTTCTCTGTCACATGTTACTGATGATTTATACCAATGTTAAGAAAAAATCTTCCATTCTTGTTATGGTATAGGGATGTTGATTTTGAGATAATTGTTGTGGATGATGGGAGCCCTGATGGAACACAAGAAATTGTCAAGCAACTGCAGCATTTATATGGTGAAGACCGTATTGTGAGTACCGCAACGAGTTAGGACCTGAATATGTAATTTTTATTGAGCATTTCCTTTTGCATAGTTGAACTCGTGTTTGTCTTTCTTATGTTGCAGCTTTTAAGAGCTAGAGCCAAAAAGCTTGGCTTAGGTATGTAATTATTACTTAAAACATCTTCTAATTTTGATTACAAATTACAATAAGTGGAATGAATCTTCTTGGCATGATCAATCTCAGGAACTGCATATATCCATGGTTTGAAACATGCTTCTGGTGATTTCGTCGTAATCATGGATGCTGATCTTTCACATCATGTAAGAGCCATCAATTACGTTTTGTTGTTACATTTCATGTCTAATAGTTGAGCTAACGCAGTCGATTTCCTCTTGCGCAGCCGAAGTACTTGCCAAGTTTCATCAAGTAAGTAGCGTTTCTTGTTCTCTTACAAATTCTATTAGCTAAAATGACACGTGAACTTGCCTCTCATTTGTGGTCCATGTCGATAAAGGAAACAACTGGAGACGAATGCAAGTATAGTAACCGGTACACGATATGTAAAAGGTGGTGGTGTACACGGGTGGAATCTTATGCGAAAACTCACAAGCAGAGGAGCGAATGTGCTAGCTCAAACACTTTTATGGCCTGGTGTATCTGACTTAACCGGATCATTCCGGTAAAAATTCAACTAATTTTGTTAAAATATTATATCACTGACGTCATTTGATAATATCGTGACTTGACCTGCATCTACTACCTCTTTATTTGAAAGGCTGTACAAGAAATCAGTGCTTGAAGACGTGATTAGCTCATGTGTGAGTAAAGGCTATGTCTTCCAGATGGAGATGATTGTTCGTGCTACCAGAAAAGGATACCATATTGAAGAGGTCTGTCTTCATATATTTAATAAAGCCACATGTGATTTTGATTCCTTTTTATTTCATTTCATTATTCATGATTCTCTGGTACACGTCCTCATCTGCAGGTACCGATCACTTTTGTGGATAGGGTCTATGGAACTTCGAAGCTGGGAGGATCTGAAATAGTGGAATATCTAAAAGGCCTCGTCTATCTTCTGCTCACGACTTAAGAGACACCAAGCAGGTCAACAACACATGAAGTCTCTCTTTATACTCGTCTCTTTTAACACTTGAACTCAGATCATGTCTTGTAGAAACTTCACTTTAGCTTGACTACAGAGAGTTGCATTTTTCAAAGACTCAAAAGGGTTCAGTATTATAGACGCTGTTCGTTTTGACTTTTGAATGCTGAGTTGAGACATTTTGATGAAAATCGTAACCAAACCAAAGTAAAGGCTTTACGTCTTAGTTCTTTCGTTACTCGTAACATCTCATTCAAACTGAGCGGCCTAGGGGCTTATTTATACAAGGAGAATAAGTGGGCTTCGGGAAGCCCACTAAGAAGTTGAGCAAGTGTCTTTTCCAGATATGTAGGACGAAGCTGGCACCAAGTGCCCGAAGCCCACTAGGAAGTTGAGCAAAGTGCCTTTTCCAGATATGTAGGACGAAGCTGGCATCAAGTGGCTCGTGTGATCTGGCGAAACATGATCTATTTTATTCAGCATTTGATGCTATTTTTGTTCCAAAAGCGGCTACAGATACTACTTGTAGAGCCTGACAAAGCCGTGAAGCACTTAACTCTCTTTACCCCATTGATGAAACGCACCACTTTTCAGGAGCGACTGAGCAAAAAAATTCTTGCCGGCGAAAAAAAGAAGAGATAATGGAAGGAACTATCAAGTCTCCGGCCAACTACGTTCCTCTCACCCCGATCAGTTTCCTCGATCGTTCTGCCGTCGTCTACGCTGACAGAATCTCCGTCGTTTATGGCCCCGTCACCTACACGTGGCGCCAGACCCGCGACCGCTGCGTCAGAATCGCCTCAGCTCTCTCCCACCTCGGGATCTCTTCCGGCGATGTGGTCAGCACTTCTCTTTCACCGATTTTCATTATCTCCTAATTTATTCTTGTGTATTGGTTTTGTCGAATGCATCATCTGCCTCGCAGTTTGAAGATCTTGTTTGTTTTCAAGCTTTAAATTCATCCCTAGGAATGATGAGATTTTAGTTTTCTTAATTCATCACACATTTCTCTGACTCTTCACAATTGATCAGGTTTCAGTGTTGGCCCCAAACGTTCCAGCTATGGTTGAGTTGCATTTTGCTGTTCCCATGGCTGGAGCTTTGCTCTGTACACTCAACATTCGCCATGATTCCGCACTTGTAGCAGTTTTACTCAGACACTCAGGGACAAAAGTGCTTTTCGCAGATCATCAGTTTCTCGGGATTGCTCAAGGAGCTTGTGAAATCCTCTCAAAGAAGGGCGAAAAGGCTCCGCTTTTGGTCTTGATCCAAGAGCCTCTTGTTCAACCTGTTGTTTCAGGGAAGAAGAGCTTGATGGAATACGAAGATGTTGTGGCCATGGGGAAATCAGATTTCCAAGTTAAAAGGCCGAAGGACGAGTGTGATGCCATCTCTCTAAACTACACTTCAGGCACCACTTCGAGCCCCAAGGGCGTTGTTTATAGTCACAGAGGTGCTTACTTGAACTCTCTAGCCGCGGTTATACTCAACGAAATGCACTCCTCGCCTACTTATCTATGGACTAATCCAATGTTTCACTGCAATGGCTGGTGCTTGTTGTGGGGCGTTACCGCGATTGGTGGGAGTAATATATGTCTGAGGAATGTAAACGCAAAGGGTATATTCGATAGCATTTCCAAGCACAATGTGACTCACATGGGAGGTGCACCGACGATTCTGAACATGATCGTCAACGCTTCTGAATCCGAGAAGAAACCGCTTCCCGGAAAGGTCTCGTTTATAACCGGCGCTGCACCGCCACCGGCTCATGTGATCTTCAAGATGGAAGAGCTAGGGTTCTCTATGTTCCATTCCTATGGTCTAACCGAAACTTATGGACCAAGCACGATCTGTACATGGAAACCTGAGTGGGACTCTCTGCCTAGAGAAGAACAGGCGAAAATGAAAGCGAGGCAAGGCGTGAACCACTTGGGGCTCGAGGAGATCGCTGTTAAAGATCCTGTAACCATGAGGAGTTTGCCGGCTGATGGTGTGTCAATGGGTGAAGTTGTCTTCAGGGGAAACACAGTGATGAATGGTTACTTGAAGAACCCTGAAGCAACCAAGGAAGCTTTCAAAGGAGGTTGGTTTTGGAGTGGCGACTTAGGTGTCCAACACCCTGATGGTTACATAGAGCTGAAAGATCGGTCGAAAGACATTATAATCTCTGGAGGAGAAAACATTAGCTCGATCGAAGTCGAGTCTGTTCTCTTCACACATCCTTGTGTTCTTGAAGCAGCTGTGGTCGCGAGGCCTGATGAGTATTGGGGTGAGACTGCTTGTGCCTTTGTAAAGCTTAAAGATGGGTCTAAGGCAAGCGAGGAGGAGATTATAAGCTATTGCAGGGAGAGGATTCCGCATTACATGGCACCAAGGAGCATTGTGTTTGAGGATCTTCCTAAGACATCGACTGGTAAAGTCCAGAAATTTGTTCTGAGGACCAAGGCTAAGGCTATGGGAAGCTTATCAAAGAAAGGCAGAAGCAAGTTATGAAGTTGGTTAAGCTTTTTTGGTCCACGTCCTTTATCACATTGGTCAAGCTGAACCGGAATAATTGTACTTATATAAACCACGTTGTATCATTTCTGAAATAATTTATACTATCATGTTTGGTAAAGCTAAACATGAAACAATTGTACTAAAATAAACCAAGTTGTATGTTTCTGAAATAAATAAAACTGGTATGAATCTGGAAAATTTAGATCTCTAGCGTTCTGATTAGAGTTGAATCTGATGGCAAGTGGGTAGGTATATATATTAATTATCTTAGGGAATCAATCAATTCTTAAACCATCTTCTTGTAATAACTGTTTTTTTTTTCTTTTTCTTTCTTTGCTGCAATTCGTTAACTAAATTTCGATTTTCTTTTATATATAAAAAAAAACTGAACAAAAATATTACTGTCGTTTTAGGAAGTCGTGTTTACACATACCAATACATGGTACAGTAGTATACTATTAAATCGATTTTATTAGGGGTCGGATTATGTTTTAACTAACACTTAAATGAGTTTGCTCTGTTTTACAAACGAATCAAACTCAATAATGTACAACAATTTGCGTGTGAGTTTCAATTTAGCCCAATCAAATACGAGTACTTAACCGTTACTAAACCGGACCAGTACTCAGTTAGATTAGAGATGATCTCAAACCGTTGATTACATTCCCGATTTTGGTTAATATTACGGATCTAAAAATTCGTAAACCGGCACACACCTATATAGTTCGTCGATGGTGACAACACCAAGCAAACGGAAACTGGCAGAAAGGCATACAAAAAGAGTAATGCTTTCCTTCACAGTTCACGCTATTGTTCACTTACACTCTTTAGCAAAAGTTAATAACTGAAACAGTAACTTCAAATATTCTTCTTTTTACCAATATAGTATAAGAAAGAGAAAAAAAAAAAACTGTAAAGCAAAGAGTAATATCTACACTAATTTATAGTTTAGAGACAGTAATGGTTTTAAAGTTGTAAAGTGATTCAAAGAAACAAAGCTTGTTTGAGGGAGAAACAAAAAGAAGAAACAAAATTGTAACAGGCTCTACTGTCAAAAGATAGTCAGAGCTTCCGAAAATGCTACAATTATCTTCTTATCTAAATATTCCATAAATCAATTATGAATTATTTAGTAACAATAAAGTCCTCTCATAGGTATAATTAAGCAAAACAAGAAGATAACAATCGAAACAAACTAAGAGCAACAGATACTTTGCAAAGTCTCCAGAAAATCCAGCTCATAATATCATTATCAAAATCAGAAATCAATTTTATAATTAACGATTTAATTAATATATTATTAAAAAAAAAAAGCTGTTAGAACAACGAAGTGCTGAAGGCGGTGCCTCATTTTTTTCAGAGCCCAGAAATCTATAAGAACTGTCCCAAAACAAAAACAAAAAAAAAAACATTTCTCAATAAGGAAAAAAAAAATCAACCTTTTTCGCTCTCTAATAAAAAACTGAAGCCAGAGAGAATCTGCAATGATAACTGTGGTTATGGAGATGTCGTGAACAGAAAGAGTAAATTACCATAAAACAAACAATGTTTAGATTTTGATATTGATTTTGAATCTTCTGCACCAGTTTACTCCCTCTCTCTCTCTCTCTCTATAAAGAGAAAAGACTCTTGTTTTTGTTTCTCCACTGGAGCCGAGCTTTGATTGACGAATCTCTCTCTCTCTCTCTCTCTCTGGCGTAAAGGCGAAGGTAAAAGCGCCGCGCTTATAGCCTTCCATGGCTTTCCAGCGGCGGCGCTACAATTACTACAACCGTCTCCGCCGTCTCCTCCCTCTAATTTGCGCCTTCTCCGGAGCTCTTCTCATCCTCTTCGCTCTTCTCTCCATTTTTTCGCCTCCTCCTGATGATTCCGATCGCCGCATTTCGGTACTCTCTCCCTCTCCCTCTCTCTGTTTAGAATTTAGAGATTGGTTTATGAGATTCTGATCTCTCTTCCTCACGCCATTGATCCTGTTTCATTGCAGAAACAGATTAACTATGGAGCCAATGATGGGAAGAACATAGCAGTAGTTTTCAGGGTTCCGGTTAGGGTTCTTAATTTCATTTCATAAATTTTTACCATTTGATTCATGATATCATACACACAAATGCTTTTTCTGATGCTGTATGTTGCAAAGTCTGGATTTTTGTTGCAATCTCCCTTGATGAGCTCGTTTTGGGTTTGTGTTTGTTTTGACTGAGACAGAGAGGTGGAGGGAGATCAGATCGTCATATCTGGCATTCATGGAATGCTGAATTCTTTTATGGTTGCTGCAACGCAAGCAGCAAGTTCCCAAGTGCGTAAAGTTTTACACTTTTTTCGTTATTTTGGTGTTTGGAGATATGAATTTAGAGAGAGAGATTCAATATCATAGTTCTGCAATTATAGACTACTTAGCTAGAATCAGCCTGAGCCATATTAGAGATTTTGAATTCAAAGGGGTTAAATTAATTAGTCACACCAAGTTTTTGATTTCTTACTGCAGATGCTAACGCAATTACTAGGAGTGATCGATACTTGGCAATCGCCACTAGTGGTGGTTTAAACCAACAACGAACTGGAGTAAGTTCCTTTAGCTTTGTCTACATTCGTAGTACTGTTTATGTGATCTTGTTTCTGAGTCTCGCAATGTAATTGCTTCTTTCAGATTGTAGATGCTGTTGTTGCTGCACGAATTCTAAACGCTACGCTTGTTATTCCGAAGCTAGACCAGAAATCTTACTGGAAAGATGCCAGGTTCTTTGGCTTGGATCTTCTTTCGCATTTGGTTAAAAAAAAAAACCAAAACTTTATGCACCTTAGTAACATCTAGATATTGTGCTTTTTTATGCAGTGACTTCTCGCATATCTTCGATGTTGATTGGTTTATGTCATTTCTCTCAAAAGATGTCAAAATCATAGAGCAACTTCCGACGAAAAAAGGGCGAACGTGGAGCCCCAGCAGAATGCGTGTACCGAGGAAATGCAACGAGAAATGTTATCTAAATCGGGTGTTACCTGTTCTTCAGAAAAGGCATGTAAGTTTTGTCTAATCTCTTCTCTCAATCCTTTTTTGCTTCTTACCATTTAATAAAAGTTTGAATCTTTTCTTTTACGATGCTTAATGTATGATTTTGGTTTTTGTCAAATGTTTGTTTTCTTCAGGCAGTTCAACTGAATAAATTCGATTACAGACTATCAAACAAGCTGAGAGATGATTTGCAGAAGCTGAGGTGTAGAGTAAACTATCATGCGCTCAAGTTCACTGATCCCATTCGCAAAATGGGTAACGAGTTGGTCCGGAGAATGCGGTTAAGAAGCAAACACTACATTGCTTTGCACCTCAGGTTTGAACCTGACATGCTCGCCTTCTCGGGATGTTACTATGGAGGTGGCGAGAAGGAGAAGAAAGAGCTGGGATCAATCAGAAGGAGATGGAAAACTTTACATGTATGATGCCTCCAAATCTTATATCTGCTTATTTTCTTTATTCTTTCTTTCTTTTGGTTGGATTTAAACGAGTTTGCTCTAATCGCAGGTAAATAATCCGGAGAAACAAAGGCGACAAGGAAGATGTCCGCTTACACCAGAAGAAGTTGGATTAATGCTTAGAGCTTTGGGATATGGAAGCGATGTTCATATATATGTTGCATCAGGTGAAGTTTATGGAGGAGAAGAGTCATTGGCTCCATTGAAAGCACTTTTCCCTCATTTCTATTCAAAAGACACCATAGCTACAAAGATGGAGTTGGAACCATTTTCTTCTTTCTCTTCACGAATGGCTGCGCTTGATTTCCTTGTGTGTGATGAAAGCGATGTTTTCGTCACAAACAATAACGGAAACATGGCGAGGATTTTAGCCGGTCGAAGGTAACTATAACCAAACCTCTTCTTTTCTTTTCTTTCATTTGAGTTTTGGTTGGTGTGTTGAAGGTTTTGTGATCTTATTGCAGGAGATATTTTGGACATAAACCGACGATTAGACCCAATGCGAAAAAGCTATACAAGTTGTTTTTAAGCAAAGGGAACACAACATGGGAGGAGTTTGCTTCTCATGTCAGAACATTTCAGAGAGGATTCATGGGGGAGCCAAAGGAAGTAAGAGCCGGTCGAGGCGAGTTTCATGAGAATCCGTCTACTTGTATCTGCGAAGATACCGATGGTAAGGCAAAGGCGGGAAATATGGATTCGAGAAAACTCGGTAAGAAAAACAAAATAGAAGATGGAGGAGTAACCAATGATGAACAGAAGGAAGATGAAGATGCAGAGTGGTCGTCGGAGACTGATTATGAGGAAGACCATACTGATTTGCAGGACAGAGGATTGTATAACGGTACGAGGTTAGATTATGAGGATGCGTCGTTATCGGTTTCAGATGAGCCTGAGCTAGAAGAAATGCTATCAGATTGATTCAGTTTTTAGAAAGGAAAAAATTATTCAAAATCGATTTTTTCAACCTTTGTGTTTTGGTTTTATTACCTCATCAATGTCTTCTGTACATAGAAATCCCCAATCCCATTTCGTTTTTCAATTTATTTTCTTACTTTTTTTCTCCGACAAGAATTAGCCGTTCGGTATGTTTAGTTCAGACTTCAGAGCAACTGAATAGACACATCAAGATGAACAATTGTGTCAAAAGTACATTATTTTGAATACAATAGTCTTCTCTCTTTTTTTTTTCCGACAAGGATTTCGATGGGTCGTGTCGTGTCTGGGTCAGAGCAAATGTGATGCTGAGTTTTAACTACAGTCTCGGAATGAAAGGCTTGACGGATTCGATGACGACCTAACATATATTAACAAGCAAGAGACAACGTTCAGATGAATCCCCAAAGCTCTTTAAATGATTCTTTTGATCTTTGTGATACGATGCATAGAATTTTTTTCACTTACCCTTCCGTCGTATGATAGTGATGCAAAAATCCAAGGCTCACGTGAGCTCCAAGCAAGACCTGTGTTGAAATTAAACAATATCTAAGTAATGGGAGAGTAGTTTTGTTTCACAAGATAATTGTAGTTATAAGGTCTAACAGAATTTACCATAGACACTGTCTTCATAATCAGTGTATGAGTTAAGCAACAGGTTTACGCGCTGACGTGAGGATTCCACAGGGCTGAGATAGTTGGTAGGAACAAATATGACTCAAAACAACGCAAAATCATAGGTACGAGGGAGGCGGATAAGAGATTTGTAACAACCTTTCTGATGTTTTTTCATCAGTGGATGATGCTGCTGAAGCATACCATAAGTTGACAGCTGAGTCTGTTCCAGCGCTCTGTGTTTTACTTCAATTAATCAGTAGCCACACTTTGAAATCTAGATCGCGAGTTAAAAGCAGAGGCTTCGTTTTCTAAGCTAAAACGTAGCATGTACCGAGGATAAAAAGCATCATTTAATCACCTTGCTCAACATATTTCAGCTAAAACCGCAACAGCAACATACATAGCTACTATGTTGAATGATCCGACTCTGTTAAAAAACATTTAGAAGGAGAAAGAGAGTACCAGAATAAGACCATCATACTCAGGGTTGCACTTGACGGTCCATGTCCTGCGAAATTTGACATAAACATACAAAGACACAAAAGTCAAGTCTCAAGCACTAGGTTTTCATAAGAAAGTTCACAAAAGAAAATGAAAACAAAACCTACCAATGTGTATGACCAGGAAGCTCCTGGACAGGAACCTTAGCCTTCCGGAGATCCCAGACATGTATGCCAGTTTCATCCTCTGCTGTTATCTATGCAATATAATGTATAATCCATCACAACAAAGATAAGATAATAATTTTATACTGAATCCAAAGGTTGAGTTCCACATTTATTTAGTTCAGGTCAATGCTCGAATGATGTAGAAAAGACCAAAGAAAATGGCCTGAACACATAAACACACCACCCTTTTCTAGTATATATGAATCATTCCTTCGATTTGAAGAGAATATTGTGCAATGCTTTGGAGGTACTTGAGAACACAAGAGGAAAATCTTACAAGTATATGTTCTCTCTTTGGATTGTAATCAACACCTCGAACATGAGCACGTTCAATTGAATTAACCTTCCTGTGTTGTGCAAACAAGATGGCGAATCTCAACATATATGCATAGGTTCATGATGAACAGTCATTTTGACATTGTGAGTATAATCAACGCGCAAAAAGGTAAACCTAAAGTTTACCAAAAGCGGTACTTACTTCATCGTACGCAGGTCCCAGAACTGGACGGATGATTCACCAGTTGCTGCAACAGCATTTACATCATGTGGATTCCATGCCCCACCAGATAAAGAATGCAACATCCCAGCCGAATCCTTGGATATAACCTAATATAAAATCGAAAACTATTAAAAGGAAACAGCTTACAAAACACCTTAAACACACGATAGCACACACACAAAAAACGACTCTGTCTCTGTATCCTCGTAGCTAAATCACCTCAGCAGACTTTTTCGAACAGTCTAAGCTCCACAGGTAAATATTTTGTTCATCCATGCTGATTAACTTGTCACATCTCCCAGAAGGCCACCAAAGAACACTGTTTCCACAAGAGACACAGAGAGAGAGAGAGAGAGTCAGCTTCATAAGAAACGAAACCAGTTTTAAAACTTATGCACCACTGTAAGCAATAGACTAAAACGACGAATCATCAAACTCACCAATTGATCTTACCAACATGAGCATCAAGAGATGCAATACGCTCCAGTTGTGGGGAACTCAATTGACCATATAACTCAGGAATTTGCCATATCGCTGCTCCAAATGACTCACCTTTCACGAAATGAAAGCATTATGAGCCTTTGAAACAGTCAAGACCAACTCCAATATCTTGCAACTGATCAGCTCAAGGTATGCGAATTTTACCAGTGGAATAGACAGTGGAGAAAATGCGTTGATCGAAAGGGCAAGAAGCAAGGTCCCATATCTCATTAGGGTGAGAGAACAAACCCTCGCACACCAGCTCAGATCCACCAGATGACAGACGAAGAAGATGAACCTTAAAAAGTATCGCAAATGGTGGAAACAAACTTTCAGTATCTCCCCGGATCAATAGAAGGGCGGAACCGATCAATGGAGAAACATGGATTCACCTCGTTTTCTTCTTTCAAGCTTAGGGTTCCAGTGAGAAAGCTGGTGTAATCCGTATCGGCTTTCACATCCGATATGCATCTAGCCTGAAAACAGATAATTTTTTGTTTTTGAAGAATCTAAGAAAATTAACGAAGATCCGAACACGAAGAAGACGACAAATCACCTGATACTTCAATCCGTATCCAATTCCCGACGATCCTCCTTGCATTGTCGCCTGAGCCGACGCACGGATTCAGGTAGACGACCAGTGGGGGAATTCAGTGAAAAACAAAGCCGACCGAATTGATTTTGCTGGTTTCGTACTGCTGATGATCTAATGGGCCTAACTTAATATAAATGGGCCCAGAATAATGTTAATAAGAGGATATAGAAGCCCAAATTTCTCATCCTTTACAATTTTACAACTACACTGAGTCATATACAGTGCGACGCACACTGTCACACTCACATGACTGATAGTCTTCGGAACAAAAAACAAAAAACAAAAGAGAAAGAAAAAATCATTTTCCTTGTAACAAATAGCTAGAATACATTTATAAATGACGACTGATCAAAGTAGTTCATAAGGAAATTCCTAAAATGATGAAGAACAAAATATCACTACTCAGGTCACTTAGAGGGCTTTCGAATGAAGTCAGTCCATAGAGTACCATGAATTGTCTATTACTCTTTAGGCCCAGTGATAGCTAGACCGTTGTAAACACTGCTATCACCGAAAAAAAAAGCATAAAATCATGATTCCATCATCATCAGAAAAAAGAATGTTATGATTAGGTTTTTGGCTGTGTTTCTAGATGGTTAAATTTATCATTACGTTTGTTACAACGTCTTAGGAAAACCATAGTGACAAGACACATGAGATGCTTTCATGATCTTATGACCGTTAATTATAAATGATATATGTGATATTTTTTCGAACCCTTGGATTAAACACTAGAAAATGAACTTAGATTGCTAAATGTATGAAAAGAACAGTAAGGTAAGTAGGAGGAATGTTTACAGCCTAAAAACCGTTGGTGGTACATATGATAATGGTCTCTTTTACTTTTGCCGATATGGGTATTCGTAAATGGATAAATGTTTATATGTATTGAATAGTCGAATATAATACGCATGGGAATATCCTAACAACAAAAGAAGCTATAAAAAGTTGTGATAAGAAGACAAAAATTTGAGGGGTGGATCACCACCATCCCCAAAAAAGAAACATTCCTTTGTTTCACTCAGAAATACTATAAAATATAATTTCTTTTTTCAAAGCCTTAACTCACTTTTTTTTTTCTTTTTTCTTTTGTCATATGTTCTCAAAAGCTTCAAAACCAAAAGGTTCCAACTCTCACTCTAAGTTGAAGACTTTTAAGTTAAGGCGTGCGCAAACGCTCGTTCAAACACTTTATATATATATAACTGAAAAGAATGTCATGGGTTTTAAGGTTCAATTCTATTTACTATATGCACTTATATAGCATCAACGTTTATGTAGTTTGATTAATTGACTCCAATCATCCATAAATAGAAGAAAAAAAAAACTTCCAAATAACATTTTGTCGGAAATATATTCATCGTTACCTAACCAGTGGATTGCTACACCAGCTAGATACATGATACAGATTAAGAAGGAAAACAAAAAAAACTTCGCTAAGAAATGCAACATTTTGATAGGCAGTTTTTGCCAAAACTATATTTTTCAGTATTGTTGGTGTGATATTTTATGTGCATGTGAAATGTGAATAACTATAAATTTATATGTTTATTTCTACCAATCTAATCTGGCAGAATACTACAAAAGAAAACATAATGTTTATATTTTACATAATGTATAATATGCCCATTACCAAAACAAAAAGTTTAGTACGTAGATAGAAGTGTATACATGAAATATAGAATGAGAGGTGTATATATGTATATATATGTTGACAATGAGTTATACAAGTGTATACATACACATAAACAATAGAATGAGAGGTGTCGTGTAAAAAGAACATTAATTTGAATAGATTAGGCAGTATGAGAGATGATGTCGGAGATACCAGTGAGGTAATGTACGTGGTGTTAAAATCCTGAGTTCGGAAAAAAATTGGATTAAAATATGAGTTTGGTATATGTGCATGTTTTTGTGACTTTTAGAGCATGATTTCTTTATAATTTTTAATAATACTTTACGTCACTTTGAATCTCAAACCTTTTTTGTATTTTAACTTTTCACCTTTTTAACTTTAACTTTTAGGAACCACGTCCTTTTCCACTTTCTATCCTTCAATGATTTCTAGGGTTGAATATTTCATGGTTTCATTGCAAAAATCATAGAGGTTTGGTTCATTGGTTGCATCATGCATGTCACTTTCTTCTACAATAAATAAAACGGCTCTTATATGTATCATAAATCATTTCTATATATGTGAAAGCGTCAAGACTCCAGAAGATACTTGTCTAATTCAGTTACAAAATTTAGTTGTAGAAATTTGCCAAGATATTTATTTCGAATGTAGTCCAAGCAACAAGCTCATTTTATCGTGTACCGTCATCTTTTATTTTACTAGTTTTTACGGTTGCTAGTTTATATTGTCATTTCTTAATTAATAATGTGTACCGTTTTGTATCACCAGTGTAGAACAAAAACAAAACTTAACAAAGAAACTATTATACCATTTTCTTTAAACTGAACATGTATAAACAACTCACTCGAAAAGATGTGAAAAACATTTCACAAAAAAAGTAATCATCAAAACGCATATAGAAAATGATCAAGGTTATAAAAGTTAAAAAAATAAAAAGCTTCCACATATAAAAAAACGAACGTTATTTATGAGATCCCGCCACAGCAATTTGGGACTCGATTCATTTGCTCTCTAATTCACCGAAAAGTGTAGTCATATTCTCAATTAATCACGTAATTATTCTCTTTGAGTTATATATGTCAAATCCTAGTTTTTGAAAACACACAACAACTTCTCCGACGACCGTTATGGGATGCTCTTCCTCGAAGCTCGACGGTTTACCGGCCGTCGCTCTATGCCGTGACCGCTGCACCTCCCTGGAGGAGACTCTCCGCCGTAGCTACGCACTAGCCGACGCTCACGCCGCTTATCTGCTCTCCCTAAACACCGTCGGTCCAGCTCTTCATAGATTCTTCGTTCAAGCCGTCGAGTCTCGGCCGGATGTTGAGTCCGAACCCGACGAATCGCCGGACACTTCTTCGCCGGAATCCTCTTACACGCCTCACTCCGTCAGCAGCTCAGATTCCGATTTGCCTCCCAAATTCGACTCGGATTGTGAGGGAGACGGAAACAAAGGTACGGATTGCGATCTCTTTAGATGTCAAAAACTCGCAGCCTTGAATCCCAGTCACGACCCGTTCTACTCCCGGAATTACGATTCCGGCATCGTAACGTCGCCTCCTCCGCCGCCGCCTCCTCCGCCGCCGCCTCCGAGCAATTACGCTTGGGATTTTATCAATTTCTTCGATAGCTATGAGTTTTCGTACACTACGAACTTGAAAGATAGAGAGACTACTCGTTGTCTTGATGAAGATAAGTTAACGAAGAAGAAGAATGAGAAGACTGCTCCTATTCACCGAAACGAGGGGAAGACTGGAACAGAGGAAGAGAAGTGTATCTCAAAAATCTCAGAGAAGAAGAAACCTAAATCGGAGAAACGCAGAAAGTGTGTTCCGGGAGAATCAAAGGATCAAAAAGTTTCGTCGGATTTATCGGAAGTCACGAAGCAATTGCAGGAGATGTTCAAGAAAGCTTCGGAAGCAGGGAACGATGTTTCGAAGATGTTCGACACTTCGAGATTCAGATATTACCAGAAAAGCTCAGTTTATCAAGGTAATAATGTTCGATGTCTTTAGAAATGTCACTCTCTTTTTTTGCTTCTGATTCTGTTAATTTCGATATCAGCTTCTTCAAACGTGCTCTACGCGAAGAAGACGACTTCTGTAGATCCAAAACCAGCGGAAGATTTTGGATCTAATTCCAGTAATCTTTCATCTACTCTGAATAAACTCTTCATGTGGGAGAAGAAACTGTACCAAGAAGTAAAGGTAAAATTCACGATTCTGAATGATTTAAGCCAAAAACAACATAAGTGTTATGTGTTCTTAGATTGTTGAATGTTGTTTACAGGCTGAGGAGAAACTCCGCACATCTCACATGAAGAACTACAAACAGTTGAGGAGATTGGAAGGGAAAAGTACAGATCTAAGCAGAATCGAATCCATTCGTTCTTCGATTCAGTGTCTGTCCACGAGGATGAGAGTCTCTATCCATAAGATAGACAACATATGTCTGATGATAAACAAGTTACGCGATGAAGAACTCTGGTCCCAAACGAGAGAAATGATCCACAGGTACTAGTTATTAAGGAACTACACTTTTAAGATTTTGTTCGAGAAACCTCATGAGTAATGTCAGCTCTTTGTGTCCCAATTTAGGTTGTCTGATATGTGGAGCTCTATGCTAGAATGTCACAGTAAACAAGCACGAGTAATCGCAGAGGCTAAGAAGCTTGATAAGATGACATTAAAGGGAAATCTAGACATATCTCAGCTTGAGCTTGCTTTAGAACTGAAACTGGAGCTGAGGAAGTGGAGCCAAAGTCTGTCGAACTGGATAGATGCTCAGGCTCAGTACGTTAAGGCACTGAACAGTTGGCTAATGAGATGTATGAAGCAAGAGCCTCAAGAACCAACACCAGATCTCTTAGAAGAGCCACCACTGTTTGGTGTCATCAACAGTTGGTGGCAAACCCTTGAGAGATCAGATGGAGAGGAGGAGTTTACCGAAGCGGTTTACGCTGTCTTGATGCAACTAAACCGTCATGTGGAGAAACAGAGGATGGAGTTGGAGGAGCAGAGGAATGTTAATGGTGGCGATAAGGATATAGAGAGGAAACTTGTGATGTTGGAGAAGGAAGAGCAGAAGATGAGGAGGAAGATGAAGACAGTACCATCTGTTGAAGTAATGGGAAGTTTAAATCTGAAGTCGAACATGGAGCAGATTTTCAAATCTATGGAGAAATTAGCTACAGACTTGAAGCAGACTTATGAGGAACTTGACTTGATAGGCACGTAATGTACCCTTTTGTTTTAGTTCTTATAAAGTTCGTCTATCTATTTTTCTCTCTTGTTCTTTGAAGAGTTTTAAATTGAATTTTGATTGTGGACATAAGACATACGTATCAATTGTATATGCATCTAATGATTTTTTATACTGTTAGATGTCTTCCAATCATCATGAATATTTGCTTAAGACCAAGTCAAAACCTCAGGGTTTGTTTCCTGCACAAGAAGCCTCCTTCGTTGCTGCATATTTTCAACTTTCTCCATTACAAGTCTTGTAACTACATTTCGAGAATGGATTGCGAATAAATATGCCCATTTGAATTTTGTTAGAGCCAGAACCAGAAATCAAAATGTAGCGAACAATGACCAAAATAGAGCAATGGAAAGAAAAAAAAATGTTACGTAGGCCAAACGAAAGAGATACTTAGTATTAGATAGTAAGTTTTTCAACTTTCTGTTCATATTTTTCAAGATTTTTTTTTATCATGTTGTAAACTAAAAAGGTGTAACTACATAAATTCGGCTCCAACTGTTGTGCAACTTCTATGCTGTCTCCTGTCTACATCTTCAGAAACCTAATCATCGGAAACAAATGAGAAACTACTCAAATATAGTCTGTGTATTAGTTATTAATTAGTATGATTCTTGATCACAACTATATAGGTTCTATGTTGAAAATCTTATAATTAGATTTTATGCTCCAATAACAAAACAAATTACGAGCTGGGGACTTGGAATGGCTTGGAATGTATCAGGTGTGGTACGCGAATCTGCTAATTTAATAATCAACATCTGGGAAAATGCTATTTGGTGAAAGTAATTTCGCATACGTGATCAAAAATACTTGCACGCACGTATATATTTTTATAACTTTTATAACATATGGAGTCAGGAACATGGTCTATATACATTCTTCCTGTTCTTGATTCTTTACAAATCAGATGATTACAAATTTACACTGGCTGGCTTGGTTCATGTATGATTTCTGACAAAGGTACTCGATTCTAATTTAAAATTAAAAACTTTAATTTTGTTTTGTTGTGTAGACAACAGTATCTGAGCAAATCCATAATGTGGCCTAATCCAGTGCTACTTTCATAAAGTAGGAAGGTTCCTTAATACTAACGTCAAACTAGTTTGAAATTATAACCTAAATGACCTGTTTCCTCCACATATGTCTTCACGTCCGTACAAAAAAACCACCTCACGGTTCCTTCATCGTACTTTCCCCATCAATCTCAGATCTACCATTACTCTAATCTATACGTTACCTATATATGGAGTCTCCATACAATTTCATTAAACCCTAATCACAGACCAATCTCAATCTCTCATTAAAATCATTCCTTTCCTTTGAATTTCCACACTTTTTTCTTGTGAATCAAGCAATACCTTCTCGAGGTTTCAGTTGAATGGCGCAAATGGACTTGGAAGGTTTGAGAGAATTACAAGACTGCGCAAACTATCTTCTCGATCACTGTCCAGAAGCAAGAGAGTCTCTCTGCCAACAAGGGAAAGAGAAATGGATCGAGCAAGTCTCTGAGGCTTCAGTAAGAATGTTAGATGTTTGCAATGTGTCGAAAGATGTCATGACACTCGTGAGACATAGCCTGAAAGAGCTTCAACTGACACTACGCTGTAACGAATCAAACATCAATGAGAAGATCGCAGCGTATAATCGGTATAGGAAGAAGCTCAAGAAGGAAACGCTCAAGTGTTTGAATAGTCTAAAGAGTATAAAAGGAGGAGGAAGAGGGACGACTGTGATGCAGCAGAGGATAGAGCAGAACCTTCTGTTTGTCGCAGAGGTTCTGAAAGAAGTGAGAAGAGCCATTGTGACTATGGTTGAGTCTCTGTTCTCGCTCGTGTGTATTCCTTGGCTGGAGAGAAAACAGAGCAAAGGGTCGTTGTCTTCCATCTTTACGATGCGGTTTTGCTGTTTTAATGATGCGTGGGACGAAGTAGCGGTGCAGAGCGGGAGTACAAGGTTGGAGGCTGCACAGATCGCTGTTGAGGAGCTTGAGATCGAGTTGGGGTGTATTTTCCGGCGACTGATTCAGACCAGAGTTTCACTTTTAAATATTGTTACAGCCAAGATGTCTCCTGTTTGATTCCGGCATAAACTATGTACACCTTCTTGTAAAGATTAGAATCATTAGAGAAAATACAGAAACGTTCAGGTCTTGCAAAGTTGTGAACATTCAAATTCTCTTTAAGTATAATATGGCGCTAAGTATTTGCTTCTGGTCCTGTACTACAGAGCCATATTGCTTTGCTCAGTACAGGGCCTTAAAAACTGAATAAATTATTTACGGACACACATTACTTCTATGATCAAAATGAATGAAGAAAACAGCAATGGAATCAAAACCGCGAGTAACATAATCCACTTTAACTCAATATCAACCTGATTTCTTCCGATCATGATTCAATTCCTCCATTTATCAAGCTTATTCACAGATCCAAAGCAGAAATCAAACGGAATCTAAATACAGATTGCTTACAATTAACGTAAAACTATATGATTAAGATCTATCTGAAAGCGGAGAGAGAGAGAAAGAAACATTTACCGGACCAGAAAGCTCTTCCTCCGGTAACAATCGGATCCTACCGGGTGATTCAGTGTTCGATCGAATCGGATCTTTCGGGCTTTTTGAATTCCTTGTGCTTATTGTAAACTTAAGCCCACATTGGGCCCATATAATCTTAAAGAGCTCCACGTCATTAAGCTTATTAAATACATAATTTTCACGTGCCACCAACGAACTGAATATTATAACGCGGAACTGAATGGTCGGCGGCGGCTTGAGACTTGTAATAAAAGTCAAAACTTCTTTCTCAGACAATACTTCTTTCTATTGTAGTCACAGAGAAACAAATCAGTCACACATAAGAAGATCCAGCTAGATTGTGATAATATTCACATCAAGAGAGACTGAGATGGCTTCAGTGGATTCTCGAAGTGGTTTCTGCAACTCGAATTCCACATTCTACAGCAAACGGAGGCCGATCCCGTTGCCGCCGAATCCGTCGCTCGACGTCACTACTTTCATATCTTCTCAGGCCCATCGTGGCCGTATCGCCTTCATCGACGCCTCCACCGGTAAAAATCTCACCTTCTCCGAGCTATGGCGCGCCGTGGAATCCGTCGGCGATTGTCTCTCCGAGATGGGGATTCGCAAGGGAGATGTCGTCCTTCTCCTCTCCCCGAACTCCATTTTATTCCCCGTCGTCTGTCTCTCCGTGATGTCACTCGGCGCCGTTATCACCACCACCAACCCTCTCAACACTCCCGGCGAGATCGCCAAACAGATTAAGGACTCAAATCCCGTGCTCGCCTTCACCACGGCGCAGCTCCTCCCGAAAATCGTCGCCGCGTCCGGTTCTAAGAAGCTCCCGGTCGTGCTAATGGACGAGGAGCGAGTTGACTCGGCAGGGGAGTTGAGAAGATTGGTGGAAATGATGAAGAAGGAGCCGAGTGGAACCCGAGTCATGGAGCGAGTCGACCAGGATGACACAGCGACTTTGCTCTACTCTTCCGGAACCACCGGGATGAGCAAGGGGGTGATCTCTTCTCACCGTAACCTAATCGCGATGGTACAAACCATCGTGAATCGATTTGGATCTGACGACGGATCCCAAGGAGAGCAACGGTTCATCTGCACCGTCCCTATGTTTCACATCTACGGCTTAGCAGCGTTCGCCACTGGACTACTCGCTTACGGATCGACGATCGTCGTTCTCTCCAAGTTCGAGATGCACGAGATGATGTCGGCGATTGGGAAGTACCAAGCAACGTATCTGCCTCTCGTGCCACCGATCCTTGTGGCGATGATCAACGGCGCGGATCAGATCAAGGCCAAGTACGACCTGAGCTCTCTGCACACTGTTTTGTGCGGCGGAGCACCGTTGAGCAAGGAGGTGACGGAGGGATTCATGAATAAGTATCCGACGGTCAAAATCTTACAAGGCTATGGGTTGACCGAGTCAACGGGTATTGGAGCCTCTACGGATACTGTTGAGGAAAGCCGAAGATACGGCACCGCAGGGAAATTATCGGCAAACATGGAGGGGAGAATTGTGGATCCGGTTACGGGTCAAGTTCTTGGACCGAACCAGACCGGTGAGCTCTGGCTTAAGGGTCCTTCCATAATGAAAGGTACTTTTAACTCTAAAGAATTCTGAAATTCAGGATTTGAGAATCTTTATTGATGTCAGATATATTACATTTTTTACCAATTTTGGTGTCTATGGGTGTTGTTGTTCTTGGCAGGTTATTTCAGCAATGAGGAAGCGACGAGCTCTACTCTTGATTCTGAAGGATGGTTAAGAACTGGAGATCTCTGCTTTGTCGATGAAGATGGATTCATATTCGTGGTGGATCGGTTAAAGGAACTGATCAAGTACAAAGGCTACCAGGTAACATATGCATCATAGTATCTAACAGTGATGGATACCGCTGCTATAGAATATAGTCCTTATACAGCATAGTGAAATGCTGATGAACCAAATCATCTTTTTGTTTTTAGTAATGTGTTTTGTTTGACTAAATAGCTATAAACCTGACCTCGTTCTTTCTATTGAACAAATAATGAGCCTTGATAACATGAATTGTGTGTGTATATGATAAGCTTGTCCAGATGGAAATGGAGTATATTAGAAACTGCAGATTCGAAAAGCATTGTGGCTCGGTCTTGCAAAGAGATGAAATTGTGCTAAACTTCTTTTGGTGATCATTGCATAGGTCCCTCCAGCTGAGCTAGAGGCTTTGTTGCTCACTCATCCGGAAATCGTTGATGCTGCAGTCATCCCGTATGTCACAACAACACTGATCGCTTTTGTTCAAGAAACAGTGATCTTGAGTTTTTTTTTTTTAATGTTTTGGCATTTAACAGGTTTCCAGACAAAGAAGTAGGGCAGTTTCCGATGGCGTACGTTGTAAGGAAAACAGGGAGCTTATTATCAGCCCAGTCAATAATGGAGTTTGTAGCGAAACAAGTAGCACCGTACAAGAGGGTACGAAAGGTGGCTTTCGTATCTTCCATACCAAAGAATCCTTCAGGCAAGATACTGCGCAAGGATCTCATCAAGCTCGCAACTTCCAACTCCAAGCTTTGAAATTGTTACAACTTACAAGCCGTAATACTGAGAGCCAATCTCCGTGTATTATTACTATTTGTATTGTAGTAGTAACTATGTATAGAGATATATGACCGTGAGAGGTCTGAAAACACAGAAGGTTACACATAAATAATGTGGAGAACATTGGGTTTGAATGGTATGCAGCTTTTTCACGTTTTGGAAACTTGATTCGGTTATTTTTTACTATTCATGTTATTCATCACGTTTTCACGTTTTTTTATGTTTTTGAAACGTGATTCCGCTAGCGTGTTAAAAATATAACTAAAAAAACAAAACGTTATTAATCTACTAAAAGTAGATTTTTAGCGTTTCACAATTATTCAGCTAAAATATTATTCAGTTCAATTATTATTTATTTAAATAAAGAGCGTAGTTTCAAAACATGTTTATGATTGTATATTAGACTAGGGTCAAATTTTAACACAAATTTATGTAGCCAAAGCTTAAAAGAACTTGGATACTACACCTAATTTTACTACACTAAATTTTCGTATATTATATGATGTAAAGATGTGCCTGATTAATTGTCAATGATTTGTTCTGGCAGTTTCACGTTTTTCGTATGTACATAATGTAGTTTGGTAATAGAAGTTCTTTAACATGTGAAAATTAATAAACCTGACAAGAAAATCTTTGAGTTCTTGGTATATTATAATTAATATACTCGCATTTCGTTGTCTTTTAAAAGACTAGTATAAATCTCCATACAGCCCGAGTAAATCTCCCGTATAGAAAAAGAATCAACCCGAGTAAAAGAGAACGTCTCCATAAAAAATTATATTATAGACTAGTCTGTCTTGTTGGGGTGTTCTTTAGAGAATGACTCTTGCGGTATCTGCGGCTGTCGGGTTTCGAAGATTCGCGATCACCCATTTCTCACATATGGTATCAACCACTCCACGGTCTAGAAGAATTGCACCATTAGGCTGCCAAAAGCTTCCTCTCACCTCACTCTCTCGCAGTATCTTTTCGTTTGGCTCGTTGCCCTGGCTAGCTCTTCCTCACCTAAACCCCCGGAAGTTATATTCAGACGCATCAACCGTAAGATCATCATCATCGCTCATCGATCCTAAAAACGGTTTCTGCAGTGCAAACTCGACATTCTACAGTAAACGCAAGGCATTGCCACTTGCACCAAACTCCTCGCTTGACGTCACCTCTTTCATCTCCTCTCAACCTCACCGTGGCACCACCGCCTTCATCGACGCTGCCACGGGCAAGCGTATAAGCTTCTCTGATCTCTGGAGAGCCGTCGATCGTGTCGCCGACTGTCTCTATCACGACATGGGCATACGGAGAGGCGACGTCGTACTCATCCTCTCTCCCAACTCCATCTCCATCCCCGTCGTCTACCTCTCCGTCATGTCACTCGGCGCTGTCGTCACCACCGTGAATCCTCTGAACACAGCCCATGAAATCTCCAGACAGATCGCAGACAGCAACCCGAAGCTCGCCTTCACAACTCCCGATCTGGCTCCCAAACTAGCCGCCTCCGCCGATATCTCCGTTGTTCTCACGGAGGACGAGGACGGCCAGGAGCGCGTGGGATCCACTCTCGGGGTCCGGGTCGTTGGGAGTGTAAGCGAGATGATGGAAAAGGAACCGAGTGGGCGGCGAGTCAGAGACCGAGTTGACCAGGACGAAACGGCGATGCTTCTCTACTCATCGGGAACCACAGGACGAAGCAAAGGAGTGATATCATCCCACGGAAACTTAATCGCGCACGTGGCGAGATTCATCGTGGAGCCATTGGAGCCAAATCAGACCTTCCTCTGCACCGTTCCGATGTTCCACACCTACGGGTTATTAAACTACGCCTTGGCCACCGTAGCTTTGGGTTCGACGGTGGTGATTCTCCGGAAGTTCGATCTCCACGAGATGATGGCGGCGGTGGAGAAGTACAGAGCCACGAGTCTGGTTTTGGTGCCGCCGATTTTGGTAGCTATGATCAACGGCTCAGATCTGATCAAGGCCAAGTACGATTTGACCTCACTGAAAACGATTAGATCCGGTGGGGCCCCGTTGAGCAAGGAAGTTACGGAGAGGTTTTTAGAAAAATATCCAACGGTTGACATTTTTCAAGGGTACGCTTTGACGGAATCGAACAGCTCAGGCGCTTCGACGGATTCGGTGGAGGAAAGTCGGAACTACGGTACGGTGGGGTTGTTGTCGTCCGGTGTGGAAGCGCGGATTGTGGATCCGGATACGGGTCGGGCCATGGGTGTGAAGGAAACGGGCGAGTTGTGGCTCAAAGGTCCCGCCATTACAAAAGGTAGAATAGAAATAGACGCGTGACCAACAAGCAATTCAAATCAATGGATTTCGAGTTATTTTATTTTATTTTATTTTTGTTTGAAAAGGTTATTTTAGAAACGAAGAAGCCACAAAAGAAACTATTAACCCAGACGGATGGCTAAAAACTGGAGACCTCTGCTACGTCGACAATGAAGGGTTTCTTTTTATATTGGATCGATTAAAAGAGCTAATCAAATACAAAGCTTACCAGGTTAATTAGAAAATATATAATATTCGCTTATTTCATTCGAATAAACTCGGTTATTGATTGGTTTTCAAGAATTATGATTGTTTGTGTTTATCCGAACATTCTTTGGTGATCATTGCATAGGTCCCTCCAGCTGAACTAGAAGCTTTGTTGCTCACTCATCCGGAAATCGCTGATGCTGCAGTCATCCCGTAAGTCACAACAACACTGACCGCTTTTGTACAAGAAACAGTGATCTTGAGTTTTTTTAAAATGTTTTGGCGATTAATTTACAGGTTTCCGGACGAAGAAGTAGGGCAAATTCCGATGGCGTACGTTGTAAGGAAAACAGGAAGCTTCTTATCGGAAAATTCAGTGATGGAGTTTGTAACAAAACAAGTAGCACCTTACAAGAAACTACGAAAAGTGGCTTTCGTGTCTTCCATACCAAAAAATCCTTCAGGCAAGATTCTGCGCAAGGATCTCATAAAACTCGCAACTTCCAACTCTTAAGCTTTAAATTTTTAGCAAGACTTTCAATTAACGAGAGCCAATCTCCATGTCTACTTATCAGATTTGCCACCTTTGTGGAACAACATAAAAAAATAAAAAGTAAATAATTTCCATTCATATGGATATATAATCGAAAAAGTAAACAAATATGACTGACATAGAGGATTAACGCGAACAGATATACATTTGGGTCGGATGAACCGATAGTGAATGCTTACATGTGATTATCGGACTCTATATTCAAAATATATATATACATCAAAAATAAAACAAAAAATGTTGATAACATGTCGTACAGATACGGACAGTTAACTAAAATATGAGTTGTTTGGCTACGTTGTAAAACTTGTTTATGGCAAAATATTAAATTATCGCCAAATTTGAAACTAAAATATCTCTTTTGTATTCCCTCACTAAGTGTAGTTAGAGCATCGTTTGGCCTCAAAAAAAAAAAAAATTATAGCCAAATTTGAAACCTAATTATTCAGCCAAACCTAAAACTTGGATACTGTACAGCACCTAATTTAAGATACCATTTACAGATATCCTAAGACAATGATATAACATGTACCTGATTAATTGTCGGGGAATTCTTGGGTATGTACAAGCAGATTCACTTATTTGTACTGCCAAACCATAGTTTGGTCAATGGTAATGGATATATCCGAATATCCGATAGAATGTATATTATACTTTGAGCATATCCCAATATAAAAATATTTCACCAATAAAAAAAATATATTTTAAAACATACTTAACCAAATGATCTTAGATTTGTTTTTGGTGCTTATTAGTTAATACTCCACTTAATTAGGGTTCTACTAGGTCCTGACATAATCGTGTATAACATTACCCGCTTTTTTCAGTTAACATTTGATTTTGTTAACAAGTTTTCGATTAAGAGATGCTGAGCTGTAATAGTCATGCCACGTGTCAACTTAGTTTGCATCACATAAATACTTGAAACAATCTCAGACTTCTGCATTCATCTAAATTATCTCATCTCATCTAATCCCACCACAAGAAGATGATGAATTCCCAAAGATCATCATCATCGCTCATCGACCCTAGAAGCGGTTTCTACAATGCAAACTCGACGTTTTACAGTAAACGTAAACCATTGCCACTTTCGGCGAACACGTCGCTCGACGTCACCACTTTCATCTCCTCTCAAGCTCACCGTCACCGCGGTACAACCGCCTTCCTCGACGCCGCCACGGGCCACCGCATAAGCTTCTCCGATTTCTGGAGAGCCGTGAATCGTGTCGCAGACTGTCTCCACCTCGACGTCGGAATACGAAGAGGCGACGTCGTACTGATCCTCTCTCCCAACTCCATCTACATCCCCGTCGTCTGCCTCGCCGTCATGTCTCTCGGCGCCGTCGTCACCACCTCGAGTCCTCTCAACACCGCCGGTGAGATCTCCAGACAGATCGCAGATAGCAACCCAAAGCTCGCCTTCACAACGCCTGAGCTAGCTCCGAAACTCGCTGGTGTCCCAATTGTCCTCGAGAGAGTGGGACCCACTCGCGGAGCCAGAGTCGTTGGGATTTTGAGCGAGATGGTGAAGAAGGAACCGAGTGGGTGGCGAGTGAGAGACCGAGTTAACCAGGACGACACGGCGATGCTTCTCTACTCGTCGGGGACGACAGGACGGAGCAAAGGGGTGAATTCGTCTCACGGTAACTTAATCGCACACGTGGCGAGACACTTCGCTGAGCCAATGGAGCCAAATGAGATATTCCTCTGCACCGTTCCGATGTTCCACACCTACGGATTATTAAACTACGTCATGGCCACCTTAGCACTGGGTTTGACGGTGGTGATCCTCCGGAGATTCGATCTCCACGAAATGATGGCGGCGGTTGAGAAGTACAGAGCCACTAGTCTGGTTTTGGCGCCGCCGGTTGTAGTAGCTATGATTAACGGAGCCGATATGGTCAAGACCAAGTACGATCTGAGCTCCCTGAGAACGCTGAGGTGCGGTGGAGCGCCGTTGAGCAAGGAGGTTACGGAAGGGTTTTTAGAGAAATATCTAACGGTCGATATTTTTCAAGGATACGCTTTGACGGAATCAAACGGCGCAGGAGCTTCGGCTGATACGGTGGAGGAGAGCCGGAGATACGGTGCGGTGGGGCTGTTGTCGTCCGGTGTGGAAGCGAGGATTGTGGATCCAAGTACGGGTCGGGTCATGGGTGTGAATCAAACGGGCGAGCTTTGGCTCAAAGGACCTTCTATTGCTAACGGTAATATATATTTGACGTCGACATATTCAATATATTAAACAGCAGGTTTTAATTTTTTTTGTTTATATGTATAAAAAGGTTATTATAGGAATGAAGAAGCTACAAAAGAAGCTTTTGATCCACAAGGATGGCTTAAAACCGGAGATCTTTGCTATATTGACGATGATGGATTTGTCTTTATCGTAGATCGATTGAAAGAGCTTATCAAATACAAAGGTTATCAGGTTAGAAAAAAAAACAAAATTTCATAAGTCATTTGGATAAACTTTGGTTTACCAAAAAAAGATATATAGATGCAAAATCTAACGGACTTTGGATTGTACAATTGTATAATAGGTGCCTCCAGCTGAGCTAGAGGCTCTTCTACTGAGTCATCCAGATATTCTAGACGCAGCCGTTATTCCGTAAAATTGCTCTTAACTGTTTTTCTCTATCAGTTTTTTTTTTTAATCTATTTTGTTCTTTGCTACTTTAAAGATTCTGGCCTTCATAAAAAACATCAAAATAATCACATGTACTTCTCTTTGTTTGTTTGTCGTAAAGGTTTCCAGATAAAGAAGTGGGACAATGTCCGATGGCTTACGTGGCAAGAAAGCCTGAGAGCAATCTGTCTGAGAAACAAGTTATTGACTTCATCTCTAAACAGGTACTTTCATTTCGTAACATAACTATTTTCAAATTTATTTTCAATTATAAATAGAGGAAATGGATGACAAATATTTTAATTGAATGAACAGGTGGCACCGTATAAGAAAATAAGAAAGGTTGCGTTTATAAACTCCATACCAAAGACTGCATCCGGCAAAACACTTCGCAAGGATCTAATCAACATAGCTACTTCTACGCTTTAAAAAAAAAAAAAAAAAAAGATCGCTACATTTTCATTTTTATTTATATGGTTTTTTCGACATAACAAGGAACAAGTTTTAATGAATAAATTTGGAGGTTACACCTGAGTAATGAATACAAATGAACATTTGATACGAAGTAAACCCGATATTATAATATCGCTAGATGAAATCCGCTAAATAATCGATGGTTATTGCTAGTTGATATCTACATGTTAATTGACTTGTTTTTGGTACAAATAATCACTGGAACAGCAAATATATTGAAAAAGAAAAGCATGGATTATTTTACTTAATAGTAGCATGCATTGACTTGCCGAGTTAGTTTAGTCTCGATAACAACACCTCTATGAAATGATAAATATATTTTGCAGAATCTTACCCATTTTTTGTTTTATCTAGAGTTTGCACACCAGACTAAACCAAACCCATCATCGGCCATCGCTCTCCTACCAAACCCTCTTTTCTATTGCTAGTTAAAATATATAACATGAGGTTCATGTCCTAAACTTTATGATTATCAATTATTACGGGGAATAATAATACTTTAGGATGATAGTGGTTGTGCGATACCTTTATACAGCAACAAAATATAATTTTATGAAGTAGCTCTTGAAACTTTTTTCCGCCGGAGTTGAGCTCAAAGAGCTTCATATCATACGCCTGAGACTGAGAGAAATGGCGGCTCCTCCTCAGAGACCTCTCATCGATCCCAGAAGCGGTTTCTGCGAATCAAACTCCACATTCTATAGTAAACGCAACCCACTGAGTCTCCCGGCGAATGATTCGCTTGACGTCACCACTTTCATCTCCTCTCAGCCGCACCGCGGCACCACCGCCTTTATCGACGCCTCCACTGGCCACCGCTTCAGCTTCTCCGATCTTTGGAGAGCCGTCGATCGTGTCGCCGACTGTCTCCACCACGAAATCGGAATACGGAGAGGCGACGTCGTCCTCATACTCTCTCCCAACTCGTTCTACGTTCCCGTCGTCTGCCTCGCCGTCATGTCTCTCGGCGCCGTCGTCACCACCGCGAACACTCTCAACACCGCCAACGAAATCTCCAGACAGATCGCCGACTGCAACCCGACGCTCGCCTTCACGACTCCCGATCTGGCTCCCAAACTCGCCGGTACCGGTATCCCCGTCGTCCTCGAGCGCGTGGGTCCCACTCGCGGAGTCAGGGTCGTGGGAGTTTTGAGCGAGATGATGCAGAAGGAACCGAGTGGGCGGCGAGTCGTAGACCGAGTCAACCAGGAGGACACCGCGGTGATGCTTTACTCGTCGGGAACCACAGGACCGAGCAAAGGAGTGATCTCGTCGCACGGGAACTTAACCGCTCACGTGGCGAAATTCGTCATGGATAAATGGAAAGGAGACGAGATCTTCCTCTGCACTGTCCCGATGTTCCACACCTTCGGATTATTGTGCTTCGCTATGGGCACCGTAGCATTGGGTTCCACGGTGGTGATCCTCCGGAGATTCGATCTCCACGACATGATGGCGGCGGTGATGAAGTACAGAGCCACGACTCTGGTTTTAGCACCGCCGGTTATAGTAGCTATGATTAACGGAGCCGATCTGATCAAGGCCAAGTACGAACTGAGCTCACTGAGAACGGTGAGGTGCGGTGGAGCGCCGTTGAGTAAGGAGGTGACGGAGGGGTTCTTAGAGAAATACCCGACGGTTGACATTTTTGGGGGATACGCATTGACGGAATCGAACGGTGCAGGAGCTTCGATTGAATCGGTGGAGGAGAGCCGGAGATACGGTGCGGCGGGGTTGTTGTCGCCTAGTGTGGAAGCGAGGATTGTGGATCCGGATACGGGTCGGGTCATGGGTGTGAATCAAACGGGCGAGCTCTGGCTAAAAGGGCCTTCTATCGCCAAAGGTAAATATAATTATTATTGATTTATTATGATCAAACTGAATTTACTATCTGGTTCATTTCATGTGTAGTAGTTGAAATTTTTTTTATCGGAGAAAGTTTAGGTAACAAGCAATAGATTGTGGATTTTGTATGCAGTATATATTATGTAGGTTATTTGAGAACTTACGTAGCATGTGGCTTCAAACAAAAAATATTATTTTGAAATTTATATTATTACTATTTTGCTTATAAGGTTATTTTAGAAACGAAGAAGCTACAAATGAAACCATTAATTTGGAAGGATGGCTAAAAACGGGAGACCTGTGCTATATCGATGATGATGGGTTTGTTTTTGTTGTGGATCGACTCAAGGAAGTAATAAAATACAAAGGCTACCAGGTGAAAGATGTATCTTGGTTATTATGATTCTACTGTGTATAGTTTCAAAAAAGCAAAGAACTAATAATGGTTTTGGATTTGGCAAACAGGTGCCTCCAGCTGAACTAGAGGCACTCTTGATTACTCATCCAGACATCCTCGATGCCGCCGTTATACCGTACACACCTTTTTAAAGCTTTTTCCACTTTAATGCCTTAGTTTTTGCCTTGTGAAAACGTAAAAAAGACAACAACACCAAGTCTTTTTCCATTTTTGTTTCTTTCTTGTTTTGTGTATCGTAAAGGTTTCCAGATAAAGAAGCAGGACAATATCCGATGGCATACGTGGCACGGAAGCTTCAGAGCAACCTTTCAGAGAGACAAGTTATTGACTTCGTTTCTAAACAGGTGTGCTTTCTATAATCACAAAACAACACCACCTTCTTCCTCTTCTTGTTTTTTATATTCAGTTTATTATTAATGGGGGTGGTAAATATTTTATTTTACGATTTAAAAAAATTAATTTGTTGAGCAGGTGGCACCGTATAAAAAGATAAGAAAAGTCGCATTTATAAACTCCATACCAAAGACTGCATCTGGAAAGACACTTCGCAAGGATCTAATAAAGCTGGCCACTTCTAAACTATGAAATGATCTATTTGCTAGATTCTCACTTTTACTGATGATATATATTGCTTGTATTTCCAACAAGAGGGAAATGTAACAGTAATTTATTCAACTCTCTCTATCAAAAATATTGCATGTTATCCATGGCATGACAAAAGTGTACCAAAGCTCGTACACTGCCCAAAATGGTTCATCCGGATGTTAATAATAAGGGGCACTCATGAACATAAAGTTATGAAAATAATATTTTTGACTTCAGTTAAATCATTGTGATATCTCGGTGGGTCTCGCTGATGCATTAGTGCGATAAAAGCTGGTCTCGCTAATATATAATAATCTAGTCCAGTCCATTTTCGTCCAAACGCTTAAAGAAAAATGGCGGATCATCCTCAGAGATATGTCACTGATCCGAGAAGCGGTTTCTGCAAAGCAAACTCTACTTTCTACACTAAACGCAAACCCTTGAGTCTCCCGGCGAATCCTTCCCTCGACGTCACAACTTTTATCTCCTCTCAACCGCACCGCGGCACCACCGCCTTCATCGATGCGGCCACTGGCCACCGCATCAGCTTCTCCGATCTCTGGAGAGCCGTCGATCGTGTCGCCGATTGTCTCCACCACGACATCGGAATACGGAGAGGCGACGTCGTACTCATCCTCTCTCCAAACTCCGTCTACATTCCCATCGTCTGTCTCTCCGTCATGTCTCTCGGCGCCGTCGTCACCACCGCGAACACTCTCAACACCGCCGGTGAGATATCCAGACAGATCGCCGACAGCAACCCAACGCTCGCATTCACGACGCGCCAGCTGGCATCCAGACTCCCCGCCAGTATCTCCGTCGTCCTCGCCGACGAAAACGAGGAGGAGCGCGTGGAGCCGAATCTCGGAGTCAGAGTCGTCGGGGTTGTGTCTGAGATGATGAAGTCTGAACCGAGTGGTCAACGAGTCAGAGACCGAGTCAACCTGGACGACACAGCGGTAATGCTATACTCGTCGGGAACCACAGGACCAAGCAAAGGAGTGATCTCGTCTCACGGGAATTTGACTGCTTACGTGTCGAGGATGGTATCGGAGAATTTGATGGAAGACGAGATTTTCATCTGCACCGTCCCGATGTTCCACACCTACGGACTATTGACGTTCGCTATGGCTACCGTTGCAATGGGTTCGACGGTGGTTATCCTCCGGAGATTCGACCTACACGACATGATGGTGGCCGTCGAGAAGTACAGAGCGACGGTTCTGATTTTGGCGCCGCCGGTTTTGGTGGCTATGATCAACGGAGCAGAGCTGATCAAGGCAAAGTACGATCTGAGCTCTCTGAAAGTGGTGAGGTGTGGTGGAGCGCCGTTGAGCAAGGAGGCAACGGAGGGGTTTTTGGAGAAATATCCGACGGTCGATATACTTCAGGCGTATGCTTTGACTGAATCAAACGGTGGAGGGGCTTTCACGGATACGGTGGAGGATAGCCGTAGATACGGCACGTCAGGGACGTTGACGTGTGATGTGGAGGCGAGGATCGTGGACCCGGAAACGGGTCGGGTTATGGGAATCAACCAAACGGGTGAGCTCTGGCTCAAGGGCCCGTCTATTGCAAAAGGTAGGTAAAACACACAATGCGCTTTATTAATATATGTTATTCTAGATAGTTGGCTCGTGGTTGCACGATTTGATTTAATATAATTTGGAACATAAATATTATTGTTATTGGGAAGTAATCAAGTAAAAGTTGCACATGGTTTGGAGTTAAAGTGAGTAACTGAACTTTGTATGTATCGTATTTGATTTCAAAATGTTAGGTAGCAATTGATTTTATAATGCAAGTGCATGTTCTACAGACTACAGTGTAATTGGTTGTAGCGAATGCTAGTTGGAGAATTAAGTTTGCTGGGCAAGAAATTAATTGATTTATTGTTTTATGTATCCGACTATCCAGTTACATTTAGGCACGAACCTAGATTATATACAGAAGAACCGAAAAGAAAAATCTTAAATCTCTCTTGGAACAACACACACTGACTTAAAAGAACTTTTTGTTTGTTTGTTTTCAAGGTTATTTTAAAAACCAAGAAGCTACGAATGAAACCATCAATGTAGAAGGATGGTTGAAAACAGGAGATCTCTGCTTTATCGATGAGGATGGGTTTGTTTTCGTCGTGGATCGGTTAAAGGAACTAATCAAATACAAAGGCTATCAGGTTAAAGAATCTATCTTTCTTATGGATCAATGTGTGTAAATTTTAAAAGCAACAAATTCTAAACGATTTGGATTGGATAAACAGGTGCCTCCAGCTGAACTAGAAGCTCTGCTAATCACTCATCCAGACATTCTCGATGCCGCCGTTATTCCGTACGTAAACTTGTTCCCATCACTATGTTTTTGCGTGTAAAAAGATCAAAAACAACACGAAGTGTTTTCTTTTGTAAGGTTTCCGGATAAAGAAGCAGGCCAATATCCAATGGCTTACGTGGCACGAAAGCTTGAGAGCAACTTATCTGAGAAACAAGTTATTGATTTCATCTCTAAACAGGTACTTATGTGATCATAAGGTAAATAGTTAGCTTTAAAGAGTTGATAATAAGAAAAATAACAAGATTAAATTTTTGTATGAGCAGGTGGCACCGTATAAAAAAATAAGAAAAGTGGCGTTTATAGACTCGATCCCAAAGACTGCATCCGGGAAGACACTTCGTAAGGATCTAGTCAAACTCGCCACTTCTAAACTTTGAAATGATGATCTATTTGCTAGATTCTTACTTTTATTTGTTTTTCAATAAGACAGAGATTGTTGTAATAATGTTGAATAATTTTAAAAGGAGACTCATATTATATGTTGACGCAATCTGCAAATGAGCATTTTTGTTTTGTTTTTGCATGAAGATCATCAATCTAGTTGTCATTGTCAAGGTCGATTAATGCTCAAAATATGATGATTTTTAGTATATTTTGTAAGTAGCAGACAACTTTGGAATATTTGGAAAGATAATTATAAGTTACCAACCACACGATTGGACCATCCCCGTCTAAACATCTTTTAATCTGGGGAAGATTAAACAAAAACTTATACGTAAACACATTAGCAATTAAAAAAAAAACGGATAGGCTTTCGATACAAACAAGAACACTTGACATGGCAGTTAGACAAGGCGGCGACGGCGGCGAAATCGGATCCAGAACTCTGGCGCTAGATCGGAAAAGCGGTTTCTGCCAATCAACGTCGACTTTCTACAGCAAGCGTGACCCAATGGCTCTCCCGCCAAACCGATTTCTCGACGTCACGACTTTCATTTCATCACAGCCTCATCGCGGTAAGACCGCATTCGTCGACGCCGTCACCGGTCGTCGCCTCGGATTCTCCGAGTTCTGGCTCGGTGTCGAGAGAGTCGCGGCTTGTCTTTACGGATTAGGTGTGCGCAAGGGCAATGTCGTAATTATACTATCTCCCAACTCCATCCTCTTCCCCATCGCCTCCCTCTCCGTCATGTCACTCGGCGCCGTCATCACCACGGCCAATCCGATCAACACTTCCGGAGAAATCGCCAACCAGATCGGCGATTCGCGCCCTGTTCTCGCATTCACCACCCGCCAACTCGTCTCCAAACTCGCCGCCGCGTCGAATTCGAATCTCCCGGTGGTTCTCATGGACGAAAACCGCGTGTCTTCATCCAATGGAGTACAGACTCAAGACCAACGCGTGAAGATAGTCGGGAGCTTGGAGGTGATGATGGAGACGGAACCGAGTGACTCACGAGTGAAGCACCGAATCGACCAGGACGACACGGCGGCTCTGCTGTACTCATCGGGCACGACGGGGAAGAGCAAGGGGGTAATGGTGAGTCACCGCAACCTCATCGCCTTGGTACAAGCATACCGGGCCCGGTTCGAATTAGAGCAGCGAACCATCTGCACAATCCCAATGTGCCACATCTTCGGCTTCGGGGGTTTCGCGACGGGCTTCATCGCATTAGGATGGACAGTCGTGGTTCTTCCCAAATTCGAGATGGCTCAGCTTCTCTCGGCGGTGGAGATCCACCGGTCTTCGTACCTTTCCCTTGTGCCGCCGATGGTTGTAGCCATGGTTAACGGGGCAAACGAGATCAAATCCAAGTACGACCTGAGCTCGTTGCACACCATCGTAGCCGGAGGAGCTCCTCTGAGCAGAGAGGTGACGGAGAAGTTCGTCGAGGAGTACCCGAAGGTTAAAATTCTACAAGGTTATGGTTTGACTGAGACGACGGCTATAGTTGCTTCTATGTTTACTAAAGAGGAGACGGAGAGGTATGGATCCTCTGGATTGCTTGCTCCAAGTGTGGAGGCTAAGATTGTGGATCCGGATACGGGTCGGGTCTTGGGGGTGAATCAAACCGGCGAATTATGGCTCCGGAGTCCCACTGTGATGAAAGGTGTTTAATTCTTCTTTAACAAAAAAAAAATATACCTTTTTGCTATTTGTCTAAAATGCTTTGAGTTGTTTTAAAGGTTATTTCAAGAACGAAGAAGCTACTGCATCTACTATTGATTCAGAAGGATGGTTGAAAACTGGAGATTTGTGTTATATTGACAGTGAAGGGTATGTCTTTGTTGTTGATAGATTAAAGGAGCTGATAAAATGCAATGGCTATCAGGTAAATATAAAATAAAAAACTACTGTTTAAGTTTGATCTTTCGTACTGCGTGGATCATTTGAAAAAATTGTAAAAGTTAATGGTTTTGGTAATGGCTAATATGTTTGTTAGGTTGCTCCAGCTGAACTTGAGGCATTGTTGCTTGCTCATACAGAGATTGCTGATGCAGCAGTAATACCGTAAGTCCTGCTTTTAACATGCCCCTATCATCAAATTCTTCTCTTTATATGATCCCTTTTTTGCTGAATCTTTTACGATTTCTTTTCAATGGTATTTGAAGCATCCCTGACATGAAAGCTGGGCAATATCCAATGGCATATGTCGTAAGAAAAGCTGGAAGTTACGTATCCGGAAGTGAAATCATGGGCTTCATCGCAAAACAGGTTCTTTTTTGTCAACAATGCAGATCATGTTTTTTTGCCACTAATCTAACCATCATGCCTTAGATTTAACCCTGAGTTTGGATTACATAGGTATCACCGTACAAGAGGATTCGGAAAGTCTCATTTTTGGCTTCAATCCCCAAAAATCCCTCTGGCAAGATTTTAAGAAGAGAACTTAAAAAGCTCACAACCTCAAAACTCTAGCAGGAAGATGTTTAAACCATCCTTAGCTCACACCCATCACGCTTAGTTAACTCTTTTTTTTTTGTTTTGTTTAAACTATAACTGACTTCTTATACAGGAATCTCTGTCAAAACTGAATTAAAATGATATACAATCTGAAGGCTTATATAGAATCTCTGTTTCTCTATATTTGTATACAAACAGAAAAGACCCTTTGTCTGTAAAAAGCGCTCTCCACCAACGCAGAAACTGTTAAAAAACTAGAGACTGAAGCTTAGTCTGATCATGAGCTGCGTTGCAACGAAAGAGAGGGAAGAAATATGAAACCGATGAAGCTCCTTTGCACGACGTGCTCATGGAGGACACATCATGGTTCTTCTTCATCATATCATCATCATCATCACCATCATCATCACCGTGGCCAGACAAACTCCTCTTCCTCAGCAACACGAGGATGTGATCCATCAAACCTCCATCGCAAGGAACCTGTAAAGGGCCACAAATGGTGGAACCAAACTCTTCCTCTGCCATCTCCAACAAGACCTGAAAGATTGGATGTTTCAGATAATCCAACGGCAAAACAAACCTCCTGCCTTCTCTGGTGTACACGGCGAAGTGCCCTTTCTTCCACTTCCTCCACTTCTCCATCATATCGGTGAGTCTAAGACTCTTACAAGACCCTCTCATGATATGTTTCTGACTCTGATCTCTCTGCTCTCTGATATGTTACCAATATAATACCGTTGTGTACTGTATACTGTTAGTCTGTTGCTGTCTGAAACTATACCTTCCTCTCTCTCCATTTATATATACTACAAATTGTGATTAGTGTTTGTGGTGGCTGTGATGCGGCCAAAAACAAGGATTAAGAATGTGTGGAAGGAGTAAGGTAGCCGTGTGATTTTGTTACTATATGGGTTAAAAGTATTGCGTTGGGGTTAAAATAATCAGAACTACTGTATATTATGTGATTGAAAATAGTAATTTTTTTTTTTTTATAATCTTACATCTCTAGGCATAAACAATAATTTTGTTGACAAAAAAACGGAGACAAACCATATAAGTATAAAAATAAAAAATAGTATTCCAGTTCTCAAACCATCTTCTCTATATTTTATTATCGTTAGGATATTTATAACTTACTCAGTCAAATAATAGAAAGCGCAAATGAAACAAATTCATATAAGAATAATAATGAATCATATGGAAAATACGGGTTCGATAAGAAATCCTATCTACTGATAGTCGCAATAACAATTTTGTTGCAGAATTATGATTCCGTTTTAGAACTACATAGGTGATAAAACAAGTTAAGATACTGTAATAATGTTTTAATTGCGAGTGGTAAACCACATTTACAAATATAATTTAGGCCACAAAGTATTAGTTTGTGAGAAGGTAAATGGAGATGTGGTCGCGAGGATAGAGCATGTGAGATGTGACCGTTTAGAGCAAATTGTTGCTGCTTTTTTCGCTAAATTCACGCCCTCAACTTCTCTGTTTTGCACTTTCTTGTGTATCTATCTCCCTTGTTTTAATTTCTTCTTGTCTTTTTCCCAAAGTCACATGAAATCCTACAAGCCTTCTTCACTTTTCAACTATGAAGTCCCCAGTAGTACACCGTTATAATTTCTACGTATTTTGCGCATCTTGATGTTTGTGGTTCTACGAGATGAATTTCAAACCGAAAAATTGAACCATTTAAAAACCGACTGCTTTTATAATTGGTTCATAAACACTAAACCGAGTATACTGCAAAGCTTTGATATTATTTTTCTCATTCGTTTGACCCTACACACTATGAATTCCACAACCACAAATTACACATGAAACATAACTTTTTCGAACAGTCTTTCCTCTGAACCAAAACCATATTGCAGCCAAATGCTAATCAGAAAAAAGATAATTAGTCCCTAAAAACCCTAAAATTGCTCGGCTCAGCCACCCTGACCTGACTCAAACCTCTGAAGCCTGGCCGTTAGCATAACTGTCATCTTCATCCATTAAACGCGCGATTGGTACAGTAAGTGATTTTTGTGGCTAAGTAAGAGACAAAAATTGCAGCTTCTCATATGATTTTGGGTCTTTACATAGATAGTGGAAGAAGCATCCTTCGCTTCTTCTTCCTGGCTGATCTCACTTTCTTTGTGATCTTCATGCAAACATATAGTAGCAAAGTGACACATACCAAGATGAACGCGAGTTGCAATCGCTTGAAGTACAAGGAAACCGCCGAGAACACTAAGAATGCTAAGATGACTAGCTCCCAGATCACAAAGACTACAACATCCACCCTGTATCAAACCAAATAGTAGCTTATTAATAAAAAACTGATGAAGATATGTGCATGTTAGTGAACCTTAAGTAAAACTCAAACAGCATAGGACTCAAATCATGATTGTAAGAGATAAGAAGCAAGAGACTTTCGACCCAATTTAACATCATATAAAAATGGGATCCAATCTTGAAACAGAAACGCAAATTTATGTACCTACAACGTGATCACCTTTTAAGAGCTTTATGCAAGTACATGGCACATATTGGTCAGAGGAACCAAGAACACACATGGATGCAATACTTTGCATATCTATCTATCTATATATGATATATCTATCACAAACCCCTCCAAACACACAGTGGTCACCGTGAAAATCCTATAACGAAACTAGAATAGCATATTATCAAACATGATCATGTGAAGCATCAAGACAAGAGCATATCGATGGTCGCAGAGATTATAATTTCAATCCAGTTAACCACAAACACAAATAGTAGTGAGGCTCTGAATATTCTAATAAAGACACTGTGCCTGAAATGACAATGTCAAAGGTCTCATTAAGATCACAGTGCAGCTAGCTTGACTTAACACATACAAAAAACTACTGATAGAGCCAGAATACCAAATCACACTCCTCTTTCTTCTTACTGTGAGAATAAGCATCTGGCTGAACATATATCAGCATCCTCGAGTAGGTTTAACACAGAGATGATGTTGTACCTAATACTGTATACCTTAGATCGTGTTCGAGAATTTACAACTCCGACTCAACGAATATAAGAAGGTCACATTCGGATCTTCCAACCCCAAAATGTAAAATTTCACGTTAAGCGAATCCAAATTCTCTAAACATTACGCAACTAGAGCTAATACCAAGCGAAGAACACAAGTATACGGGAGCTCGAGACTACAGAAACGGCAAAATGGAAAAACAGAAAATGCACAGATCTTAAAAACGATAATCATCCTCACCTAGACGAAGAAAAGCTCGAGGTCGACGAGAAGAAAGAGACAGATGCCCAATCGTGTTTTGATCGAATCTGGTATTCTCTCAGCTGCTCTGCTAGATTCGATCTTGTTATCATCGCTTCCTATGCGAATTTCTCCACCCAAAAAAAATGATTCTCTTCTCACTCGAGTGAGATAGCCAGAGAATCTCCGGAGAAAAGCGATGAATTCTGTAAATAAGATTTGAAATCGATGAATCCAATAACGGGAAAATAACTCAGGGAATTCAAATTTTGGAGTCAATTTTTCAGAGACGGAACAATGTCCGATTCGTCTTCGTTAGCGTAGACTCTCCTCCTTCTCCTTTCCCCTCTGCCAAAAACCCGGGTTCAGTATCAGATTTGGCTCGACCCGAGTTAGAGGCCATGTTAGAATTAATTAATTAAACATTTTTTCCTTTATTATGTTTTGGTTTTAGTCTTTCTTAAACTTTTTGATAAATTCGACAGCTGAGAACAAAAAATTCATATGATCATCTACTATATGAATCATATCAATAACTCAAAAATTTATGGATTTAACGAAATTTCAAAATTTGGAGTTGATTTTTTAGGGGGGAATAATGTTTAGTTTGTTTAAAGTTTGTTAGCCTGAACTTTTTGTTTTCTTCTTTTTTAGTATAAAAACTAGACGTGGGACCTGCGCGTTCGCGCAAGTATATGATTTTTAAAGTAAATTTTATAAATGTTTAAATTATGTAGTATAAGAAGATTTATTATATATTATATTATAAGATAGTCTGTTTTCTGGTACATAGGTATCATGACTTTATTTCAAGAAAATGGATAGTCTATTTTTCATATGTGTATAGAATAGCTAATTGTCTTTTTTTTGCTAACAGAAAAGCTAATTGTCTTGCTGATGGATTAGCTAACTCTGCTTTTTCCCTTCCTCCATGTGTCCAGTTTTAAGATTCGGTTCCACCTAGTTTAGTTTTGATTTTCAGTTACGATATGATCAGTTCTGCGCGCCCAAAAAGAGTTTGTGTGTAGCTGGTTTTTATGTTTTGAATAAAATCAGGAGACAATGTCTCCCCCACCCCCTCCTACCAAAAAAAACTATAGTTATATAAATAATATATTGTTTATTTATGTGTTATGAGGATTAAAATTAAATTTTATAAATACAAAAATATAAAATTAAAAATAAGATAAAATAAGTTACGTGCAACTAATTCAATATTGTAGACACACAAGTTGTTATTGTAAAATATGATAATATGTTATTGGTTTTATATGAAATTTATGTCTTTTAATATTGTATTTAGTTTTTTTTTTTCTTCTTTTCCCTTCCTATTCTTTCTTCTTCATTTCTATTATATGTTTCTTTTTTTTATGTTTTTCTTCTCTTCTTTTTTCTATTATATATTTCTTTTTTTTCTTTTTCTCTTTCTGTTTCTCCTGCTTCTTCTTCATCTTTTCTTCTTCTCTCCCTTCATTTATTTTTGTTCTTCTCCTTCTCCTTTTTATCTTTTGTTTTTTTTTCCTCCGTTTTTCTCCTTCTTCCTTTTTTGGATTACCATGAAGGTCTAGATCGAAGCCTGCAATCTCTGCAGGTCCGAAATCACATCATGTAATATTAGTTTAATCATAAGCGTCACTCGATCATGTGATCTCTAAGCTTTGCCTAGATCATTTACCAATCAAGTTACGACTCTTGGTTACTCCTTCGTCTTCTCCTCCATCTCTTCTTCTTCTTCTTTTTCATTCTTTCTTCTCATTCTTCTCCTTCTCCTTCGTTGTTCTTCCTCTTCTTCTTCTATGTATCCATATTCTTCTTCATCCCTTCTTCTCCTTATTATCCTTCGTCTTCTTCTTCTCTTCCTCCTTTATGTCTTCATCTTCTTCATCCATTCTCTTTATTCTCCGTTCTCATTTTCCGTTTTTTTCATCTTTTTATTGGTCTTATTCGTCATCACTTCTCCTTCTTCTCATTCGTTTATCTTCTTTTCCATCCCTTCTTATTATCCTTTCTTTTCCTTCTTCTTCTTTATAACTTATTCTCATTCTTCTCATGTTCTTCTATTTTTTTTTCTCTGTTGTTATTCTTTTTCATCTACTCTTTTTCTCATCCATCCCTTCTTTTTATTCTCCTCCTTCTTCTTCTCCTTCTTATTTGTTCTTTTTCTTCTTTGTCAAGCAAAAAATGATAAATTTAAAACTAAAAAGATTAAAAATAACAACCATATACATAGTAAACAAACTGAAACAAAATATTTAACATATAAAAAATTAATTTCAACTAAAAAATATTGATGTTTGCAAAGATATTTTTTTTTTTTGAAAATCTAAATAGGGAAAAAAATTAGCCAAAGCAAATTAGAGAAAATGAGATAATGTGAGTTACTGTTTTTATTTCTCTTATACTTTATTAAAATATTATTATCATAAATAGTTTTATTATGTTAATTGTAAATTATGAAAATCTTTTATTAATTTACTGAATTTTCCTATTATTAATATGTTATTACATCTACAATAAAAAATGTATCAATATTTTTTGTAATATTTTTGAAAATATCCTAAAATCTATAGTTTAAGAATATGCTTTACATTTATGCAGTTATTGTTTCTTAATTACATAATATTTTGATTTTTATTTGGGAAGTTTGTTCCATAATTTTAGTAATCAAAAATTAATAAAATATTACAAAATCGATTCATTAGATATTTTATAGAAATAAATATAATTTAAATAAAATTATATGGTTATTATAATTTACTGTTAATTAATCATAATTTTTTTAAATTTGATCATGATGCTTTTAAATTTGAAATTAATTTAATCATAATTTAATTTAATATTAGATTGTACTAAACATATAAAAAATAATATATAATTATTAATAAAAAATTAGGTTTTAGTTTATTTTCCTATAAACATATGTGTTTGGTTATATTATTGCATAATAATAAAAATATAATTTTTATTTTTCAAAAAAAAATTTGCGATTTTATTTTATATTGTGTAAATATATCTAATTTAATTATATTAATTATAATTTTTATTTTCTTATATTGTTACATAATAATAAATATTTAAAAATTATTATTTGTTATTTTTTCGCAAAATAAACGAAATTATATAATTGTTTATAATTTAATCTTATACATATATAGTAATTATAATTATAATTTTGATTTATATAAACTTGGATGTAATTAATTCTAAGATTAATTAAAATTTTTGAAATAACTATTTATAGAAATATTTAAATTATTTAAATGTGTTTGATAATTAGAATTAAACTAATCCAAATAGTATTTGAAAATTAATGTATTTGATAATAGAAATATAAGAATTAAAAAATAAAAAATAGAATAAATATTAATTGGTTATATTAACAGATGATTAAATTACTATTAATGAAATTCTAAAAAAAAGGTTACAATTGTAATTGCATTTAAATATTAAAGTAATCATTTTTTAATAGTGTAGATCGTGGAACCGATACAACACGTGGATTTCATACTATTTTTTACTTGATTCAATAAGACCCATGTTAGGGTAATGATGTACTTCCTCAATTTACAAAATATGAATTGTTTTAAAAAAAAATCATCCCATAAAAATTGTTTTTGAGATTTTTAAATAATATTCAATTGTAAGTATAATTAATTTAAATTGACAGTATTTTCATTACTGCTAGATTATTATGGAAAATTATTTGGTATAAAAATATATAGATTTGTCATTAAATACTTATTTTTAATCACATAAACATACATTGGGCCTTTGCTTTTAGAGATCATAAAACTACTACAAAATATAGAAACTTGAGCTTCGTGGATGGGAAAGTTGCCGTTACGTGTACGGAAGTAAATTGAATTAGACCATTTGTGTTTTTAATCAATAAAATTGTTTTATCTTTGGGGTACAATTGTGTCTTTATAAGTGTGTGCGAATGTTGTATACTAGATTATCATTTTTAACCTTCAGATCGAAACGACGAAAATATATAGACAGCAGTAAGAAAAATATGTTTTCGATTCAATATAAAAAGTTCAAAACTATGACCCCATCAATAAACTTGTATCCGTTTTAATGTAGCTTTAATAGTAAATTATTGGTACAATATATAAATTCAGTGATTCATATATAAGTTTTGAGGTGTTTTATATTTGGTTATGTTTAGTTTTCCGATTATTTCGTTAAAAATGAACAGTAAAGAAACTTAAAGCGGATTGGAAAACACTTTTGTTACGATTCAATTTATAATTTTTTTTTCTAGCTCGACTCTGTTTTATTTGTATATAATCCAGCTTTGTGTTTTCATTTTGATCTGAGGTTAATCCTAATCAAACATTTCGAGTTGGTGCACTCAATTATATATGTTTGCGATCAATTAATAAAATCATTTTGTTTCTCTATCTAGCAACGAAAACGATTGCTTTGTTCGGTATGTGTCGGTACAGTGACCGCCTCAATGCCTAAAAAATTCGGTATGTTACGGGTCGCGTGTTCATGAAACGTCTCGATTTATTATGTGGCAGGTCGACTTGAATCTTTCAACCGAACACGATTCAGAATATAATAATTTAAGCAAAATCCAAAATAGTGCGTTCTCAATGCCCCCATCTGTTTAATTTTTTTTAGATAATAATAAAATGACAAAAGGGTTTCGTCCGTAATGGATATAACCAGGGAAGCTGAAAACGACACCACACATATATATATATTAGAAATTTTTTTCTTAGCTTGAAATGATATTAATAACTTTATTCTTAAATAGTGTATATAATATAATAAGTTAATAACCAAGATTTGATGTACGCATGTTTTAATTTTTTTGTAAGTTCTGAAAGAGGTAAATTATTAAAGGAGTGATGTCATATCAGTAAATTAATCCAAAAATATCTGCTCCCTTGGCCCCTCTTCTACAACCTAGCTTCTGCCGACGTGGCACCACTAAGAAAATCAATGGACCCACTTGACCGACATCCACGAAATAAGCCAATCAATACCGACCATTAAGTGGGGCTTCAATGCTCTTCTGACACGTGTCTAACATGTATTGGCTTATTCCACATTATTTTATTTTTTCTACGTCGTTGTAATGTTCCCATTTACCGAGCGTTAGTTTTCTCCTCATCAATTATTTATTGCCACGCGTCGTAATGGCTATGGCTAGACGTTCCTATTAAAAGTTCGGTTATGTTTTACTTCTTATTTATTTTAAAATTTAATGCTTAGAGAGTTTTACAATTTAACCCCGCTATTTTAATTTCTTAAAGGAACAGCTCCTACGTGCCTAAAAATCTGCTTAACACTGGAATTGATATTCATCTTTTAGTTATACATTATACATATATCGAAATTCTATATTTTTTATTTGTACTTTCTTTTTACAACAAGTCGACAAGTATGTAAAGAGACTAAAAATGCCGAAAGTTTAAATAGAAACATTCAAAGAGAAAAGATTATCGAGTTCTTATCTACTTAAAATCAAGAACATGCAAACTTCGATACGACTCCCTGTACATAAAAGTACATGACTATGCGATATTTAATATTTGTTTAACTCCTACATCTGTATATTAAAATCAAACTATGTCGATCAAGAAAAATAAGTGTAATTTTGATGATTCTCATCCACCGACTTAAAGAAAAGGGGCCATTCTACAATTTAAGAAATAGTCTGAATACTTTTGCTTTTATTAAAAAATCAATTAAATCTTTACAGCGTGACCTCCGCGTAGGGCTGGACCTTTCCTCATCACACTATATAACCCCACTCTCGTCTCTCATCACAATACTCATCTCAGCTCTTAAAATCACCTTAAAAGCAATTTAATCTCAAAAACGAAGTTGAATTTTCTGTTTATCATTCTCGTTAACTGTTCAGAGTAACTATGGCGGAAGAGTACAAGAACGCTTCGGAGGAGTTCAAGAACGTCCCCGAACACGAGAAACCAAAGGTCACCACCACGGAGGAATCACCAGCGACGACCGGAGAGGTTAAGGATCGTGGCTTGTTCGATTTCTTGAAGAAAAAGGAGGAAGTGAAACCTCAAGAGACGACGACAACGACGACGCCGCCGCCGCTCGAGTCGGAGTTTGAGCACAAGGCTCAGATCTCGGAACCACCGGCGTTTGTTGCGGAGCAACAATATGAGCAAGCAAAGGAGCATAAGACTACTCTCTTAGAGCAGCTTCACCAGAAGCATGAGGAAGAAGAAGAGAACAAACCCAGTCTCCTCCACAAACTTCACCGATCCAACAGCTCTTCTTCCTCTGTAAGTAATCTTAACTTCGTCCGTACGGAAATTAATGAAACTTCGATTAGTTTAAAGCTTTTTTTGGTTAACTCAGTGAACAATTCAGCTCGTGTTAGTTGAAGATCCATATCTATAGACCCGATTGTGTGCTAATGATATGAAATTTGAATTTCGAACAGTCAAGCGAGGAAGAAGGTGAAGATGGTGAGAAGAGGAAGAAGAAGAAGGAGAAGAAGAAGGTCGTCGAAGGAGAGGACAAAACATCAGTCGTCACCACCCTCCCGGTGTCCGGGGAGCCACAGGAAGATAACAAAGGAGTAATGGATAAGATCAAGGAGAAGTTTCCACACGGAAAGAAAACAGAGGATGATGCACCGGTCGTCACCGCCCTCCCGGTGTCTTCAGAGCCAGAGGCGGAGAAGAAAGGAGTGGTGGAGAAGATCAAGGAGAAGCTTCCAGGTCACAGCAAGAAACCAGAGGATTCTCCAATCGTCAACACGGAGGCTGCGGTACCAGTGGAGCATCCGGAGGAGAAGAAAGGGCTTCTTGAAAAGATCAAAGAGAAGCTTCCAGGTTATCACGCCAAGAGCACTGAAGAGGATGTGATCAAGAAAGAAAAAGAGTCTGATGCTTAAGAGAATGATGAAAGAATATAATTAATGATGTTGAAGTGGGACATTGGCTGTGTTTCTGTTATGATTTTATGATTTTATCTTTTAAGCTGTTCTGCAAGATTGTTGTGTCTTTCGTTGATTTGCATTTTGTACCTTTACATTGTAATTTCATTGTCTCTTTTATAAAGTTTGCATATGGTTTCTAAGTAATGTCTCGACTTAATTATGTGTGTAGATTTTTCATTTCGTATCTCCATGAAACTCCTCGTATACATTTGGTTGTCACGTACCCTGTCCACATGAACACCCCGTATCGACAAAAGTTTCAAATTATGACATATATAAGAAAAAGTGGAACAAAATGTGAAAAAGACTTAATTCTAATGCCATTCAGCAGGAAAATTATAACTAGCTCAAATATGTGAATATTTTAACTAGTTCAAATATGTCCCCATCTGGCTTCTTAAGATTTTGAACATACATAAACCCCACAAAAAAAAAATCTTCCAACAATTATTTTCCAAGATATCATTGTCAAGGAACAAGACAGAGAGTGTAACGACCAAAGTTAGATATTTCATGATTAATACTCTATGATTATAAATAGTGTTTTTTTTTTTTGAACTTTGATATAATTAGTGTTGCTTTGTTTATATATTAATTCAAAATTATTAATTATGATTACCCTTTATGGTCTAACAATTTGTTCCACTATGAATTTCATTAAGTTCATCTTCTCATTCCTAAGAGCACCTCAATTGGTAGTTTCTCACTAAATCTCTCAAAATAAAAAATTAAAAAACTTAAGAAAAAAGAAGAGAAAGAATGGAGAGAGTCTATCAAATGAGAGACTTTGAGAAATTCACTTTATGTGTTCTCTTTTAATGATTGATTTAAACTTTATTTCGAAATTAAAATAAATTAATATAATTAAATTATATTAAAATTATTATTATTAAATTAATGAGAGAAATTAATCATGTGAGTCTTTCACCAAGCAGATGGTCTAAGGTAAACAACTAGAATAAAAAAAGTTGTATGAAATGGATTGTATTGATAGACAAATATTCTACAATACAAAATCTCGCGGTTGCAGTTCAAACCTTCCAACCCGATCAGAGGCTATCACATCACCTACTAACGATAGGCTTTTTGTAAATCAAAATTATAGAACCTATTGGGCTTTTGGCTCTAAAAGCCCAAATGTTTATAAAACCCTCTATCTCTCTCATCTCTTAGACGATTTAGTTTCACTTTCTTCCTCTTTTGTTGTTCATTATTGTTCGACACTAAATGGCTTCGTCTGCGCCACAGGGATCTGTTGATCCTCTCACCGGGAAAGATCCGGCGAAGGCGTTAACTGCTGTAGCGTCTGGATTCTTCGACAATGTGAAGAAAAACAAGCAAAGCTTCTTCCAGTTCTTCGCCATGACTGGGATTTTGCTTCTGAGCTTCCGATCGGTGAGTCAGAAGTACCGGATTCACGATCTGGAGGAAGACACGGATGTTCTCAAGAAGGAGAGAGATACTTTGACGGGTCGTATGAGTAAAATCAAGAGCGATCTTCTCCATCAAGCGTCGATTGACTCTTCGGGCGTCTTTGCTTCTCGACTCCGCCTACTTTTCGGCGAAGATAAAAAGTGAATCGGAGACTGAACGATTTTTAGTCGACGAGGTTACGGTTCTCTCACTCTTGCGATGGCTCTGTCTTTTGGCAGGGATTTTTCTCTTTGTTCTATAGATTTGAAGGGTTTAGGGAATGAATGAGTAGGGTTTTTAAGGTGATGTGATTCAGACAATGATGTATCGTTTTGTAACTTTTGTTTTATCTGAAAACTCTGCTTTGATCAAGCAAATTCTGGTTTGATATGTAGTCTTGATCAAAAGCAAGTTCTGGTTTCTTCTGCGGCATTTCATCGAACACTTCATCTGCGTTTTGAACTTTGCACACGCCTTTTCTGAAAAACTTTGGACTATTGGGATATGAATAGGCAGCTTTCAATGCCGGAATTAGAGAGTAGATTCGAAAGTGTCAAATGATTACTTGGTAGTTCACCTCTTGATCCAAATCTGATTCAAATTTAATGTAGTAAAAATTGGTGTTAGTGACTAGTGAGTATGATATGCAATTTATCCAAACTCCAAAGGTGGATTTCGTATTAATCAAAATTCCCTATAAATCAAGCAATCCTTTTGATTCGACAAAGTAACTAATGACCATAACTTTACAATATACATCTTGACTAGAGACTATAGAGAGTCTAGAGACCAAAAGTTCATTTTAATTAACAATCATAGCTATTTCAGAAGTATACGACATTAATCTTGCTGGTTTAAGTAATTACTATTTTTGTTAACTCAGATGACTAGCTGATGCGGAAGACAAAGCCCCAAAGTCAGAGTTCAGCGTATTACCAAAAACAAACTTTGACCCTTTTATTTTTGTTTTAAAAAAATTTCACTGCCACAAATACACATTCTTGTTCCGCACACACATATCTACGTCTCATGCATTTTCTATCCTCTCTTCATATTAAGGTTGGAATTGAAGAAACAGTCTAATCATTTTCTTTCTATAACATTAAAATGGCGGCTAAAGGCAAATACGCCGGTGTTTTGGTAATGGGTTTATCGCTTCTAATTGCCATTGCGGCGGAAGATCCGTACAGATTCTTTGAATGGCACGTAACCCATGGTACTATCGCACCTATGGGCGTCAAACAACAGGTGTTTGCCTAGTCTTTTATACGGTTATACCCTTAAAAAGCTAGACATGTGATTTCTTGTTTGGTTTATTTATCGATTTTATATGTATATTTGGTTTTGTTTTGATGTTCTTCTTCCTATGTTAGGGTATATTGATCAACAAGATGTTTCCGGGGCCGGATATTCGCTCTGTTACCAATGATAACCTCATCATTAACGTATTCAACCATCTCGACGAGCCTTTTCTGATTTCATGGTACGTGTTTTGTGTGTGTAAACGGACCGGGATTTGAATGTGACGACGTGCTTATATATAATGAACCGGTTAATCATTTTGGAAACTAATTAACGGCGTCTGCATGGTGATGGTTTCACAAGGGCCGGGATTCAAAACAGAAAGAACTCGTTTCAAGATGGAGTGTACGGAACGACGTGCCCAATCCCGCCGGGGAAGAACTACACTTACGCTCTCCAGGTTAAGGATCAGATCGGAAGCTTCTATTACTTCCCGTCGCTCGGATTCCACAAAGCCGCCGGCGGATTCGGAGGTATTCGTATCTCCAGCCGTCCACTGATACCTGTTCCTTTCCCTCCTCCCGCCGATGATTACACTCTTCTCATCGGCGACTGGTACAAGACCAATCACAAGGTACCATCTATATGTTTTACTCTTACGCTTGATGTACCTTAATGTTGTTGTTCCTTTGTTTGGTTTTTGTTTTTTGTTTTTGTGGTATTAATGTTAATGATTTATATGAACACTCTGTGAAGGCACTGAGAGCACAGCTCAACAATGGCGGAAAGCTTCCTTTTCCAGATGGGATTCTCATTAACGGTCGCGGGACCGGTGCTACACTCAATATCCAACCAGGTTTTTGCCTTTTCTCTCCTTCTCTTGTCTCTTGGCTCGCTCGTATCGTATGTTACTTATATAACGACCTTTTGTGGACATTACTGATGTGATTTTGTTTCCGCAGGTAAGACTTATAGACTGAGAATATCAAATGTAGGATTAAAAAACTCGCTCAACTTCCGCATCCAGAACCACGCGATGAAGCTGGTTGAGATCGAAGGGACACACACTATTCAGAACGTAGTCTCTTCGCTTGATGTTCACGTTGGTCAATCTTACTCGGTCCTCATAACGGCGAACCAGCCTGCAAAAGATTACTACATTGTGGTCTCTACTAGGTTTACCCCAAAGGTTCTCACCACCACAGGTGTTCTCCATTACAGTAATTCTGCTCGACCTGTTTCTGGACCTATTCCCGCTGCTCCCGCTCCCATGAGCTGGTCTTTTAGCCAAGCTCGAGCTATCAGGTACCTTTTGTTGGTTTTGGCTTCACTTACTGATGCAAACAACTCTGATTCTTGCCTACTTTCTGAGAGGGTTTGTTCATATGTTGTAGGACTAACCTCACAGCAAGCGGACCAAGACCAAACCCACAAGGTTCATACCACTATGGTATGGTAAAAGTCACCAGAACCATCAGACTTGCTAACTCTGCTGGACAGATCAAAGGCAAGCAACGTTACGCTGTGAAGAGCGCATCGTTTTACCCATCAGACACCCCTCTAAAGCTCGCGGACTACTTCCATATCAACGGTGTATACAAGCCTGGAGGCATATCTGATCAGCCCACAAATAAACCAATATTCCCTTTCACATCTGTCTTGCAGGCTGATTACAGAGCCTTTGTGGAGATTGTTTTCGAGAACGGGGAAAATATTGTTCAAAGCTGGCACCTTAACGGTTACTCTTTCTTCGTTGTTGGGTAAGTATTACTTTTCTAAACTGTTCTCTCATCCCATTCGATCTAATATCTGTTTAACCGTTCATGTTTGTATCAACAATAAGTCAATAACCACAATGTAATTAGCTTAGTTAAAGACTAAAGCATTATCTAACCAAAGGAAGAGCCTTCAATACCAAAACTTCAAAGCATTTTGATCGTTTTTAACCAACTATTATGGATTTGGTCAAACTATCAGAATGGAGCTTGGGAAGTGGAGTCCTGACAGTAGGAAAGCCTACAACCTAAACGACGCAGTTTCACGATGCACTGTTCAAGTGAGAATTCTCTAAAGCTTTTTAGGCTTTGATCACCAGTTATAGTTGGCTATTATAAAGTCTGATTCTAGGTTTGTGGTCAAACGTGGACTGCTTGATGAATTTGTACAGGTGTATCCAAGATCATGGACAGCTATATACGTAGGACTAGACAACGTAGGAATGTGGAACTTGCGATCAGAGTTGTGGGAAAGACAATACTTGGGACAGCAGTTTTACATGCGTGTCTACACGACCTCTACTTCTCTTAGAGATGAATACCGAATCCCAACGAACGCTCTTCTTGTGGTAGGGCCAATGGACGCCCGCGACAAAGCACTGCTTTTGAGTGACGATAGTGTTTAGATTGAGAGAGGTCTCGTCGTTTCTTCGTTATTGTTTCCTTTTCTTCCTAAAGGAGAGTTTTTGGTATAATGATTTGGCTTTCATCTAACTTTCAGGTATTGAAGTTAAACTTGATTTTGGGTTAAGCTTAATTTTGGGTTTATAAAATAATTATTAGTTATTAGATTAGGCCCAAAATTAAGCTTCTAGAATCTCTAGAAACATCACTAAAAATCATCATCTTTCTTAAATGTTCTAGAGAATTCTATTAGTTAAATATCTAGATAATTCTATAGATAATTCTAGATGTTGTAGTTAAAATTCTAGATATTATTGTAGAAAATTCTAGAGATTAAAAGAATGTTTGTAAGATATTTTGTAATAAGTGGAGCCTATAAATAGCCCACTACTCCATCATTTGTAAACAAGAGAAGTTGAACAAATAAAGAAAGAGTGTTCTTCATAAGTTCTCTTATTCTCTCTAAAGTTCCTTCAAGTTTTCTCTAAGTATTCTTTCATCTTATTATTCATACTTAGAGGGTCTTTGTTTCTTTCGGATCTCTCGGGTATTACGGTCTTGGGCTAGTGCTTAGCATTATCGGTGTTTTCTTTACATGGTATCAGAGCCATTCTGATCTGGTTCTTTTTCAAGATCGGATTAATTGAAATCTCAGATTTACTCTAAGTATGGAGTCAATGGGTCGCGTTGTTGGGTTGGGAATGGAGATTCTAAACCAATCCAATTACCGGTTATGGAAGTCATGCATGGAGTCATACTTGGTGAGTGAGGACTTATGGGATGTCGTCGGCGGCAGTAGCACAACACCACCAAGGGGAGCTGCTGCGACAGCGGAAGCGACAAAGGAGTGGACACGGAAGAATGCCAAGGCGGAGTTTGCATTGAAGAGGTCAATATCCTCGGGAGTCTTTGAGCATGTCTCAAGTTGCACATCCGCTAGTTCCATTTGGCAGGCGTTAGATCAGTTGTTCAACAAGAAGAATGAAGCTCGGCTACAACTGTTAGAGAACGAGTTGGCGAATGCAAAGCAGGGGGAGTCTTCAATCTCAGAGTTTTTCATCAAGGTAAAGAATCTTCGCTCAGAGATTAATACTCTAAATCCGGAGGAGTCAATTTCCGAAGCACGTTTAAAACGGTATATTATTCGAGGTCTACGACCTGAGTATACACCGTTTGTGACTTCGGTTCAAGGATGGGCTACACAACCTTCCTTGGAGGAGTTCGAGAACCTGCTAGCTTCGCAAGAGTCATTAGCTACGCAAATGGCAGGAGTCAAAATCCATGATGACTCGGGGAGCGCCTTTGTAGCTCGGAAGCAACACAACTTCAAAGCCAAATCCAAATACGATGGTGCAAAGAACATCGATGGACCGGAAGGATCTTCTACTGGAGATAAGAAGCGATTCAAGTGCTACCGGTGTGGAAAGCTTGGGCACTTCAAAAAGGATTGTCGAGTCAAGCTGAAGGAGACAAATATGGCAGAATCAAAAGGTCATATTGAAGACGAAGAATGGGGGAAATGCTTCACGGTGGAGGCTGCATCTTCAGGTATATCCACAACTAAAAATCTTGAAAATGATTGGATTGTGGATTCGGGTTGTAGCCACCATATTACCGGAGACGAGAAGCTATTTTCTAGTCTTCAGCGCCATGATGGAAAAGAAGCCATAATTACCGCGGATAATTCAGTTCACCGGGTCGAGAAGGAAGGGACTGTTGTCATTGAAGGAGAAGATGGAAGCCCTATCACCCTCAAGAATGTATACCATGTCCCTGGAGTAAGGAAGAATCTTCTCTCTGTGGTGAATGCAGTAGACTCAGGTAACTACGTTTTATTTGGCCCAAGAGACGTCAAATTCTTGAAGAATATTAAAGAGTTAAAGGCGGATGTGGTTCACACCGGATCGCGGGTTAAGGATCTATATGTCTTATCTGCGTCCAACTCATACGTGGAGAAGATGAGTACAAACGACAATGCCTCTATATGGCATGCTCGGCTTGGTCATATAAACATGACTAAGCTAAAGGTTATGGTGAATAAGGAGTTGGTAAATGGGCTTCCGAAGCTGAAGATCCAAGATGAAGGAAAGCTTTGTGAAGGTTGTCAATATGGAAAATCACATAGACTTCCATTTGACAATTCTACTTCACGGTGCAGTGCTCTGTTGGAGAGGATCCATAGTGATTTGATGGGTCCTACAAGAACACCCTCATATTCCGGGTTTCGGTACATGTTGCTGTTCATTGATGACTTCTCACGGCACACTTGGGTATACTTTGTGAAGAAAAAATCAGAAGTATTCTCCAAATTTCAAGAATTCAAGGTTACCGTGGAAGGAGAGCTGGGTCGGAGAATCAAGACCTTAAGGACAGATAATGGAGGGGAGTTCATGTCCAAGGAGTTTCTCTCTTTTTGTCAAAAACATGGAATAAAGAGAGAGTTTACTTGTCCGTATACACCTCAACAAAATGGAGTAGCGGAAAGGAAGATTCGACATCTAACTGAGACGTGCAGAAGCTGGCTATATGGGAAGGATCTGCCTAAAGCCTTGTGGGCAGAAGGCATAAGATGCGCAGTGTACGTCATAAATCGGATGCCACTCAGCCCAAATAACATGAAGTCTCCGTATGAGATGATTCATGGGAAGAAGCCGTCAGTGAAACATCTCAGGATATTTGGATCAGTCTGCTACGTCCATGTGTTTGATTCTCAAAGAACCAAGTTGGAGGCAAAGACGAAGAAGTGCATCTTCGTTGGCTATGACGAACAAAGAAAAGGGTGGAGGTGTATGGATCCAGAGACACACAGGTACGTAGTGTCTCGAGATGTTGTTTTTGATGAAGTTTCCTCATTCTATGGGCCACCTCAAGTTTTAGTTGAGCAAGAAGGTGGGAGTTCCTCCAAGAGTGATAAACCAGCTCTGAGTAAGGAAAAAGGTCCTGAAGAAGAGATGCAAGGTGAAAGGGGGAGCACTGATCAAGAGGAGGATGAGGAGGAACATCATGGTTCCACGGCTAGTCAAAGGCCTAAAAGGGACATCATTAAACCTGCTCGGTTCAGAGATCCAAAGTTTGTTACTACCTTCTCGTGCTACTTTGCAGCTCCATTAGATGAAGATGAGCCAACATCTTATGATGAAGCAAAAGGTGTTGACGAGTGGGAAAACGCAATGAAGGAGGAGATGAATGCTCTCATGAAGAACGAAACTTGGGATTTGGTTCCAAAACCCAAGAATGCCCAACCTGTTTCTTGTAAATGGGTGTACCGGATCAAGCGCAAAACAGATGGAAGCGTTGATAGATTCAAAGCAAGGTTGGTTGCTCGGGGATTCTCTCAAAAGTATGGAGAAGACTATGATGAGACCTTCAGCCCTGTAGCTAAGATGACTACGGTACGTTCTCTCTTATCTTTGGCTGCAAGTTTTGGTTGGAAGTTATGGCAATTAGACGTGAAGAATGCTTTTCTATATGGAGAGCTTGACAAGGAAATCCTGATAGAGCAGCCACTTGGTTTTATATCACGAGAGCATCCTGATTATGTGTGTAAGCTGAAGAAGGCCTTGTATGGGTTAAAACAAGCTCCACGAGCCTGGTATGGAAAGCTTGCTCAGTTTCTTCAGTTCTGCGGTTATGTGGCATCAAACTCTGATCCGAGTCTATTCTTCAAGAAGAATGGAGGAGTCCACGTGGTAGTTCTCCTTTACGTGGATGATATGATAATTACCGGGAATGATGATGCAGAAATTACTCGTTTACAAGAGGATATGTCGATAAGGTTTGAGATGAAGAAGTTGGGAGAGCTCAACAACTTTCTCGGTTTGGAGGTGGAAAGGGTAAAAGGTGGAATATTCATCGGCCAACAAAGCTATGCAAGAAGAATCGTTGAGAAGTTTGGAGTACACGAAGGAAAGACACGCTCTACTCCAATGGATGTCAACATAAAGCTTAAACGCGATGAAGGGTCCTTACTACCTGATCCTCGGCCTTATCGCTCTCTTGTAGGAAGTCTTTTATACTTAACCATTACAAGACCTGACATTGCCTTCGCGGTAGGTCTTGTAAGTCGGTTTATGCAGGCACCAAGGAAGCCACATCTAGAAGCGGAAAAAAGAAGATATTGAAGTATGTGAAGACAACTCTTGGCATGGGTCTGGTGTACAAGTATAATGCCAAGGTCTCTCTTTATGGCTTCACGGATGCTGACTTTGGTGGAGATCTTGATGATCGGAAATCAACTTCAGGCTATGTTTTCCTATGTGGGAACACAAGTGTCTCATGGTGCAGTAAGAAGCAAGCAACGGTGTCGTTATCTACAACTGAAGCAGAGTATAAAGCGTCAACTCTAGCAGCTCAAGAGTGTATTTGGCTTCAGAGACTCCTTGAAGATCTGTTCGAGCCAATCAATAAGCCAATTGCAATTTATGGAGATAATCAAAGTGCGATCAAGCTGGCTAATAATCCGGTGTTCCATGGGAGGACTAAACACATTGAGTTAGAGCATCACTTCATAAAAGAGAAGGTGCTTGATGGGACAATTGAAGCTTTGGAAGTTCGAAGCGAGGACAACGTTGCGGATATCTTCACCAAGTCATTACCAAAAGGTCAGTTCGAGTTACTTCGCTCGAAGCTCGGGATGACTGACAAAATCAAGTTTAAAGGGGAGTATTGAAGTTAAACTTGATTTTGGGTTAAGCTTAATTTTGGATTTATAAAATAATTATTAGTTATTAGATTAGGCCCAAAATTAAGCTCAAGTTCTAGAATCTCTAGAAACATCACTAAAAATCATCATCTTTCTTAAATGTTCTAGAGAATTCTATTAGTTAAATATCTAGATAATTCTATAGATAATTCTAGATGTTGTAGTTAAAATTCTAGATATTATTGTAGAAAATTCTAGAGATTAGGAGAATGTTTGTAAGATATTTTGTAATAAGTGGAGCCTATAAATAGCCCACTACTCCATCATTTGTAAACAAGAGAAGTTGAACAAATAAAGAAA